TTTAACGGTGGCAGACACTATAGGCGGTTAGTACGCGGACAACAACAGCCACCGCAGCACATATTATTGGAAGAGCGCGAGAACGGCTAAGACCACAATGCTCCGGCACACACGCGAGTATCCTGCTAAACATACCATTTGGGGGGGGGATGCTGACGACACCGGAAAAGCAAGAAAAACATGGATACTTACAGAATCGTCTGTGATAGTCACGAGACAAATGGCCCATTCCTCGATGCTACAGTCTTGCTGTCTCTCGCAACCTCCACAGCACGCACGCCCTTGCATCTGCGGCCAAATCCACCCCAAAATCCATGGGAACTAGGAATCAAATCCAGCGCGCCTGTGGACTTTGTTGTGTGCCGCGGTGCGAATTATTTGACAAACTTTGCCAACTGGGTTGGGGCAACACTCTGGACAAACCACAACACGGCTCTTAGCTGACCACTCATGCTTTCCTCAACCCGGGCACCTTCCCATTTAGAATTCAAAGTGAGATCTTTCTCAGAGCAGACCAAGTAGAACAGTAACATGTGCACCTGCTACTTCACTGGCCATCAGGTCTTCGTGCCTCCCTCAGGACTCTTCTTTCCTTCCAACCTCTCTCAGAACTCTTCTCTTTATAAATTCCTCTTCTTTCTTTTCCATTCCTCTTTCAGATCTCTCCTTTCTATCCTTTCCTCTCTCGAAATGGATTTGGAACCGTGAGTATATTCCTCTACAAGTGCTCACTCTGCTCCAAGCCTGCTGACTGCCTACTCTAGGGGGGATGATCCCCACCCCGAACCGCTGCGCATCACTCCCGAAGCCCTCCAACGCAATGTCTGCCAGAGATGTGTTCGCAGCCTAGCTGTCAACGACCAAGTCATCATCGGGCCGCACGGTGAGTTTCTCCAGCACCGCCCTACTCATACCCTACTAGCTTCCTGCTAACCACCTGGAGAAGATGCTATCCTCTGTGACAGATCCGACGGTCGTTGTGGTTACTGCGAGTATTTGGACCTCCCATGCGAGCCAGTAAGCTACCTGACTTCTTGCGTACTCTTCTTCTGCTGACTGTCCAGATCCCCATGAACTGCAGAGAAATGACCCAGTTCATCCTCATGGCAGCGTGGGAAAACTGGACTCCTGACCACCAGTTCACCCGTAGGTATCTCTCCGTTGTCAGCTAGCGTTGAGTCTGCTAACACCCTGCCAGGTGGCCGGATTCAAGAACTGGCAAGGATTTTGGACGAGAGATACAGCAGAGAGCAACCGGCAAATGGGGGCGCTCAGCAGCATGCTCTGAGCGGTGTACTCACCCAGCTGGTCGAAGCCACCAGGAGAGTTGCCGAAGTCAACGCCCACGCGGTATGACTGTATCTCCAGCCTTCTTTAAGCTTGCTAACACCGAGTTAGGCCAACATCGCCCTTCCCCCTTGGTCAAATGATGCCTCCCTGAGGTTCCCCGACGAACTCATGATCCCTGACTCCTACGTCAGACTCGCCATGAACGATGATGGAACTCAGCACGTGGGTATCTTCCAGCTTTCACCCCACAGTCCGTGTGGGGAGGACCGGATGATCCCAGACCATGAAGGTAGTCTTCTCGTCGCTCACCCGATCATCCAAGAAGAGCATGTCATCCAAGGAGCGCCTGTCACCCAAGAAGAGCATGACACCCAAGAAGAGCATGACACCCAAGAAGAGCTTGTCATCCAAGGAGCGCCCGTCACCCAAGAAGAGCCTGGCACCGACGAAGAGTCTGTCATCTACCAAGGGCCAGCCATCTTCGAAGAGTCTTTCACTGACGAAGAGACTGTCGTCTACGAAGAGCAAGTCATCGACTCAGACCCAACCATGGACCAAGAGTCTCTCATCGACGGAGAGCCACTCACCGACTCAGACCCAATCATGGACGAAGAGTCTGTCAGTGGCGAAGAGCCAGTCACCCAAGAAGAGCCTCCTGTGGGATGCACTTGTAACATGTGTTTCATCGCTGAAGAGCCAGTCACCCAAGAAGAACCTATCACCCACAACGTGACTGTCGTCTACGAAGAGCAAGTCACCGACTCAGACCCAACCATGGACGAAGAGTCTGACACCCAAGAAGAGGCTATCACCCACAAAGTGACTATCACCTACGAAGAGCCAGTCACCGACCCAGACCCAGTCATGGACGAAGAGTCTTTCAGTGACGAAGAGCCTGACAACGGCAAAGAGCCTAGGCCGGCCAAGCGTAGGCGAGTCGATGTGATCCAGCTGTCTGACAGTGAAGAAGGACAGGGATCAGGATCGCGTTTGGTATCAGGATGGTCTTTCTGATCTCAGTTCTTCTCCCGCCGATCCCACTCCACCTCAGGGTAGAAAGGGCAAGAGAAAAGAAAAGGAAATGGTGAGAACCACTCAACACCTTCATGGATCCTTAGTTTTACCCAACCGTTAGCATGCTCAAAGTATGGTAACCAACAAAACCAGGGTGGGCGGGAAGGAAAAAGGCATCAACTACATACATAGTCATGAGAGCAAGCAGCTCATCCAAAGCATGCTAAGAACTCATAAATAGAGCTAGAACTCATCAACAGAGGTACAATTGCAGAACTTACTCTTGACCTTTTCTGTCCTTTCTTCGTCTGTCAGCAGAGGGATATCTCACTGCCTCCACGGGGCCGGGCGACCCAATCTCTCGCATTGGCCGCTCTTCGTCACATTTGCTGCTTCCTGCATTCTGGACTGTTTGGACATGAGGTGAGCGAGCCCGAACTGAGCCACGAAATCCAAGCACGAACCCGCCCTTTCTCGATCGTTTCAAGACTTGCACAGCGCCTACCCGAGAATTGTCGGGGAGCTTCTACATCTGTTTTTGATTGTTCCCACCACCACCAACAAATGCCAATTCACAAAATCAGCCAACAATAGTCAATTTGCCTTGTAAAGAACATCAACGAAAACACCCGTTGACGTTTCGATCCGCAACCCCGCACCCGAACAGGCGAAAAGCTCTGCTCAGGCCAGTGAGTCACAGTGGTCTCTCCCCCGTGCTTGTAACTCGATCTTTACTGGAAAACAGGTCCACTCGTTCATTTCTCCCAAGACACAACACACACCTTGGTCAACCAGCACTGCATACACTACCGACTTTCGTCCTGTAGCTGCGACATACCAAAGTATCCTCATTATGGCTAGATCTGCCGACAGCAAACCCTTCTTCGGTGTCAGAGGCGGATGGCTAGTCTTCGTAAGTTCCCTTCCCTGCGAAAAGACTGGTCCCGATGTCCCCAGAACTACGTTCCAAGCTAACAGAGTTTCCCAGTGGATCACCGTGGCGTGCGGTGCAGACATGTTGATGTCTGGCTATGACCAGGGTGTCTTCAGCAGAGCCACACTCTCGGATGATTTCCTCGACAAACTCCATTTGCGGGGTCGAACTACCATCATCTCAGCCATCAATGCCATCTATGCTGTTGGGTGCTTCGTTGGATCTCTCATCGCCTTCGCGATGGGAGAGTGCCTCGGTCGAAAGAAGTCAATCTATATCGGCACGACGGTCATATGCGTGGGAGTCATCCTCACGTCGGCAACCTTCAGCCTGGTTCAACTATTCGTCGGTCGGATTGTCCTGGGAATCGGTAATGGCATCAACACTGCGACGGCCCCAATCTGGCAGATGGAAACATCACCCGCCAAGTGGCGAGGAAAACTGGTCATGTTGGAAATGTCGCTCCATGTGGCCGGCTTCACCATGGTCAACTGGGTCAATTTTGGCGTGGCCCACATCGACGGTGGTTTCGCCTGGAGATTTCCCCTTGCTCTGCAGTTCATCTTCGTTGTCATCATCTACGCAACAGTATGGTGGCTCCCTGAAAGCCCTAGATGGCTGGCGCAACACAACCGGCTCGACGAAGCCAACCTCGTCCTTTCGTGCCTCGAAAACAAGGGCATCGAAGACACATACGTCCTTGCGCAGATGGAAGAAATCCAGGACAGCGTTCAACACGAGCGCGACCACGCCATCCGTTGGAGGGATCTTGTCAAGACCCAAAAGCACGAGGGCACCAAACTGTTACGAAGGCTCATCCTTGGTGCCACAGCCCAATTTATCCAGCAAATTGAGGGTGTCAACATCATATCCTATTACCTTCCATCCGTGCTCATCGAGCAAGTCGGCCTCTCTAACCATACCGCCCATCTGGTCACATGGATCAACGCCTTCACCTACTTTGTCTTTTCCTCCGTTTCGATCCCTCTCGTGGAGCGATAGGGTCGCCGCGGTCTCATGCTCATGTCCACTGCCGGTCAGGGCCTGTCTTTCCTCATCATCTGCATCCTGTTCAAGTATGCATCCGATGGTAGCAAAAGCTTTGCCACGGCATCAATCCCATTCTTCTTCATCTACTACATGGCATTCGGTATGAGTATGGCTGGGAATCCCCGTCTGCGCCCCACAGAGATCAACTCAATCGCAACGAGGATCAAAAGTGCAGTCACGGCGACTGTGACTCGACCACGAACTACGCCATCGTCCAAATGACCCCTTGGGGTATCGGAACTTCTGGATTGTCTTCACTCTTTTCAACGCGGCCTTTATGCCAGTTATTGACTTTTACCTCAACAACTCACCTGCGGCGACAAGGATGCCGTCAGCAGCAAACGTCTTATGAAATATATCAGAAAGGAGGAAGAGAATGCGGAGGTCGCAAGAAGGGAGATTATTGCGAGGAGAGAAAGTATGCATAGGAATGTGTTGGAGGAGAAGGACGTGACCGGTTCTGATAACTTTTAGTAAAGCAGATTAATTGTATACGACAGGCAGATACATGAACAATACAGCATCTATGACACTTGACTCTGTTCCTCTAACAAGCGCTTTTCGTATTCGTGTTGGATTAGGGAAACAAACGTGCATCTGTACCCAGGGGCATTTCATTGCACAGGGACACACGTCAAAAAGGAACGAGGCAAAAGCTAAGTTTCCCGAGTACCGTGCAACCTACGCCCGCCGAGGCAGGATCAGTCTCAGATTACTCTCAGAGCTTGATGATTTTTCCTCTTCACCCTGAATTCACTTTTCACGTTCACTCTTCGTCCTTCAGTCTTCGCCCTCACAGAAATCTTCGGCGACCTCATTTGATTCACCGAACGGAACTACGTCTGAGCCTTGTAAGCCTCTTCTTGAATATCCTGGCGCCTGACACTCTCCTCACGTCGGACAGATATACACGCCTATGAAACCTCCTCCTCTTACTCCGCCGTCTTCACGCGTGGCCAGACATCCCCAGCAGCCTCTGGTGAATCTGCTCTTCGAACGTCGAACATGGCTACCGAACAATTGCCATTTCGTGCCTGTCAACTGGTCCCTACAGCTTTCCCACTGGAACTACCGCGATGAATGCCCTTTGAGCAATCAGAGAATTCCTGCGAGGGCCAAGTGGCCATGTGCTGCGAAACGTTGTCCTTGTTGTGACAACCATCCACGAGGCGGAAGTCTACGCCAGGTGCTGGCCGTACGTGTCCCCTTGCATCCCTCTCGTTGCGGAGACCTTACTTGCGCTGTCCCTAACAGAAGCGGCAGGCTTTCTCAGCTCCTGTTTTCACCAAAGCCTTCTGTCTTGATCTTACCCTGTGTCGACTGTTCTGTTCAAGAGGTGGCTGGTAAAAAGGAGGATGGAGATTGTCCACAAACACTCATACCCTTCGGTGTCGTTGAGGGAAGTCGGCTGCTGATGAATCAAAACTGGTCGTTTGTCGGATAAAGACATGGCTTCAAGCCCAGACACTACTCCACGACGATTCCTCGCAGCCAGCTGCACCTCCAGCAACGGTAAGTGAACCAATCGTATGCCAGTCATGTCCCCAACTAACCATGTCGTCGCAGCAAGCAGTACCTCTCTCTCGCTGGCTGTCATTCCCACAAAACCACTCGCGGAGGGACACCGAGCGTCCTTCACAGATTAACGGCGACACCTACCCTCAACCGCACGGTCAGGGACGAGCCGGGCAGAAACGGAAACGACCGCAGTTGGAGATCTCTCGTCCAAGTCGCCGAAGTGCTCACCGTAACGGCGCCCAAGCACTGCCTGTAGCTGTCGACGACACCAGCGGACTGCCCCAACCACCCTACGGTAACAGCTCCCCTCAGGGCGAGCCACCGAATCGAGCACCCTGCCCTGGTCAACCACAATGGCCGTCACAACAGAGTCAAAATTTTCGGATCTCAGAAAATCCTCCCTCTCATTCCGAGATCACAAGGTCGGAACCACCACCTTGGTCAAACTCACGAGATGTGCCCAGGCCGCCAACTCGAGGTAATTCTTACCCTCTGCATCCTCCGTCTTCTTACCAAGCTCAGCCTTCAGCTCAAATACTGTATCCTCCGCAGTATGCGGCCTTTGAGCCGGTCAATCACCAGTGTTGCCAGCCCGCCATCAGCTCCTCTGCCGCAGCAGCCTACATACCCACCTGAACACCTGGCTCCCTGGTCAAGTCATCTCATTTCTACAGCTGGTGTACGAATGTCTTCCCCAGGCTTCGATAAACCCAGACCCGGCTTCAAAGTTTCAAGTCCAAGAAGACGGAGAGAAGTCCACGATGTGGAGTTCGGTGCAGTATGATCGCTTCGGTATGTCGGTCTCGGAGTCCAGATCAAGGCGCCTTTGTGGGCACATATGTGTACAACCTTGGGGTTGAGGATGGTGTGTATGCAGGCAAGGGCTGCGCGTTTGATGATGCCGGTACAATCGATACAGGTCCCCGCACAGTTGTCCTTGACAACTGACCACTGCAAAAACCCTGTTCATTGAAAAGGAACAAAGGGGTACTGGATCGCCGGTGATGTATGTACCTGGCTGAGGAAGTGGCCGTCGGGGCCAAAGCTGTGATGTGTCCTGGCGTGGAGGTCGAGGAAGATGCGACCGCAGACCCTTGTGCTGTGGTTCGCGGGCCACTGAAGGCGAATTAGATACACCGAGCGAGCTCGAATGATTAATGATGTTCGACCCTAGTGTTAAATCTTGGTCAACCTGATGACTCTCTTCCTGCTCTGATCCGCGCCATTCAAAGTTCTGCCTCCCCTGTGTTCGTGATGTCAATGCTATGCAAGCCTGAGGAGCTTTCACATCAACTGAGGCACAACAGCGGAACTTGTTGGTTGCTCGTCACTCCCGCAACAGGAGCTAAAGTGAAGAGTAATGATAATTTGAAAGCCGGTCATTCTCGGTTTCCGGCTCTCGCTGTCAGATTGCCACATTGCCATCTCAGCTCATCACAAGTGTCAGCCTCATCAAGTTCAGCCCCATCACAAGTTCAGCCCTGTCACAAGTTTCAGCCTCGTCACAAGTTCCAGCCTCATTAAGTTTCAGCCTTGCCACAGGTTTCAGCCTCGTTACAAGGTCAGCCCTATCACAAGTTTCAGCCTCATCTTCAGCCTCATCAGAAGCTCAGCCTCAAAGGCCGCAGCAATGCCAGGGTGGATATCCGTCTTCTTCTCCCAAGTTTTCTTGCTGTCTGGAACACCGCGCCATTTGACCCAGTACTGGACACTCTGGCCAATCCGTCTTCTCTCAATCAGTCTTTCAACCTCAAACTGGTCGTCGTCGGGATCCACGGCCCGGGTTGATGGGGGTGAGGAGAGGAGGGGAGAGGAAGGGGGCGTTCATAATCTAGTTCTTCGTTGACGACAGATGGGCACACCTTTTTGGCTGCTTCGCAGATGGCATTTTGGACAGTGTCTTGCACATGTGTGGATAATCCATCAGATCGAGGGTAAGTGCGGGAGCTATGCCTCCATTGGTGTGTGTTGTGGACCTGTTGGATCTGATCACCTATGTCGTGGTTGAAGATGCGTACAACGTGGACGTTAGTATTCAGCACGTACTGGTGGTTTTTCCGATGGCGGGAAATTTCGGTGAGAGCGCATCATCAGTGCTGATAAGGTCCACAGCCTCGACAACATCCAAATCTGGCTCTGTTACCTGGGGGAGGATCGCGGGATCGATCAATCCTTCACTACACCCTGATGACGTCGGCGTCCCGTAAGGATGAAGGACTTCATCACCTGTCCAAGTGCCACCCAGGGTTTGAAGGGGGGTGCAGCCGCCGGAAGAAGATTTGGCATCGCTGTGTTTTCCGCCGTATTGTTGATAAAGGCATATTCCCACTTGACCTTCTCATCGTCCGCGTCAGCCTCGGTTTTGAGGACAGAGCTCAGACTGCTCTTCCTCTGTGCAGGTGTTCCATCTTCGCTTTCGCCTCTCTTTCGCTCCGGCTTCCCTGTCTCTCTGACGAAAGGAATGCCATGAGAGTCATGAAGGTGGGACTGTAACTAATTGACCGAATCAAATAGCGTAGCACAGCAAAGCTGCGGGTGTGGGCATGTCAGCGGTTTCTGTTCGTCTAGGCAAGAGACCTGCCTGTGGATGTAGTCGAGCCAACTCCCATGATTGAGGAACTGCTTCATGCATGCGGATGCTGGCAGCTTCTTATCTGTCAGACAGAAAGGACAGTGTCCAGCTGTAGCGAGCACTCCGCCGGGTGTGAGAGGGTCAAAGAGCATTGGGAACTCATGTAACAGGGCTAGTTGCGCACCATACTGAGCTTCCTAAGCTTTCTCTCCAAAAATCCACTCGGTGCATAGAAAACACAGTTCGGCGAAGCAAAACATTCTCTTGCAGCTTCTCTTGTAGTAGGTGTAGATGTACTTCCATCCATAGAAGGCTTATCGATTCCCCTTGCAGTTATTCCCGTGTGATTTCGAGTAATAGCACTTGTCCGATTCTCACCCGGGCCGATACTCGATGTTAGATTCCTGTTCATACAGCGCGATCGTCACATGTAGGGCATGGAGACCTGTTGAACTTCGTAGAATGAAAACATCGTGGCTGAGACTCTTTCTCTCGGGCATCATAAATCAACTCGATCGAAGACGCCCGATGACAGCTGGGTAGGTCGCTTAGTCTGTTTGGTTGCTGTTTTTGCCAATCACGCAGCTCTTTATCTGCCAACGTACGCCTTTCGCGGTACAGCTTCCGTCGACACTTTGCGGAATCTGTATCCGTCTTTCCCTCTGGAGTCGTGATCTCTTCACTCAGTGCAACGTAGTTAGGTGTGTTTTCCAGGTTAAATTCCGTCTCCGCGGGGAGGCATTGCGATAGATTGTGGTTTCGAGGAACAGTGAGGCCCGGAAAGAGGTCCGCGACGACGGTTCGTCCTTCGCCGCCTCGAGAGGCAGGTATCTTGCCCATCCGCGCCACTGGTGAGCATGTAGTGCCGACGGAGAGTATTTGAATCTGTGTGGCCAGTATGGATCATTCGTGTTGCCTCAGAATAGAATTTGTCTGTGTGGGTGATCCTGTCAGTTAAGTCAAACATCAATTTGAAGGTTAGAAACATACCGATTCAGTGCAGGCCTTCAGCTCTGAGGTCATGGCCAGTGGGTGGTTTGGGATAACCGGCACGAAGGGCCCAGGCCCGATGTCTCTTGCTAAATTCGTCCGCAGTTTCGATCCTCTCTTCGCAGTTGTGGGTAGATTGGGCTTTGAAGAACGGAGTATCCAACAATTCACAACATCTCTTCAGGTGGCATATTTCCAAGGAGCTCCTCCTCATTCGTGTTATAGCCCCTGGAAGCTCGACGAGGAGGCGAGTAAGTAATGGAGGCATCGGGTCGAGCAAAGCGCCATGAGACTGCACCTTCGTACAAGGTATGCTAAGGGGAGCAGGTGAGTTTTGGTGGTAAATCTCCGTGGTCTTCTAGATCCAGTCAATCCCATCTCTTCCTTCAGAGGTCCTTTGATAAACTACACATATTTTAGCTGCTGCACCCAAGTTCAAAGCTGGAAGGAGCATACATTTGTGACGGATCTGACAGTGCCGGCGGGTATTTCAGGTTTTCCAGGTTTGCCCGGCGCAATCCAGCCGTAAAGGAGTTCCAATACTTAGGCACGGTCTCCGTGCAGCCCTCATCAATCCCTTCTACGCCGCCGATCCCGTATGCCATTGCCCTCACGAACTGTTGTAACGAGCGCATATCGTATGGAGACGGAGGAGGCGTGTCAGGGTTCTCCTCCAGGCTCTCTTGCACGAATCTATTAGACCTTAGCAGCAACCTGTCCTACATCGGATCCAAGCCGCATACCGATGCCAAAAGGCTACCTGTTTGTCATAGTTTTTCTGCGTTCCCAGTGTAATCTTCTTGCAACATGGTTTGCCATCAACAATACCGGTATCTCGTCTAGCGCCCTTCTCTTTAGCTCTGCGAAGAGTTTCCTCGAGAGTCCGCCTTTTCCCCATGGTGTGAATGTCGACTGGAATGCTGGGACGCGACCTTGGCCTCAAGACGCGCTTTGGCAATTCCCCAGGGTGGTTTTGCGTGGCTCATCTCCATCGTGACGCAATCAGAATGACAGCGTCGAGCTCAGACGTGAAGAATGCCAGACGCGAAGAATGTCGCAATGTTGCGTCAACTGCGGTCTGGACGCTGGCCATGTTTGCGGTCGCGAGCTTCGGCTACAATCGAGACGGAGCAGATGCAGGCACACATCGAACCAGCCCTCACTGCTTGGGAAGCGGCATCAGTGGCACCCAGTTTCAGGGACACGATCGGGGTGAATCGTGTTTCCATCAAGTGGAGATGATTTGTGTACGATCCGCCGTGACTCCTCCAGTTGGCCTTCGCGTGCTTTGCGGTTGGCTCTCTTGTGTGTTTACTAGACGTTGAAAATGCAGTGAGACTGCAATCATCTGATGCAGGCATACACATCATGGCGAGTAACGTGCATCCCGACGCAATGACATGAACTGGCTCAGCCGGTAGTGTGTGCAGTGGTGCATTGCCTACATCGTCAATGGTCTGCATGCGAGTAGGCCTCCAGCAAGAGCCGAGGACAGGCCGGATCGCTTGACACGAACGTGATAACAACATCGCGGCGGCATTGTTACGGATGGAACGAGCTGTCCGATATAGTGAGCACGCGGAATTGCAGCTATCACAGGCTGTCGTTCGAGGGGAGTCCCTTTGCTGTGCTGTTGTTTATTTTACTGAACACTCCCGCGCGCCACACATTTCCCCCTCAACTTCGTGGCGGCTCTCTGCGCAGCCGCAACGCTGCCCTGCGCTGGCCACATGCGCCCTCTGGACGTACACCCTCAGTCTGATCGGCCATTCTTCACAACGCGTCTCTATAATCGCAGGGTTACTCCTCATCCAGCCGCCTTTTACCGTCCAGCCCTTACCGCGCCTACTCCCCGAGCAACGTCGCCTTTACCCCCCCGTCGTTGCAACTACCACGACCGCCTCTCCTCACCGGTTCAGTTTACTAGAGGGGCAACCCACGGCGGGCCACAACGAGCACTCGAGTTCCTTTGAGCCATGAGAGGCACGGTGTACTCGCCAGGCCGCCGACATACTCACCACGTGCCACCAGAGCGCACCCGACACTATGCGGCTGCTGGAATTCGACGATCAGGGCGAGCTCAGCCTGACTGAAGATCTTCAAGATGACATCCCTCCCTACGCGATCCTCTCGCATACTTAAGGAGACGACAAAGACGAGGTTATCCCCGATGACCTACAACATAAACCGTCTACAAATACGGCTAGCCCTGCGAAGATCCATTTCTACGGCAAGCGAGGAAGGACAACCTAGAATACTTCTGGATGGAGACCTGCTGCATTAACAAAGTGAAAAATACGGAATACTCGGAGGCGCGGCTGGGTAGTAAGAGTACACTCAAACAGCAGATCCACGAGATTACGAACATGCTCATTGCGGCCCTCCGCGCAACTCCTTTATCCCAGTTTAGTGTTGACGAGCGCCTATGGGGGACCGTCAAACGACACACTCAGAAGAAGGAGGACAAGACATACTCTCTACTTAATTAGAAGAAGTCGTGCCGTGGCTCAGAAGACTTGAGATGGAGCGAGAGATGGCATTTCGTGGTCGCCCACAAGAAATCACTCGAATCCACGACCCGATGATGGACAAAACAAACTCATGGTGCGTGGAACCTTCGTCATAGCCATGAGCACCTGTCTACGAGACAAGAAGAATCCAAACGTCTTTGAGACAGCCAGTCGGATCATAGGTCTGATGCAAGAGAGCACGCAAGATATGGGCGGCGGTCCGCCTCCTCTGACCAGACACCTACAATCCAGAAACTTCTGAAGATTCGTCGACCCCGGGTTACAGCACGTCGACTATGAGCTAGGCAGTGCTCACTCATCGTCTCCCCAGCATCAACACTCTTCCTACTACCATCAAAATGTGAACCAACACAGGTGTGGTTGAGACTGCGTTACAGTTAGGTTTGATCCGTTTCGGGTGAGGGAGAGACAGACGCAGTACGCCAACGTGATCATGGCGTCCGTGACGCCCCGGTCCCACAGGCCGATGCGCTCCATCTCGCCGACGTCGCGGCCGGCAAGGACACCAGCTACGACATTTTTCGTACCAGGCGAGTGGGAAAGGTGGTACCTCGCCTTAAAGCTATTGACTCGCCGCCTGAAGGAGTTCTGATGGAAAAGAAATCGAACATCTGGATCCAAATTTCTCGCACTCCAGGGGCTTGGACGTCGGCTTCACAGGGACAAAGTGCTTGATGGATTTGTCCTTTGGCCATCAATCAGAGGATCCATCCCGTCGTTGCCTTTTCCAACCACGACTCCCAGTCGAGAGTACAGCGATTTTACAGGATGGGCGGAAGAACGAGAGACCGACCTTCAAAGAAACCATCAAGAACCAAACTTCAAGCCCGATAGCTCAAGATTCTATCAACCTGCAATATGGGCTCAACTGAAGCCCTGCGCCGGTATACTTGTTGAACACGTCCGTCGCCTGCGCTGCGATCTGGCTCGTCAATTCAATTGCAGAGCTCCTTTATTTCCATGGCGGCGGCGCGCGCTGGGCGTCACCGACCCGCTCGGATCGTGATGAGGAAATGAGCAACCTAGAAATGGGATGCAGCCGCCGCTGAGATCGGATGATTCCATTTCCACCATCAGATCGTGGAAATTACGCAACGGTTGGTTATTGGCTCAATTGCATCAACAATCAATGCCGCGTTGGATTTTGACAGCAACCTGGAAGAAATTGTCGGTGTTCACCCCTTTGGATGACTTGGCAAAGTAGCATTCTCCTGATATGGCAGAAGTACATGCTAACCACAAAGCCAGCAACGTGGCACTTGCTCACCCTGATCGTGGGCGGGTTGACGAGAGCTGGACAACCGTCACATCAAAGAGGCCCGTCGAGGCTTTCTGGCCCATTCCCAGCGCAACAGACTGGCCAGAATGACCGGCACCGGTCGTTGATCTGCGGGGCGACGGCCTGAAGGGCGCGAAGGGCAGCAGATTTGGCCTTTACGACGCTCAGATATCCTTCAGTCAATTGGCTCCACAAACACGAAGCTGACATCTAATTTGTCTCGGTAACAACTTGGGAAGCTTGGGTCTGGGCAGCTTGACTTTGGCAGCGATAAACCAAGCCCTGACGATCGATTCCTCCCTTTGATCGCGGGATTGTGTCTCCCATATCGACGGACATTGTAGCAAGACGCAACCCCTTCATGCGGGCCGATTCTGCGATAAATGTCCTTTTCGTTCTGCAGGGCTCGAACCAACACGCCACGGTAGTCGAAGTCAGGAACGCTCAAATGAATAGCATAAGAAAAATGGCGCCACAGCAACAGCTCTATCGCTGGCCTCGCGCGCTCTGACGCTAGAGTACTATCTCAACCAATGTCACTCCATCTAGATGACCGCGATGGGCACGGAAAAGAACCTCAAGGCCAGAAGCTCAGATTCTCCCCCAAAGTCCTCCGAATGTATCTGGAAGTTGAGATGGCGACCAACTCAAGTATCGCCCGTGCGCAAAGCGCATTTCCGAAATTCTCCTTCACCCGTCGACAACCGCTTCTTCCTGGCGCTCACTGCTCTTATCGCCTGCGCGTCGAATGTTCCTCGCTCCGAGTTGGCCTTGTGCTACCAGAGACATAAGGATTGAAGGGCCCGACGCGAATGAGAAGCCGCCGTCGTCTTCGGTATACTGTCTCAGTGGCGCCGCATACCACAAACTCACCCCAACCACCAGCAGATTAGAGACTAGGATAACTTACAAGGGAGAAAGAAGTTCAACGATTAAAATTTTACCAGAGCTTACCAAAACGCTTGTCCTTCTGCTGCATCCCTCGATCTAGTCCTCTGTAATCAATCACCTTACGCACCCATCTCACACTAACAATCTATAAGTGGAATGAATGATATGATTAATTAGGTAAGGAAAGATGATCTACCGCAGTGGGAAATTATTCGGCTAACCTTCCTAATAGGGGAGGTTAGGGCCTCATAAATACTCGCTCAGCTGCATTCCACGACCGTCTTCTTTCTCTCCTGTATCATTCCGCAACCATGGTCTATCCACGGGGGTAGGCCTCGGAGGCCACAGCTTCTCGCTGTCGGGCAACTAGTGATCCTGGTGTAAGCCCGCAGGAGCGTCTCAGCCCAGGGGGCACTCTACGTTGGAGACGGTGTACACCCAAGAGCCAGGAGACACTATACGATAGGGGTGGTGTACACTCAAGAGCCAGGAGACACTATACATAGGTGTGGTGTACACTCAAGAGCCAAGAGACACTATACGTTAGGGGCGGTGTACACCTAAGAGTCACAACGCGAACGACCCAGAGTCGGTTCAGCGCGGCCATATCTTGGACTGCCGTTCTGGCCATTGTGTATCGATTGGTCTGTGCCTGGGAGAACAAGAAGCGGGATAAAGCGGGAACAATGGAGGCCTCTGAGCACGCCTACGAGGATGATTTGACTGACAAGAAGGTACGCGTGGTTCGGCGGAGCGAGTTGTCTGACAACACCTCTCTCCTTTGTTTATCTCCTCTTTTTCTCTCTGCCGGACAGATTTTTCGAGCGAAAGTGCTGACCAGCCAGCCCCCTGCATCGAGTCCATAAGATTCGCGTTTCCATCTATGGCAGTTTGGCTTTGACCGGCGAGGGACACATGACGCCGTCGGCACTCCTACTCGTCCTGGAGAGTGCGGACGTGGAGACGGTCGGACGCATTTGATGGTGGCGGACATTGCCAAAGCTATTGACAATCCATCGACAGTGCATAAGGCCCTTTGGCCTCTACAAGCACTTATACCTGGTTAGCATGCACATGCTCACAGCGAGGAGGTGGAAACATGGGAGACATCGAGGCAGAAGGATGGCTGTGCCCCGAAGCAGTCATGGCTGTCTACCCAGTTTTGGCCAAAAATGGTAAATTTTCCACTGGCCAGCACGTTGTACTCATCCAAGATGGCCATTCCCAACGCTGCATTGCAAAAGGTCAGATCGTTCTTCACCAAATCGAACATCTCTACGCACCACTGGCAGTTGCTTCAAGAAGTCGAGACTCAAGCGCTGCTTTCCCAACAAAACATGACTCATTCCAGATGATCGTTTTTTCGCAGGGACTAAGAGTGGTTCCAGAGTGATCTACGTTTACTACTGGTCACCAGAAATCGGCCTCATTACTTGCAGGATTTGGACACCGTCACAGCTTGCCGTGGTGACCTTCGGATCTCCACGGTCAGAGTAAATGCGACCGAGAGCCTTGACTTTAGAGTACTGGACTACGGTATCATCATCATTTGAGCAAGATGGAGGAGGCAGCTGCAGTATCCCAAACATCATACGACCACCCGACGCCGACACGTGTGTATGAAGCCTGATTCGGATCACATGAGTCTTCACATTTGAGGAGCAAACCTCGACAATCCCCCATTGCGTCGTTTGTGGAGCGCTCAACCACAAAGAACAGGGATTGCGTCTGGGCTCCTCTCTCCCCGTCAATACGACAGACGCCTTACAGTTGGTGTTGTTACTCTTGCTGTTGGTGCTGTTGATGTTGGTGCTGTTGGTGTCTAGCATCACTGATACTATCATTCGAGTCATCCACGGGCGAGACGAAACCCTGTAATCGTCGTCCTCGACGGAGGATCCTTCCAGCGCCGCCTGGACTTCAGCTGTAGGATCAAGGAGACCTCACAGTGTTGTAAGTGCCCGACAGGACGAGGGTCTCAGATGGAGTCGCAGCATTCGAGACTGGCTCCAGAACGAGACAGGACTCTCTTGTCTACTTTAATGACATCCATGCCGTTTACGGATTTCTGGACGAGAACAGTGTTCGGAGGCTGATAGCCACGCGCTGGTATGACAACGCCTTGGGATCTCAGATCGCCATATGCCTCCGCTCGTTCGATCCTCGCATCTTTTGAGAGGCGGCTGAAGAACTGGACAAAATTCCCAGGGCGGCTCACTATGCCCCGTCGGCAGTGTACGAACTGCATCGAGCGGGAGTTCTCGACGACGTCAAGGCCCAAGGCATCCATCCCTTTGCGGTGTGCTGGCGCCGTCCTGGTGACACCTTCATCGCGTGCATTCGAAGTCGGTTCGACATAGAATTCCCCATGGTTTGCCTGCCTCTGGATCAGCTCGATGTCCTCCTCCTGCACATTTTCTGGCTCAACCAGATACCGAATGAAGCACAGAAAAGGTCAGATCAGCCCAGATCAGCCCAGATCGAACCAGATCGAACCAGATCAGACCAAGTAAAGAGCTAGAGCTCGAGCCCTGAATTGAGGAAAGAGATTCAAACCAAACCAAACCAAACCATACCAAAAACGAATAGATAGGGACAGACAGAAGCACAAGACTTCCTGCGTGACCGGCTTCGGGAGGCCCAGGCCACCCTTGCTTCTACTAGCCGCATGAAGCGGGCGGACGACACAACGACAAGGATAACGACAACGGCTGCCTCTGCCACCACCACCACAGCAACGACCACTACAGTAACGACCACCAGAACGACCACCAGAACAACGACGATAACAACGACCACCACAACGACCAGCACCAACACCAGCACCAACACCAACAACGGATACCAAAGTTCACTCGCATTCTGTCTACTCGGTCTGGCCAGATCGCAGGCGCCTTCACAGATTGGTATCTACTCGAAAAGTCTCGAGTGGTCAAGATCAGCCAACATGAACAAATCGATCAAGCGACGGCAACAGAGCTGATGGCTCGTTACCATCTCAGGCCTAGAGATTGGTTGCGTTGTAATAGCTCTTCAGAGGTTGTGTCACAGACAGATAGGTACTGTCCCAGTTGCATCGTTGAGCGGACCAAAACTGACCTTGGCTGGTAGTTGAAGTGCTTCGATTGACTGAAAGTCGGCGGGTTTGCGCCCGACATCACCACCCTGAATCTGATTGCCGGAGAACGCCACGGATGGCCATGGCTCAGCACCGCATCCTTCGTACTAGCCAGGACCATGACGGCGCCCAATTACCCTGGCATACTGTATTTGGGCGTTTTTTCGGTACCCAGAGGAGGCGGCTCGAGACAGCATGCTCCCACAATCCGGACAAATATCGTCCTGGAAGGTACGAAAAAGCTAGTCTGGCCAGCCACATCCAGAGAAGGTATCGCAACAATTCCGCCGAGACAATGAGCTTGAAAATGCAGAAAGACATCCCCTGCCCAGCCAACTACCAGATTTCGTTCCGGGTTTGACACCCAAACACTCGCATAGATGTAAGACTCCTTCGTCCGTGTTTCAAGACGGGTCGCTGACAACCATTACGCCAACACGCTCGCCAGCGTCAACCTACCGATCAATTCCCATCATACACACGCGACGGGAGTATCTGATTCGGACCTTGCGGCGACGACGATGTCTTTTGTCGTCAGTTGATTCCTGCTCCGCGCATTTGCTAGATTCGACATCTGCTTCATGAGCCAGCTTGTCATCGAAGACTTCGGTTTCTCCTTGGAAATTGATGTTGCGTCACTGGTTGACCGCGGACCTTGCCGTCTGTACTGGCTTGATTTGGACACTTTGCTGGTATTCGACTCAGACCGAGGCAAGTTTGGATGAGAATTTGACCGATGGGAGCCCCGGAGCCTTTGACCGACCCCCAGAACCGATGTTGGCCTGGACACGGCGGAGTAACCCAAGCAGAAGCAAGGGGGAACCGCCGCGCTCAAGTCTGGTTGCAAGCGCTTCCCTTTCAACAATATCACATACTGTTTACTCTCTTTTCAAAGTGCTTTTCATCTTTCGATCAGTCATGCACTTAGTATGTCATATTGTCTTCGCATTCGAGACTCGGGGAAGAGCATGTCCCCCCACGGCATGTTCCGAGAGCTGTGGGATATTTCGCAAGACCTCATGAGCAAAATGCCTTTGACGGCTGGACGCCGATCCTGTCCAGCGTGTGCTCCAACCTCGAGTACTCGGTGAATAGCTCTGACCAAACCTTCGGCAACATTGAGATGGCAACTGTCTTTTCACGACGACTGGTATTGGCCATGGTGAAAAGACACCGATAGAGGGTTGCAGCCATCTTGAACCCATCAGCGCTAACGAGGGTTCTCGCGTCGCCACTTTCAGACCAGAAAGACTGAACCGCACTCCCAACATATCTGGCGTCGTGTGGAATGTATAGTGCGCCAGGAATGCAATCTCTCTTACATTACCCAACCTCTTCTCGCGAGCGGAATTTCGTACGTGGCAACCTCAAATATTCATCATCTTTCCACGAAACACTCAGCGGAACTGGCCATGTGCGCAGTGGGGATTGTGTCGGCTCTGATCCTGACTTTAGAGCCGATGGAAGAGGGTTTACGCTTCTGCTCAGCGGCAACTTCGACAGCATAAGATGTGGCAGCGTCAAAGTCCTTTCCAAAAAGTGGTGCTTCATCCCGAACATCATCGTTCCATACCGACGGTCCGTGATGGAACTTTGAAAAGGAGCCTCAATGAAAGGTACTCTCGGTACTGAGAAGAAGGACTTTACTGAGCTCTCCCAAGATGGCTCCGCAACGGTGGCATATGCCTGTCCATGAATGAGGCCCATCTTCTGGGATTCCAGTGACCAGTCAACCCCTTTACCTTTATCTCCATCTGGAAAAATGCACGGGGCGTCAACCCAGAGGCATTATATTGTGAGCGCAAGGCAGATGAGTGCGGCGCCTCGAATCGCTCGGGAGAGCCGATCAATCTCGACACCCTTTCGCATCAGCGCATGATTGTCCATGGTTGGAACCAGTCGCTGCGATGGTCCCCAGCGACAGCTCAAGGCGAGATATTCTGTTCGAGTTTTGATGTCGACCGATATGGCTCTCTACTACAAACACTAAACAACTTACCTAGGGCGACTGAATACCTACCGTTCCGGTTGAACCTACCTCGACCGCGACCGTGACCGAGACTTGGGGCGACTAGCTCTCGATTGGTCTTCCATTGGCACGTCTATCAAGCGTTTGGATAATCCCGAGTTCCGATAGACTCCAAAGTGGTCCTTTGCTACCTGGTCAACCTGTCTCAACAAGCATTGCATGCAGCTAGCTACGGGAATGATCATGTTTGCAAGTGTTTAACAATTCTGATATGCGGCGAACATTCTGGTCCGTGAAGGCAAGACGGCTATTGGGCTGAACCCCTTGGATGCCCGCCTTTTCATGCCCCTCACCTTGTCGTCCGGCGCCAGCACCGTGCTGAGGCAGATATCCGCCCAGCATGATACACGGCTCTGCAGAAGAAACCGTTAATGAGGACGAACGTATGGCCGTACAACGAAGAAAACTCATTTTAATTGCTCGGTTACATTAGCCAAGCAGCATATATTTCTGACGACCCGTCTGCATGGTCGAATCAGTTCTACAATACAGTTCCACCGGGATGTTTCTGGCCATCGCTAATCGTCGCGATTTTGGCACCTGTCCTCTTGTATTTACTCGGCCGAATTAGCCCCAATCTCTTCGGCTACGGCCTCGAATCTTGCCACGGACAAGGCCGCTGCAACCGCCCTCAAAGTCAAGGGCAATCAGGCCTTGCGCAACATGACTGGCCCTCTACTATCGACTATTACACCAAGGCGATAGAAAAGTACGACGCAGACCCGTCGTTCCATTGTAACCGAGCGGAGGCCAACATTAAGCTTGAAGCCTACGGCTATGCCATCGCTGACGCTACCAAAGCGATCGAACTCGACATGTCGTAAGTGCACCTCCGTCCAATATGGATGCAAGGTGCACATGGTCGGAGCGCGTTACACTAGAGCGTTTTTACATTCAACTGGACGTCAAATACGAAATTCTGCCGAATCTACTTCGACAACACAAACTGGTAACCATGACAAAACTGTTCCTACAGGGACATACGCCGCAGACGCAGGGGGGTGACTGAAAGAAATACTGAATTGCTACTGAGTCGGCCCAGAACGTCACAGTGAACGCCAGCCACGACAACTCTATCCAGTGAGGTATTCACCGAGTCGATATCCGAAAATCTCCCAGAAGCCTTGATCCAGCATATCCAATGGCATTACCTACGCCAACACTGCTGTGGTCACACGACCGTGGACGAGAACCAAATGCTGCAGAAAGCGAAATTGACCAATGGCATAATCGGACGACATAACGGCCTGCCGCCCTTCTTTACTAGTAGAGTGTTAGCCCAGTTACCTAACCGGAGGGTGAATGTGTGTACTATGGGATCAATAATGATAGATAACTAGCCTATAGATAGAGATGTCAACACTTGAAGAAGACGTATGATCCCTCCTGCTATATACATGCGATAAGCCAGCTGCTTGGCTGGCGGCCTGACTCCTTAGTTAGTGGCCTGAGCTGAGTGTGCAGTGTCATGTGGGTGTTCGTGACGCAGAGCCTGGGTGCGCTCGGTTCGGTCGGCACTCAACAGACAAAGAACGTCTATGGCGCGGGCAAAGTCTTCACGACCGTCTCGACGCCCAAAGTCCCCCTTGTCGAGACCTACACACCGGGCATCGTCGACAAGATCATCGACTACTTTCAAGAAAGATTAGGTCTGATCACAGCCATAACCCAAGCTGTACTTACCGTGAGCAGCAACTATGATCACCTGTGCATTCAGCGAAAAGAAGCAGGCATGCCGATTGACAGTTTTGCAGATCACCAGGGCAACCTCTTTCCACAGCTCGCAAGGCCCCCATCCTGGCGGATATGCACGATCTGCGTACCGTTTTCGAAGCGAAGCTCGTGGTTGTTTTCAGACGACATCACTCGCCATAGGTCATCATCACTCCACAACAACGCCATGACACATTCTATCACGAGACACATTCCATCACGAGACACACATTCCATCACGACCTACAATACATTCCATCCCGACCCATGACACATTCCATCCTGAGATACATTCCAGGGCGAGCCACGACACATTCTATCGCGAGCCACGTACGACGCATTCTATAGCAAGCCACAACACATTCCATAGCGAGCTATGATTCATTCCACCGCGAGATACATTCCACCACGAGATACATTCCACCACGAGATACATTCCACCACGAGATACATTCCATCGCGAGCTATAACACATGATGTTGCGGCTCGTCTTCACGGTGGCCCGCCTACGCATGCACGAAGGGATGCATCGATACACACGCCTGACCGTCGTCCACGTTAGTCAACACCAGTGCAAAAACCTTGAGCGCATGGGCAGCCTCCATAAGCGAAGGAAGACGAGACACATACCATCTCTTCTCGAACTCATGCGGTTGCATCTTTGTGAGTCCTCTGGCCGTGAGATGTGCCTGTTCTAAACCAACAGCAGAATCCACTGGGCATGTCCAAGGGCATGCTTGACAGCTGCTCTCTTTTCCTGCGATCGGCGGAACTCGGTTAAAGTCCGCGCCTGGGCCTCGTCGTCCGTCCTCCACCACCGCACCTTTGCAAAATCTCCGACCGAATTGCTTCCCCTCCACATGCCCTCAAACGCCCGACAACGCCTTGTCTGCGCCCTCGAATTGTCCATTTTAGCCAACCACTATTGGTACACCCAGACTAGGAAACCTAGTGAGGCCCCCCCTCCGTCGAATTGACGGGGAAGACCCCTGCCGGCGGCGACCAAACGCACCGGACCACTGTCTTCCTGGATGCTATCTTCCCGCACGCTATATTGCAGAGCGTTTTGTTGATTCACAACGCGTCGTATGGTTTGAGCTAGGAGGTTGCACAGAGCGCAGTTCCAAGAGCTGAGAAGGAGACACCCCCACGTTGGCTGATGCTGTTAGCCCAGGTTACTCTTCAGGTCTTGCAGGTTGATGCTAGTTCAGCGCTCACACAATCTCCCTGCTTCCAACACTTTGTCTTTTGACCTGGTACCAAGGTCCATTGTTTTTGACTTGAACCTTCAGTTGAAAGAGAAGGAAGGGTTGCTTGGACGAACTCGTTACCACCTTATAATCGATTCTCATCTCCCCGCCTGGCCGGTGAACTCAAGAGGCCCGGCATCCCAAAAAAGCGACGACCTCTACACCATAAGATCCGACTGACCGGTGCGGCCGGGGTCTCGCTACACACCTGGGGCTCCAAGACTCAGCGATATATCACAGTTTGCGAGCGAACACACTTCAAGTTCGGCTGGAAATGCAATGGACAACACTCCCATGCCTCAACAGATCAGTAGCAGTGCCCAAAGTACACCGCTCGTACCACTGCCAGGACGAGATGCCGCAACGGTACATGTCTGGGGAATATTTTCCAAGAACTCTGCTTTGCCATGTCCCGGAGATGGCGGAGACGCTGAGAAATGTACTCCTTTTCGCGTGTGACCAACATAATGTTGAAAGGTGCCCCGGCCTGGCCGTACAAGGAATTTTCCAAGGAGGTGACCAGTTGAAGACGTCTCGCGTCACTTATTGTCTGCCTCTATATGCGCCGCTTGCGTTTTGGAGAGGCGAACCATGTCCAAGCACGGCCACCCTTACCCGAATATCTTAGCCCAAAGGGGCTGGTAACTCTTGACCACCGTCTCCGTGAGGCTGTGAGCATCTCCACCGACAATTCAGCGGGATGATGGCCATCGTGCACATCACTCATGGCATTTGCCGGTCCGCTGGCGACATCGCCCACGCTGCGCCGCCTACTGCTGAGCCGGAGCGCGTCTGCGACGTTTCCCCCCGTATCTGCGCCGTGCTCGTCGCGATCGCGGATTCCAGGAACCGCGCGACCTCCCTGTCCGTGTCGGAGCATTTGTCGCCCTTGGTCCGCAGGTTCGACGTGTCGATGAAACTGATAATATTCTCCTGGAGATCGAGTATCTCTTGATTCCGACAAAGGACTCGCCGGTATACCCCTATAACCCCGAGCTGTGTCCAGTCACCGAAGATTCGGGACCAACATTGGACGGATCAACCGGCGATGCCAAACACCAAGAGGTGTGCAGCATCTGGAACTTTATGTCGACGACCTCGTGCTTCTTGCTCGTATTCAGCTAACCGGTCGCCACGAACTTGGTCCCCTCGTTCAAGAGGGCTCTGGACCAGGCCGAGATCGGCCCCGACGCCGTCAACCAAGCCGGCATTACTGGTGGCGCTGGCGACGAGGAGACCGGGCTCCAGCGTCTGCGTTTCATTCTGGTACAAGGCCTGTCTTTGGTTAAACGATCACATTCACAGAATCTTGTACATTGCATTGACGCCACGAGAATGAAAAATGGTGGCAGCCTGATGAGGAGACGACAAATCATTGTTCATTGTGATCTTCTGGTGGCGTGCCAACAATTAGATCAGACGTGCGGTTCGTACGGCTAACCGCGCACCTCGAAAACTTGCGCCTGAGCAGCGCCTCGTCAACATTACACTCTCCCAACTGATGGGGATATCAGGCATTACTTGACATTTGTTCACCAGATCAACATCACTGGTGCCGATTGACAAATTTCCAGACTCTGTGCTTCGGCCGTCTAGCGGGTAATCCCCTATCGTGACCTGAAACTGGAGCCTCGATATCCCGTCCTAGCCGCCATTTCAACGTGGCCACTGCATCCTCGATCTGTGTGGGAAACCGAAACTGGGATGCCAGGTGGAAGTCGGTCAACAAGGCTTGGGCGCCGACTGCTTTGGCCAGATGGGCAGCCATTTTCCGGGGGCTCTGCGGCGACCCGGCAATGCAACATCCCCCGTGCAGGTACAGAATGACATGACCAGGGTTCGACGTGGACGATTTACACCAGATGGCCGGTCGCACGGTGCCAGGACAGAGAACCTCTTCGTGGGTCAGCAAGGCATCATATCATGAGATCCTGGTACTGCTTTGACGCCTGATCATGTCTGCTTCGGCTCTAGATCAATGCACGATGGAATGTATCTCGCGATGGAATGTGCCATGGCGTTGTTGCGGAGTGATGACTACCTGTGGCGAGTGATATGAAAAATGAAGCTCACGGCACCACTAGGAGCAGCAACACGGGTCCACTGAAGAGCTCCAAAACTGTAGGTGCTCTCATTTGAAGACTGCCATCATTGGACCACGTCATGAATCCTCTGGTGGCTCGAAGTTTCAAGATTGGCTGCCTGGCCTCCAGCTCAGCCCGCCCTCCTCCCACCCAGCTGCCTTGCTCCTAGGGAGCCCTGCCTGAAGGATTGACGCTCGATCGAGATACATTGTCATGACCGGACATACTGGATGAGTGGCTCTTTGACGCGGGTTGTTGGCCAGGCATCAAAATATTTTGCCACCGCGATATCGCCAACATCCCGGTCAACACAGACATTAACTCCCCTCTCAGTCATTCAATATGCCGTCCAATACCTGAAGGTTAAGCACAGCATTCCGATACTGAAAGCTTCCGTGCAGGCAGTAGTAGCGGGTAACATCTACTATTACCGGCCACGATGAGCGCACGCCGGGAACTTAGAGGGATGTGCGGCAATTCTAAATAACAGCAGAGCAACAGCGACGAAATGTTCGAATGCTCAAGGCGAGACCGGTGGTCTACATGCATTCGGTTGGACTCCCTTACCGACGCGCTCATGTATTCCCGACGGATGGTCTGTGACGGACTCAACGATACGTGTCACATTCTTCAATCCTGGGTTGCTCCACTCTCTCATTCACAGTCCGCATCAGAAATTTGACAAATTCCCTGAAATCACTCCAAGCAGAAAGGAATGTCTTGTAGGTCCTTGTCCTTCAAAGTCTTACAATCCTGCTTGTCACCTCTCTTGGTCAAGCGATCACTTCTCTCTTGGTCCGGCCATCACTTTGGCAAGTCTTATGACGAGTCAGAAGTTGACGCAGCGAACCAGAGGCTGGGAGAGTATTTCGTCCGAGACTTGTCAGAAAGGGCCTCTTCAAGATCGGCAAGGTGCGCAGTTTGACGGCTGAGACGACTCAACCCAGAACCCTCCGCCTCCCGCACCCACAGAAGTGGCAGACGGAACCTGTTTCTTCCATGGCGACCGTGCCGGTGCGTATTCCCTGATGATGTTGAGCGACCGCTTGAACAACTTCGATCTACCTTGCTGCAGTACCGAAAGAGGGAGCGCTCGCTACATTTTCGCAACGATTTCCTCCGTTCATCGCACCCATGACGCTTTCGTTCCCCGTTGACTTGGGCAAAGTACTGATGGACTCGGTCGGACTCGGTCGTTCAGACAAAACAGATCAGTGAGACGGACCGGAAGGATCTAGTCGTCGAGGATTCAGAGACCGACGGACGGGCAGCGGACACGAACCGGAAGACGTTACCTTTACACCACCGCAATCTTCCAAGCGAATCGCCATGTCCATGCCCAGGAAAGCATGCTGCATCACGTACAAGACTGCCACGGTCTGGCCGAGCTTCACCTGGTGCCAATGGCATGTTTCTACTCCCAGCTCTGCAGATAAAGACTCTTCTAGACTAGATTACGAAGGCAGATGTCAGGCGAGCATTACTTCATCTCTCAACTGATATGACTCATGCCTTCCAATCAACCATTCAGAGAATTTTTACCCTGCCCAAGGCAAGACGCGACCTTGCCTTTAGAACATTGATGTGGGTTTCCCACGCCAGGAGACCGATGACTGTGCGGGAGTTACAGCATACCATGGCATTACGGCCCGGGGACCATGATCTCGACAGGGACAATCTCTCCTCTGTGAAGAGGCTTATCGACTGCTGTTGCGGGCTAGTCGAGGTGGACTATGAGAGTTCAATTATACGGTTGGTGCATCAATCACTTGAGGAATATCTTCGTGATCACGACCACGGTCTCTTCACCGACGCCAACCTCGTCATTACCAAGATCTGTCTTCGTTACGGATTGTTGACCATGATTGCGTCCAAGCGGGGTGGGACTTGCTTGTTGCGCACCCCAGCCCCTTCGTGGCTTGTCCTCATATTCAGACGCCCCTCGGACAAACTGCGTGTCAGCATCACGTCTGATCTGTGGAGTTGACATTTTTCGTTCCTAAAATTCGTCGACGAGACCCAAGGTACAGGGCGAAACACCTCGGACGAGATGAAGTTTCAGAACAGACCCTGTGACAATCCATGGATGATGTTCGGCTTAATAGTGCAGGGAGCGTACAAGCCTGGGTAGGACATGTGAATTGGCCCTCGGTTACGGTGACTTGCCGGATTGAAAGTGATGGCAGCCTCTTGTTGAATGGAAGCATCGACAGGCTGGTCGACTGTCTCACTCCTCTTCATCGCGGCGAACATGGAGTCCCGAGACCAATTGTCGGCGCCGTCCCTATCAGCCAGCACACGAGACGGGTGGTTTGACCATGTCCACGCCATGTATGAACGTGGAACACGCGAGCTTGCTGCTCTGTCTGGCCGACGCTAACAAAGCCGAGGATGCAGCTGGAGTAGAGGAAGAAGACGCCTCTGTCGGCCTGGAAAATAGCCGCCCAGAGGTGTCTACTGAGGAGGGACCGGGTACGAACAACCCGCGTGAGCCCGATGATAGTCCCTCGGACATGTGGACTAAGCGACAACAGGAATACGGTCAATGGCCAGCATTGAGGCGACGGCTTATACTGCGGAATGTGTTGCCAGTCCACAGCATTGTTGGGAAGATATTGTCCACGAATCTTCCTAGACAGTGACACATCAGTGTCTTCCCACCTACCAACATCGCCAGTCATCTCTTCTCTCTTCCTTACTCCTCGTCGTGCCCTGCGGAAGAGAGGCACCTTCGCGCGGTGCAGGGCATAAGTGCCCAGCCTAGCTGAGGAAACCAAGACCTCTCTATCGTTGCGAGACGCGATATCATGGCGAACTGGCCTGAAAGGCAGATTTTCTGCGACTGATAGAAGAAGCACCAGAAGACGATGATGCTGAGGAAGATCTGTACTCTCGCATTTCAGATGCTTGCATTGCCATGTTACGGGCTCACCATTGGCTCTCGATCGATCCACGTCAATTTTCTCTTCAACAATTCTACGTGCCCGAGACACTTTACTTCAAGTTGCTGGAAGATATGGGCAGGCTCACATACTTAAAGGCGTCACCTACTGAAGATCACCCTCCACAACAAACAACTGGGCAAACCCCTCCAGCCCCGACAGGGCCGGCACCTGACCTGCCAATCGTACGCAGAGTTGAGCCTTATGAGAAGTCGCCCAAGACGTCGGACCAATCTCAACAAGTACAGGTCAATCGTCTCCCTTCACCTACCGAAAAGAGGACAGTATATTCACCCGTTACAACGGCTCTAAAGTCTACTCCGTCGACGAGTCCGGTGAGCGATGATGAGATTGGCACTGACAAGTGTCGGACGAGCAGACGGCTTCGTGAATATACAAAACATCAGAAACCTCTCAAAACTGGCGTAAAATATCGAAGGTTTTCAGATCTGGAGCGAAGTTCCCGGCCCTGCGGTGATGCACCAGACATAGTGCCGGCCACTGGAGGCGTGGGAAGCCATTGAAGGATCAGGCCATCCAACGGATCACCGGTCAAGCCGATTTATGTAAAGCGGTCAATGGATCCCTTTACGCTCGATGAAAGTGATTCAGAAACAGACGACAAGACTCCAAAGATGGACTCGCTCGTCCTCCAAAGTGTTTCTCCCGTTGCAGAATCAGAGATACAGCCGCCCGCTTTATTCTGCCTGACCTCCGCCTAGTGAGCCAATGCCAGCGCCTACTCATCCAAAAGTCCTTCGAGTCGACCGCGGCGTGAATGGAGATTCGGTCCTGAGGTGTGAATGCCAGCTACTTCACCCTCTCCCATTTGTCCAGCTTTGTTTTCTTTTTTGATAACGAGTGCTTCTTGAAAGCTGCGGGACCTCTGCAAAGGGTTTGTCGGCGCCCATCTCACGAAAACAGCAAACAGTATATGGCGCCGATATCTCCCAGCTCTTTTGCTATTGTCCGTCGTCAGAAAACTAAAACCTTTGTGCGTTCACCCAGTCAGGTCCGTGTCAGATCGAAATCTAAGCTTCTCTGTTGAATTGTCTTTCCTCGCCGTCGATCGTCTGGAAGAAGAGTATAGAAGACAACATATAAAAGACAAGAGAAGGCCATGCAGATACACCAAGTGCCACGCAGTCGATGTTCCCATCTCGACGCATGCTTGGACAATGGTTGATTTAATGTCAAAAGGCGCAATCCAGAAAGACAAACGCACCGACCCAAAAGTCGTTGGCGGTCTCGATCACAATTGAGTTTCAGGCCTCAGTGGCTTCTCTCCGACAGGGCGTCCCAGGTAGTCCGAGAGTCACAAATCATTGCGCTTGGATGCCACTGCTGTTGACTGCGTCGGTGGTAATGGTCTGATCGCACGCATTTGATCATCGGAAATTGTACCATCGGCAACATTATTCTTGCTCTTGATAATAACAGTCGGAGTGCCATTCAGCTGAAATCCAAGACGGATGAGACCAAAGCAGAAGACGTCGAGACATCTGAAGAAGTTTGAGATAGCCAGTGCACGCGCAAAAGGCAAAGAGCCTCTTGTCAAAGTCAATACGGCAGAGGAGATGAAAATTACGGTTGAGTTGGGCGCGCCTGATCAAGAACAAGGTCCTCCGCAATCTCGAACTTGGCTTTTGCGCGGATGGATTTTGCTTTTCTGAGATCAAGAGGCTCCGAGAGGAGAATGCCGTCGAAAGTGTCGGCACTGTCGTTGATCAACGTTGCGTACCTACGTGCCTTACCAAGCCTTGGAGAATAAGGTGCTGATGGATGGCCTGCTGGACAGCCCTGAGTTCGGAGGACATGAACTTGACCGTGGTGTTGCTGTTTGGGACCAGATGGGTCTAGCTACAGGCTTCTCGGCTCTCGGGAACATGCTTGTTGTGACCAGGTGGCGGACAGCATCTTTGGGCTCAACGGCAGTTTTCAACTGCAGTTTCAACAGCATTTTCGACTTGAATCCTCGCCGCAAACCCGACGTTAGTGCGGTCTTTAATCTGAGCAACAAAGTCACGCTTCAGCGCAAGATCTTCAGCTTCATTTTGCCAGAGCCTTGAAATTTCTTGAACGCGTGCGCGTTCTTACAGCGGTGATAGAACAGGGCCCTGATACATCCGGTGATACTCTTCCTACGACCGAGCAGAAAGAAGAAGGATGCTGAGAAAGATCTCAAGAAGCCTTGTCTTCTTACATGTAAACAAGTTTCTTCGTCAAGCCGTTCTCCTCGGCAGACCTTCTCTCGAGCATCCCGCTCCTGGTCACCTGCAAGGTCATTTCTGACAGGTTGCAGGGAATATCGTTGTTTACGGTCTTTGGTCTTTTGCTACCTGGCATCGCTCTTGCAGAAGATTGAAGGCTGCGCATAAAACGATTTGGAGGAGGCAGGCCCCTGGTGGAGGTAACCCCGTCATGACGCCTCTCGCTCTATCGCATTTCTGCCGGTCTTCTTTACTTCTCCTCTCGCCAATGCAGATCGTCGGTTGTGCCTTTGAACCTGTCACTCTCTTGTTAATCACCTTTACGGCTCCACCTCATTGCAGACACCCCGTGCACCCAACTACCTCATTGTTGAGCCTTCGTTACACTTTCCGATTGCAACCAGCCCGTCTCCAACCCTACACGATATCCAGAACCTTGGCCACCTGCGAAGCCAAGAGGCAACTGGAAATCAATCCAGCACGGAAATACACGAGTCCACTCGAGGTCCCAAGTGGACATTCGATGACGATTGTCGACCAGCTGAGGCGTTGCCGCTCGAAACGCCACCCACACCATTAGCTTCCTACGTGACCGGCTTCGTGAGACCGAGGCCGCCCTTTCTACTACTAGCTGCTGCGGATGAGGCGGGCGGACGACAACGACAACGATGACGACAAAAACCACCACCACATCACAGACACTGCCGCACATGCTGCACAAGCTGAGAGGCCAACCTCAGTTTCATCCTCTGCGCAGAAAGTGTCCAATCTGGTACTTGCGGAACTTCCCCTCCTGTGGCGTCTGACGACCTTTTGTAAGTGGAAGGAAATCTATCTAGCGCGTTTTCACAGTTTGTTGTGTGCCGCGATGGAAATTATTCGGCTAACCTTCCCAATAGGGTAAGGGCGACAGCTCAATGGCGACAGCTTTGGGGCCTGGATCCGACTATATTTTGTCCAGCAACGCACATCTGAACACGGACTCAACCAGGAGACGTTGTATTTTCTTCCCAGTACCAAAGGGATAGCACTCGCCCCCCTACTACAGGACTGGAGACTTCTGGTCCAGTGTCTCTGTAGGTGCCCTTCAGCAGATGCACCAATAAAACCAACACCGCCCGGGCTGGGCCCGGGTCTTTCTCTGCTACTACTGGACCACCACCACTGTTTAGCACGCGCAGCCTGGCTTCTCGCTGTCATACAGATCTATTCCACCGAGCCCGTACGCCGAGAGCTTTCTCACCGGGACTGCCATGTGGCCCTCCTCGACTCTCTGGGGTAGACTTCCGCCCCAGCACGTCTGGGACTGACTATGGCACGCTGGCGGCTGCGACGGCAGGTCTCACGTTCAGCAGCGGAACTCCTCGTACCAAGCCTACTTATCTAGGCGCCGATGTACCCCCTGTACAACCATTGCCACGACAATACCATTCTTTCACTCCAACAGTACATTGACAGCTATGTATAATACCACCACCTCAACAGCAACAGTAACAGCAGCAGTAAAAACAACGACCACCACCAAAACAACCACAATGACTACCATAACACCAACACCAACACCAACAACCTCGCGCCAGTGTATGTTAGAGAGATCCAAGTACCAGCCTGTCTTGCGACCGTATAAAAGGCGAAACTGAGCCAGCGCAACTTTGTCTGCGGGCGGAGGTCGGCTTCTTGCTTCTCCTTCGTGGCCTGGCTACTCGGTCGGAGTAGAACAAGTGGCGAACCTTGTGTCGGGCGGAATTGGCTAGTGGCAGTCGCCAAGATGTGAGTCTCCCTGCTTGATTGTATTTAAAGAGCTGCCTTCTGACGAAGTGCTTAATCTTTCCAGTCCCGGCTTGTTTCCGTCGGTTAAGTCTACGGCAGGGTGGATTGTTTCTTGGTACAATAACTTGGGTTCGAGGTGTTTGAGATCCGGAGGACATCATCATCATCTTGAACAATGGGTAAGCAGGCCATGTAGGTAGTAATGAAGTCGGAGTTCTACCATTTATTGATCATTGGAGAACGTCCGTGCCAACGCCGACACTGACGTCCTTGACACCAACCGCAACACCAACCGCAACACCAATCGCAACACCAACCGCAACACCAACCGCAACACCAACCGCAACACCAACCGCAACACCAACCGCAACACCAACCGCAACACCAATAGCAACAACACAAGCTTGTTTTCGGTTGCCGCCTTTGACGCTATGTAGTCGCCAGGAAACTTTACACAATCAACATAGTTGGAGTGTATCGCCTTAGTGATCAAGTAAGGGTAGTGGATCACTACCGCCTCAGACGTGTGTCGTTCTATCCGCTTTGGATCGATGCTTACCCAGAAGGGAGAGCGTTCACCAAGATCCGGCATGGTCCACACATAAACCGAATGATCGAAGCCTCCTATAACCAGGTACCGGCCGGATATGTGCCACGAAACTGACAGTACGCTAGCCCTGTGCCCGTCTATCCCCCCTCCATAAATTATGATGGGAGACGCCCTGCGCGGCGAGGAGCATGGCCGCAGATCCCATACTCGAACTTGGCCATCCCGTGAGGCGGTGGCGAAAATCCATGGGTAGCAAGGATGGACTGCGATGTCGTTAATGTTTGCATTGACATGCTGGATCTGAAAAGGAACATATCAATATCGACACAGAAATGTGGATAGTCGCATGCCCATGCTCACCTCATAGGATATCATAACATATTGGTCGGTCCTCTTGTTGGGTGAAGCCAGAGGAAACTCTGGTGGAGGCTCGCAGCGGTTCTGATGTGCAAATCGATCGTCCCCCCCTAAGTCCACCCCATCTCCACCCCTGCCGACTGAGAGATTGGGCCAAGAGATAACCATGAGCACCATCTAGAGACGCGATCAGCACACCGGAAATCCGTGGGGAGTGTCAGCTCCAGGCCGAAGTCGGGGGTACTGTACCAACAGCAACAGCAACAACGATAACGACAGTAACAGCAACAGTAACAACAGTAACAACACTAACAGTAACAACAACAACAGCAATAACAGCAACACCGCCCGGGCTGGGCCTGGTTCTTTCTCTACTGCTGCCACTGCTGCAACCACGACCACCACGACCACCACAAAAACCACCGGGAAGGTGGCAGGGTCGCCTGCGAAAAAGTGTCCAGCTTATCTTTTCTCGCACAATCGAGAGCGACAAAATGTCAGTGACGGTCAACGGTCATTTGAGCTTTTCTTAACCCGTCAACATGCTTACCACCCAAATTGCCAACGTCGTCACGTTCTTCTATCCGCTCGGGTGTAATAACGCGTCAAGACTCAAGTCAAGTCCCCGCTCATTGCTTGGCCACTGTTCCTTTTTATCTCGCGTTTGTCGCTTCTCCTCTATTTCGATTCCTCCACGAATGCAAGAAATGGCCACTTCCGCCGCCGATACCGATCGAACGATTGGAAATTCAGCCGCCGAGTCTGCGTGGAGCCGGTTCTTCGTCGCATCCTCTATCGCATCCCCTACACCGCCCTCCCGGCCTGCCGTTCCGGCCGCGCTGCCATACGAGATGCTTTGAAATTCGCACAAAGAGAATGCATCTATCTGCCTGTGAAGATGAAAAAACTGTTGGGGACTCGGATGACGATGCCCCAAAGGAAATGGTTCTTGCGCAGCCGCAACAGGGACGGACTCTTCTGCCTGCGCCCGCAGTCGCGATTGTCAGTGGCGTTACCGGCCTGACTTCGTTCTCGTTCCTTGAAGACCAGATCACCCCTGCCATATGTCTGACTTAAAGTCTACCCCCGGAGAAACAAGGGGATGTCCTACTTCTCGGTAGTGGGCACCTCCGTCATGTTCTGTTCACAATTCATATGAATGGTCGGTTTCACACTTTCTATCGTACATCGGCAAGATATGTCTCGCTCATCATTACCGACTTCGAAGGCATAGGGAATACTCTAATTTGGAATACCTACCATCACTCCCGGATCGCCGAAATTTCACTTCAACTGCTGCAGAATCAGGTACGGAAGCTGTACGCTCTGGCTGTTTCTCTCGGAATCTGGTACAAGAGTAAATATGGCAGGCTGATCAAACTCTGTGACCATGAATGTCTCGAAAAGGTCTACGAGATGTAGGAGTTCTACGGGATCGAAAGAGGGGGAAGAGAGCTCTCCCAGTTTGAAGAACACCTTGACGCCGGCGTCCGAAAATCAAACCAACAAAAGACCCGGCTAGGAAAGAGTATAAATCTCACAGGGTTGAGATCTTCGTGTCCTGCATCTCTGCGCTCCATTGCCGAGCTGGACACCTTGCACAAGCCCTACTGGGAGTATGGCTCTACCGATCTCAGTCGTTCAACTCGGTCGCTCGCCACCCATGCCAACCTAATGTTTCTTTCTTTGTTAGACAACGTTATCATGCATTATGTGACCGATCCGCTACTGGGCTTCCTCTTAGCCACTACCCACGTGCCCACACCACCACCATCGCCCTTGTTTCTATCTCGGGCAGGTTCAAGTCCTCAGGAGCACGCAGTCGAGGCGGCGAACACTGAATTCCGTTCCTGCACAACCTCATTCAGAACTCACGCGCATTCTGTGTGCCTGCGATGCTCTAGCCTTCTTCCATTATCTACAACATCTGAAAACCACACGATCAACTTTATCTGCACGTTCATTTCGCGAGCTTTTCACTTCCAACCCTTGATGCCTGACCCAGAGAAACGTACCGATGCGAGGCCGGTCCACCTACCTTCATCGTCATCGATACCTCGAACCTTATCGACCACGTTTGGACACTGGAACAGCTGTGTATATCGTCTATGTGTATATCGTCTATTGTCGACCAAGACGGCAAAGAGCAGTTGTCGATCCAACTTGACTCGAATGCATCAGACACACACCTCCAGTCTTCTGAAGCGATTTTGGACAGGTCAACGGGTCGTTGGACACCGTGCACACCTCGAAGTGCGTGTTCAAAGCCCGAGCTACCACAGCGCCCGTCACAATGTTCATTGAAAGAAGAACCAGGACACTAAGAGTTGGACAAGCCATCTCCCCCGCAATGACTGAGACGGTGGCCGGTAGAAGCTGGTTCTGTCGGGATCTGACAACCTGTCATTCTATAGTCTCTCTGCTTCCCTCGCAAATTCATCACCTCCAATTTCGATAGACTGATATTGAGAGTCCGATGGTAGGCTGGGTACCACCCTGGGACGTCAAAGCTGGTCTCGAAATTCATTCGTCCACTACATAAAACGATGATGCTTCTGTTCGCACCAACCTTTTTAGCCACGTCGGTGTATGTATGCAGTCAACAATGGTCTGGGGGAGCTCTCAATTTACTTGTCGCAACCGCACCACTTCTGGCACACGATGATTCTGCCACTCTTCACACCGAAAAGCTTGTGCGGTTGAACAATACGTACAGCAGCTTATTTGATGGCCTCCTTTGTGGCTCTTTACCAACAGCCTCGATGCTGCTCGATTTGACCCAGTGGATTCCGTGACAAATACGTCTGCGCTCTCTACCGACGACGAGCTCCTGCTCGATGCAATGATTGAACGCTCAGGAGCGAACTCGTCCGAATCTACGCATTTATTTGCCAGGATTGCACGGAAGCTGCCAGTATGTATGTACGACGGATCAACACAGGAAAGCTCAGAGAGAATACATGTCGACCCCACCGGCCTGGCAACGATCCTCTACCATGTTTTCCTAGCTTGTCCAGCAGAGGTCCTTCTGCCGCCTCAGCAAACTGGACGACGGATCGACTGTCAAGGAATTTGCCGAGCTTCCAGGAGAGGTTCACTGGTGTGGAAGAGCCCGGCGGAGAATACAAGCTCACGTTTCCCGGAAACAGCTGAGGAAAGTCACCCCACAGGCGGGAATGTTTGAGAATGAAGATGTGACATAGATGATGTCGAACATGACAACGTCCAAACTACCAAGACCCTCACCTTCAAGTCACCCTCACCTTCAAGTTACCAAAGTGCCAGCCTCGTTGTCTTTATCGGTATTGTCAGAACCAGGATGAGTGCGAACTGAGGGAAGACGGTCGAATGTCTCCTCACTCTCATCGAGACCAACGTCGGCCACTTGATGACGAAGAAGTACATTCAGAAACTGTATGTCTGGCTCCATCTGCTCGATTTCTACTCTAGGGAGGCCCCAAGATCTCTCTTCAATCCCCTTGGTGGCGACGTTGACCAAAGACTTGCGTAATTTGAAGGACATATCTCCCGTCGTCAGTGTGACGTTAAAGGTGCCCCGAGAGGCTGTCAGTTTTCACTGATGGACATGTCACCAAGCGCGGGCCTCGACACCATCAGTGCATTGTCTTATCCAAGGCTGCTCCGCCGCACGACGATGGCAAATATTTTCGGAGCTCCCTAAATGTAGTTCGGTGAGGTGGAGAGCCATGGCACTCCATTCAGCGCCTCTTTCGAAGTGGGCATCATTGAGGACAAGTCTGCATGGAGTGGAAAATTGCCATTGCTGAGGTCAGAGGCTTGGGCTGTTCCCAGGTGAAAGTCTGATCGGTGAAATGACCGTTTTTAGCGGTCTTAAAGTAAATGGATGGGGTTGGTCAGGTTGAGTTCCTTGACAATGACGCCGGGACTCAGGTCGAAGTTCTTGTTGATAATGTCGACAAGCTCGGCACTAGTTCTGGTGCTGGGGCCGTAAGTCTCGACGACGAGCGAGTCCTGCGGCCACGAGAGATTCCGCAATCCAGCAGGCTAGATAAGCGGCCGAGCGATCGACCTTGCTATAGTCCTTGCCGGAAAAGGCACCACCACCGTGAGCACCCCAGCCGCAATAAGTATCCACAATGATCTTGCGGTCGGTGAGACCAGCGTCTCCTCTCACAATAACGGACAGCTTCTGGGGAGTTCGGCACCCAAAGCACTCCCCAGCACAAAGCAAAAAGGCTTATTGCAGAGGGTTCCTGCCAGCCACCGAACGAACCTCGTGATCGTGGCTTCGTTCACAACCCATGGACCGCATGACAACACACCATCGCCAACACCTCTATCGGCATTAGAGGTCGGTGGAGCACTTTCCATGTGGCCTACATATGGCCTACCATTTATCCGGCTAGTCACCTACTACGCTTTGAACACAGTTTTGGTCTTGAGCTTATTGTTTACCAAACCACCCTCTCAGATGCCGAGCATGTCTACACGAGCAAAAATCTGCCCAACCAGTCCGGCATTTTCTCCTTCTGTAAATCTCCTCAGCCCATGTCGGAAGAAGGGCTGGCCAGCCTTGACGGCAAATTTGACAAACCGGCTCTTAGAGTCGTTACACTTCTACAATGCGTCGCCGCCTACCCGCAAAGGCTTACCTGCAAACACGACCGTTACCGCCACCGTCGACTCGAGGACAGCCACCACATAAATCTCGCGAATGGCATTCGATCCCGCCGCGGCTACCTCTCCAGCAGCGGCCTCAGATACAAATTCATTAGAGATCTTCTGTATCAAGGGCTCCAGAATATCCGGCGGCACAAGATTATACGTGGACTGCGCTAGCGATGGCCAGATACAAACCTCAGACAAAAGCGCCATAACGAAAGAACTTCGGAGTATAATGGATCAACTACGGGCATTGAAGCCACCAGAACCGTCGTTCTATAGTAATTTAGAACGTTGTCCAATCTCTCACTTCTTGTTCAATCCGATGAAGCCCAATCCTACAATAAACGGACCATTCGTCAACAAGCATGACTTCGTCCAAGGTCTCGTACACAATTTGAGGACTATCGATGAACTTGATCACCGAGACAATTACAAAACAGAGTTCTATGAGCAGAACCTCCCGTCCTGCTTCCGCCTTAGACGGCCAAAGATAACTCATGGCGACATTCGGAGAAAGAATATAATGGGTCAGCAAACAGGTCTTTTGGTCAATGGGTGTGAACCAGCTTTGAGTCTCATGGCCATAGGATTGGTATCCTACCTACTGGGAAGTCTTCGTCACGTTCATATCCGTCCGCTGGGACGAGGATTGGGCTTCAATGATTCACGAGGGTTGGACCGACCAGACCGTTCGGATACTGGCTTTGACGATTACGAGCGACATGCCCTGAGGTATGAACGCCCTGATGGCTCAGGCCTGGCACCCGTAAGGAGTGAGGGTGCGGTCGAGAGCACGACAGGAGAACTCCATACGATCGACCTCCTGCGCATGAGAGAGATTGTCCAACCGTGCGCCCTCCCCTATCAGAACGTGAGTGCGAAAGCCGTGGAGCCGCTCCAAGATCATGACCTCCATCAGCTCTGGAATCCTCTACACCAGAACCACAACCTCCTCAGAAGGATGACATCGTCTCGGAGCTTCCACAGACGATAGTTAATCCACCGCGCACTTCGTTGATTGGAGACAGCAATAGTGACCGAAGATCGCTTCCGGGTTCACGACTTTCTTGTATGGTCGCGTGGACATCGTTTCCACCGATTGCAAAAATACACAACGAGGGGGTGGACAGGTCAACTCCATCTCAAAACCACCCTTCAACTTTACTATATATCTTCAACCGAAATTCGAATTCCCGACAGATAAATTCGCGTGTTAAAGTCAGGCCTCAAGATCAGAATCGCACGGAAGTCTTCCACATCGAACTGATTTGTCCAGTCGCCGATGGCGCCGAATGACCCTCGTTCCGATCCTTCGTACACCCTACCCTCATCGACTCGGACATTGTCACACTGTGAGCCGGAACTATATGTATTAAGTATCGGTGTGGTTACAAGGAAAATGTCGGTGCGAAAGCCAAATCAATCTTTCCAACACCATTCTCGACCTACCTCTTTCACAGGATACAGCCATTCCGGTAACAGGACACCACCATGGCTGCGGCTCACAACTTCGACGTTCCGGCTGGGTACACTGTCCGTGTACGGATTATCGACACCACCTCGCAGATTGAAATGCGGATTCGCAAGGCTAGTTTCGGCTCAGTCGCCATAGGCAGGAAGATTCAAGAGGCCGCCGCAAAAAGCACCTTGAAACGCGTCACCTTGGAGCTTGGAGGCAAGAGTCCAGCCGTGATCTTCGAGAATGCAAATCTTGAGAATGCGCTCACATGGACAATAAACGCTATCTTGACAGGCAGTGGGCAGCTTTGCGTCGCCGCATCGCGAGTTGCGCACTGGAGCTGCCAGTTGGGGCTGAGATCCCCGTTCCCTCCGAGCCTGCGAATGATTGTCCCACGTCAATATGTCTACCGTTTGTCCATGTGGAACCCAGTGAAATGGGCATGAGCATGTCCTTGTGGTGGCGGTGACAGGAACACACAAATCCTCGCAGGGATACAACAAAGTATAGTCCTCTCGATTGGGGCATCAATGGACGAGATGCAGATAGTCTCGACTTTTCCTTCAACAACATGGTTGGTGTTCCCGGACGCAGTAAGGGTTGTCATACGTGTTTGAAAAGAAGGGTCAAGTGCGGTACGCGAACCGTGCATATCTTATTCTTTGTGTCTTTCTCTTCGACTCGATCTGTCGAACCGAACAATCGTACTGGACACGGCGGTATTAGCACTTCACGACACCCTGATGCCTCGCATCGCCTCGTTTCTGAGGACACTGACAAACAACGGTGGCTTTGTGTCAGATCAGCGCCATGGAAGCCGAGATGCGCGTCTGGAAGCGAATACGTCCAGTGCTTGTCGAGCGTGACAGGACGTGGTCTCACAGGGCTGAGTGCGAGTATCTGACTAAGCGACGACCACCGCTCTCTGCAGACTGTCCCAGATAAAAAGGCTGGCCACCTGAGTCTTCCACCTTTTCACTGTTCTAATGCCGCTGGAACTTGACATCGTTCAGCTTCCTCAAGTACTTATCCACCCTCTGGTTGGCAGAGCGGCTCCACAACGCCGCCTGGTTATCCCCCTGGACCCCCGTCGTTGGAACCTGTTTGCGTCCGGGTTGACGCTGGAACTACCTCAAGTACTCGGTTAACGGTCAACAGCCTCTTTCGTTACATTATACCAGCGGATGTACTCCGCCTCTGTCGACACGCAATTGGCGTTCGCCAGCGTCAATAGGTACGCTGACCGCTGATTTCGTTGTCCGCGGAGTGTCTATCGCCCTCGTACTGGCCATCGATCTACCTGCCGGCAACCAGCTCGGTTTCCTCTTCCTTTGTCTAGAATATCGACAGGAGAAACTTTCAGAACTCATGAAAGACCGACCTTTTATAAAAGTCTTCTGTGGCTTACTCATTGTTTTCTCATATCCGCGCGTGAGATTCTATGCTCGAATACCGACAGGACACACTTTCAGAACTCATATAAAGACCGACCTTTCTTCTGTGATTTACTCGTTGTTTTCTCACTTCCACGCGTGAGATTCTATTCTCGAACATCGACAGGACACAGTTCCAGACCAAGGAGTCGGTGGCACGAAGAGCATTGTGTCGGCGTCGTGCGGAACGATAAAGCTCCAGGAGACCTCCCACTCCATCGACCGAGGACTCGTTGGCACAAAGACCATCGGGTTGGCGCCGTTTCCATCAACCGAGGACTCGGTAGCACAAGGAGGTACTCGAGCCCCAAAGTCCATTGCTGAATTTGACACGGATGTCAGAGAACCTTTCCCTGAGGCTCCACAGCTTCCAGATTTACTCTCAGTTGAGATGGACCACTGCCGGAAAAAGCACAAAGCGTTTGCAAGGCAACTTAGAGTACCGCGTCTGAGTCTTGAGTCATCTACGCGAATCTGAAAGAGAGCCTGGAAGCCTGAAGTTCAATGCAGGAGGAGGCAGCGGTTATACCACTCCTTTCTTGGGGACATCTACCAGACGTACCAGGATAACCTTTGTCCTGTGAAAGCATCAAGGGTGGTCTTCGTTTTCCTCGTCTCGAAGGGATTACCCCGGGTTCTGAGTCCGTACAGAAGAGCTGCCCCAACGCCTTGCTCACTGGAAGTTGCTGGAAATGACGGAGACCTCTCTCAGTCGTCATCGGTGCCAGATTCGTCGTCGTCATCATCAGTCGAGTCTCTTTCCGTTGGCGTTGAAGTCTCAACGGTGTTTCCGGCCCCATGGAAAGCGAAGCAGAGTGTCGGCCCAGACCTTCGAATACTAGCATCCCCAGACAAAAACAAGAATGCCAAATGCCAAACGTCAAAGGTTGTGACATACCCCGACACGAATCTCTTCTACAGCGCTACGACAGATCCGAGTACGAGTGCTGGCTGTTCTTGTTCCTCCGCTCGGCCTGGTCTGGACGCACTTGTTCGAGCCGTGTTGGTGATAGTTAAGCCAGAAGTATACGATCACTCTTTGGTTACAAGCTATGAGGTATCAGAAACAGACTTGGATAATACTGACCAGAGGATAAATGCATTTGGGCCAAGAAAACCCGAAGCGCAACGTATCGCTATCAACTGCATCCCTCACTTCTTCAGCGCCGTCACACTGGATCCATGCGGCGGTCAAGCAGACTGTATACAGAAAGTAGATCTGTTGAACTGTGGAATGAATGATACATCATCCTGGCTAGTAAAGCTACGCAGCTGTTGAGCTATAATTACAGACATCTTCTGAAGTCTACCTCCAGACAGATGAGCCGTCCTGGTCGGATTTGCTTGACCCCTACCTCCACGCAGGCGCACCGAAACTTTCGCCTCTGCTCTATAGATGGGTTATGAGTATTGTATCAGACGGCCGAAAAGGTTCCCTGACGCCGGCCCAATGACAAAGAATAACACAGCGGCTCTGCTCGCCAACTTCATGTCCATTTATCTCTCACGACTGACGAGGCCTTCTCAGAGCGTCTTTAATTTACCTCTATAGGGCTGAACGAAGACATCAGCTAAAGATTCAAACCAACAAGGCGATCTTGACGCGGGACTGCACAGCCAGACGATACGTGGTCAACAGCAAGCCACAACGGAAGCTCTTGACTCGTGCTTGCATCTGAGGTCAGGGCCCTTTTTGAGAGTCGCTCCGGCTCTGGAAAAGGTTCGCTCCTGCTAATCTATCATGAACAGGCTGTCCCGATTTCCTTTTCAACCTTTTCAAGGCAAACTTGGGTTCCTGTGTTATCCTGGGGCTTCATTCACGATATCTTCTCACAGTCGTAGGGGTTCAGACCCTAACCTGTGCCGGGCCGACCTTGCCAACGGAGTAACCACTAGGTGATTGAGAGACCTCCTCCTTTTAAGCTGAACTACCTCGATCGACGATCGAAAGACGAAAAAGACAATTCTCAGACGTCGACTACCTTATGTCGAACGTGTGGCTCAAGTCACTCGAGTGCATTCTTTCCAAATACAAGTCGAAGCCCGCGTCATCTTACAACTCTTGCTACCCGAGTCCATTCGTCTGTATTTGACTACAAGCCTTCCATATCTGGTATCACAAAAGAGCAGGAAGCTGAGGTGAACCTCATGAAAGGATCGTGCTACTTATAGAGGAGAAGCACCCTCCTACGCCGCCTCAAGAAAAGGGAGTCGAAAGGCCGGTCGGGATAACCCCGAGCTAGGCAGGCCTAAGTCACCTTAAGCCGCTGGCACACCGAAAGAGAAAAGTGACACAGTTTCAGACCAAGGAGTCGGTGGCACGAAGAGCATTGTGTCGGCGTCGTGCGGAATATGGAGATCCGCATTGTGACGAAAACTACCAACCAGCACTCCGTGGCGTTCAACGGGCTCACTCTCAGTGGGAATTACCTTCGTTTAATTTTAGACCACTGTCCTTCGGTTCTTACTCGTCTGGGTTAAAGGAACGACCAAAGACATCTGGCGACATTCGTTCGAGAGATCACCCCGAGATCTTGTCGCCAATGCCCGAGCGGCTAATGTCATCGCAGAGCAGGAAAAGTCGCATTCCTGAAATTTCTGATGGTTATATACCTGACCAGGGAAAACCGGCTCATGATCCATACGCTACCGAGGAAAAGCACTGGGACCTGTGTGAAGGTGTTGACACCAACGCCCCCGCCCTCCTCGGCTGGATGCCGTTGAAGAGCATCCGGTCTTGAAGTCCCTTGGGGCGCTGGACGCCGCCGACACCCAGGCTTATTACTCGAGGCGCTGGACGTCATCGACAATTAAACCTATAGTTACTCAAGGCGCTGGACGCCGTTGAGGAGTATCCAGACTTGCAGTCCGTCGTGGCGCTGGACGTCATCGACAATCAAATCTATGGTTACTCAAGGCGCTGGACGCCATTGAAGAGCATCTGGACTTGAAGTCCCTTGGGGCGCTGGACGCCACCAAACACCAACTTATAGTCACTCAAGGCGCTGGACGCCGTTGAGGAGCATCCAGACTTAGAGATACTTGAAAGAGTTGAAAGAGTTCTGTCCCCACTGCGAGATGGGTCAGAGTTAGGAGCTGTCGAGGAGCAGAGCCAGTGGGAGGCTGAGCAAGCACTCCCCAGCACTAACGCAGACGGCAGTCAGACTACCATGCATGAAAGGTCCACCATCGATCGACGATCGAAAGACGAAAAAGATAATTCTCAGACGTCGACCACACGTCGGACGTGTGGCTCAAGTCACTCGAGTGCATTCTTTCCAAATACAAGTCGAAACCCGCATGATCTTACAACTCTTACTGCCCGAGTCCATTCGCCTGTATTTGACCATAAGCCTTCTAGAAATATCTGGGTTGATGGAATGTGGAGATCCGCAGATCGCTTCCTACTCTGCCACACCATTGGCCGCTCGGGCGCTGGCGACATCTCAGGGTGATCGAGGAAAAGTATTGGGATTCGTATGAAGGTGTCGACATGAAGTTGCAAAAGAGGGAATTCACAAACAAGGAGACCTCGCAATCATGTATGGTGGCATGGAGAGCTACCATCACATGTATCGCTTCTACTCGGGATTCTTCTACAAACACGAGCTGTTGGACAAGTACGAATGGTACTGGCGGCTGGAACCCGAAATCAAATACTTCTGCGATACCCCGTCTCTCGGCTAGATGCCGTTGAAGAGCATCCAGACTTGAAGTCCCTTGAGGCGCTGGACGCCACCAACACCAACCTATGGTTACTCAAGGCGCCGGACGCCGTCGAGAATATCCAGACTTGCAGTTACTCGAAAGAGTTCTGTCACCACAACTGCGAGATGGGTTAAAGTCAGGCGCTGTTGAGGAGCAGAGTCAGTGGGAGAAAAAGGCCACTGAGCAAGCACTCCTAACACAGACAGCAGTCAAATTACCATACATGAAAGGTCCACCATCGGGTCCCTTCTCGATAGACATATTGAATGTCTAGGACTGAATGATGACGGGACCGAAGAGACTGCTTCATCCTTCTGGAATGGCTGCTATGGTAGGGGAGCTGATAGCAGGCTGGTAACACAGGTCATTTGCGGCGGGGGGGTTGCATGCGGCAGGGGGTTTGCATGCGGCAGAGGGTACGGCATTTGAGCTAGAGGCTGAGCTCCATGAGAGGAGGGAGGATGCAGCGGGTAGGAATTGCCTCGAGTTGGAAGTCTGGCCATATCCCGCGAACCTGGTCTGGGTGGTGCTTCTCGTCCATTGATCCCCGGAATGAGAGGGAAGCGTTACTGAGATATGAGAATATGGACTCTGTTGAAACGGGCATCGATGTTCGTCAGAAATTACAGGAGTGAAGGGTCATGGGACCGCGATCACCTCGATTACTCAAGTCGATGGATGAATTCTTTCAGCTCCGTACGATACCGAGGACCTACTGAAACTATCCCGAATATTTCTTCCAATGGGGGAATTCTCGTTTAGAGTCTTACCCTGATATCATCTCTGGGTGTTTCCCGGACTGATCATTCCGCACAGTCTAGGAAACCTCGCGAGGAAGCTTCCCTTTCCACATCCCATCAAAGACCCGGGAGTCTGGACCCCTTCTGTCTCGGGAATACCATGGAACGAGTGTACCTTGGACGTCATTGATGGTCCTCCCTCCCATCTGATTGACATATGTGCGGTATCGAGGCGCGCTTTTCTCTCTCCATCTCTTCCCATAAGAGATCATTCCGATGACAGTAGAGCATTGTAACAAGGCTCGACGCCGCCTGATGACTCGGGATAACCTCCGCGAGGCTTTGACTGGCACGGGAAAGCCATTGTCTGCGCAGCGTAGACTACGGACGACCCCCTCCTCTTTATCTTCTTGTGGTGTGAGGTACTGTTAACCGATGACCTTCTTCCGTCGTGCCGATGTCTCGTTCGAACCGTCAGAGTGGACGTGGGGAGGTTGTTCGATAAGGGCAGGTTGGGTGGGAACGATCGAACGTCGCCTGTCCTGCTCGTCAAAGTCAACGTGGCAGTCAAGAAAGGCTTGACGATACGTCGAGGTTGACGCAGCGTCGCCTTCAAGCCGAGATCCGGGGTATTGTCCGTGCTTTTCGTACCTTGTACCTCTCAGCAGTCGAGGACACTACGCAGCTGAGCTTGGTGCATCCTCTCACCCACAATCCTGACTGGGAATTTGGTGGGGATTTGGGTGGTGTAAAATGTGTTTGGCGCTCTTCGAGACCTCCTGTGGTCGGTGCCTGGTCGTCTGGCGATTGCAGTCATCTTGTCATGATAAATGGCGGTCAAAAGGCTGGGGAGTCTCCGACAACATTGAGCATCGTCTGTGTGTTACAACCAGCATTTCGGCCATTAGGCGAGCTGCAAAGAAGCTATTCACAGAACAATGGCCCAACTGGAATGCTTCCTCAGAGGTCGTAACTACGCTACCACCCTCCAGACACGAAGCAGCAGTAAGGCCACGTTTGCATAATGAGGGACCCCTTGTCGGGACGGAACAACGTGACGCCTCAACTGCGCCCTCCAGCCGCCCTGCGCGACCGACACAAACGCCCTCAAATCCCCTGTGTGCACGCTCTGTGTCATGTCCCGTTGATTCCTGCAACAACGTCGCGCGTCGAAGCCTTCGACCAGACCTCGACCCACTATCCGTCGCAGCCAGTATGGCCGGCTTACTGTTCCTCGGCCTGCAGAGCACAGAATACCTTTACACATTCTCTACCGCATGCCGCGATCAACACCGGCATCTCGCCCAGATTGCAGACCAACTCGGCAGCCTTCTCGAACCTCTCCACATTCTCAACGAAATTGTGCGTGTTCGCACATACATGGTGGCCCGCCGAACAACCAATCATACAAAGCATTAGAAGATCCATCACTCGGAGTGAGGATGCTCGATACGTGTTATACTCTCACGACGACTCCATCTCTTCACGACGGCTCCATCTTTACATAAAGTCCGCCACCTCGGCCAGACAGCTTCCACCAGATCTCGCAGATCAGGTGTTGGACATCGGAGATCAAGTTTCGGGCATCAGTTCGCCTTCAGCCGCATCGTTCGACCAATTTCAGTGTGCCCAAAACATTGAACGTCTGAATTCGAGCCTTCGCAGGCTGCCCCTGCGGTCAATACTCACCGCGGCGTCAATCCCCTTCGCACGGTCTCATCGAACACGAAATCTCGCGGCAATACACGATTACTACAGTCCTTCTAAACTGCCCCAGGAGCAGGCGCGGGAGATAGACGATCACACTTGGGAGTCAAACCAGGGATAAAGGTCTGACATCTGCATTCGAAAAGAGATTGAATATACAAGAACAAACAAGACTGTACAAGAACAAACAAGACTGTACAAAAACAAACAAGAATGTACAAGAACAAGCAGGAATGTACAAGAACAAACTCTGTCACTTGGGAGTCATTCTTCAAGAGTGTCGGAGACGAGAAATGCTTCGACCCATCAGACTTTTGGTCACTGGCCTTCCTCCAACAAGCGGAACTCAGACCATCGGCGGCACAAGGTCATTGAAAACTTCGAGCGACGGTGGCTCTGTCACGGCACTCGGTTTCGCTCCGGCGTACTGCATGTGGCCCTGCGCCGGTCTCCCTGATCGCTTCCTGAGGCTGGCAGTGGTTATCAACGAGTGTATGTGAGGTCCCCATGGCAACGAAGCCTTCGAACATCACTGAACATTCCAACAACATTGAACATTCCAACAACATTGAACATTCCAACAACATTGAACATTCCAACAACATTGAACATTCCAACAACATTGAACATTCCAACACAATCGAAGGAAACCACAATGATAGGGCAGTCCAATCCTAGGCAAACACTTCGTCCTTATGTCCTGGCAGATCAATCTTCAGCTTGCCCGTCCTCACATCCCACACCTTGACGTTGGTGTCTTTGCTCGAAGTAGCCAGCAACCTGCTGTCGCTTGGCCCCTCAGGGTGCAGATGGAAGCCGTGTGTCGGAAGAGGGTATACTGAAGTCATGAAGACTCGAAACACTCGACACCGTCACACCTCTGAAGCCAGATTGTTCATGTACCGCCAATTCATACCCAATTCATACCCGAGACTCTGGATTAATTCAGAGATGTTCAACGCAGAAAGGGACACAACGATTTCAACTCCCGGCTCCTCGGGGACTACTGTCCATGGTTTTCATTCCAAGGATGGCGATTACTTTGCACTGATCATTTATCAGGGCTTCTCTTTCTAGCTGCCATGTTGATGTCGCGCATTCGATGTCTTCTCTGCGCTGGAAGCTTCTAACCAAGGCCCTCATTCACTATTCAGTCCGGAAACTACTCTAGTCTTTGAGCACTAGATCCTTCCGGTCCGTCTCACTGATCTCCTTTGTTTGAACGACCGAGTCCATCAGAAACGTACAAGACGTTCCGAATATGGAGCTTCTACAGCGCAGAGAAATTGTAAGAGATGGAGCTTTGATTAGCCATCGCCAAAAACTCCTGTCCTCCCGCGATCAGCACCTCCTCATCCTATCTGGGCGCAAGGCTGATGTGCTCAGCAAGTTCCAGTCCGACAACCCAGATCGAGTCACAACGAGGGCGAGAGACATGGCTGACCTTGAATTCGTCCAAGGGATGCCGCGAGACATGCAGTTTAACGGCCGACTCGACGGGCTCATTCTGAACCACGGTATCTCGTGCAAAGCGAACGCGGATCAAAGTCTTGGTGAAAGACGTCGAAAACTGCAGCAGGTGGACGTCTCGAGTTCGTGACCGAAACAGCAAGAACAGCTCGTCGGACCGTGGTCTGAGCGTGCATGGACGCTGCAAGAAGGACTTTTATCCAACCAGATTTTGCGTTACTCATCCCATCAGGTCGCCGGGGAATGTTCCAGCGTTGTTGAATATGACTGATGTCAGCAGCATCCGCGCGACCAAGGCGGTGGCGACAACGATGATGTCCGGCGACGACCAGATCTCAGAAATGCTCCGATTTTCCTCGTCGATTCTGTTTCGGTTCCTCTCTGTCTCTCTCTGAAGATTCCCGAGTCCATGGTGACGGCGACATCGCTCCCTTCTCCTTCTCCTTCTCTTTCACGGTGTCTCCGCGTTCGCCTGAACAATCTGTTCCAGCTCGGCGACTCTTCTCAACAACGCCGCCTCCGTCTTCATAGCTGCGGCCTTATCCTCAAGAAGTTCCCCGATGCGGTCCACAAACGCAGCCTTCTCGCCGCGCAGGATCCGGGCGGTGTTGCGGAGGGCGTCAATTCTGTCGTCACGGCTACCACCAACTTTGGATGAGCTCGCAGGCGCATTTGACCCAGACCATTGGCGGGAAAACCCCTCCACCGCGCTCTGAAAGGAGCCGTCTCGAACGGCGCGCAGGATCGTCAGCAGCATCTTCCTTTGGTCGAATTTGGCCTCAGCATTGCAGATGAACCTGGTGGCAGGCCTTTTGCTTTTCTCGGCTCTACCATCCCGGCTGGCGTTCACCGCAAAATGGACTTTCAGCATTCGAGCGCCATCTTTCTCGTGTAATTGAGCTCCACCGTGGCGAACAGACAAACTATTTCTTCACCGAGGGTTATTTCTGCGCCATAATGGTGGTGCAGGAATTGCCATCAACCGACCATCGCCTGGAAGTCCTATTCTTAACAAATTTGGCCCCTCAGAAAAACGACAAAGCGTGTTCCTTTTGAACTTCTGGGGCTTCTGAAATTGAGCGACTACAGCATCTCAAGTTCTCCTTCAGTAGTCGCTATGCAGGATGAAAGTGAGTTGACAGACTTTACAAGTTTTCGGACGCAACATCGCTCAGCCTCAGTCAATGGGACATTTACAACTCCTCCTGACCACCAGCCGATGCTGCTGCAGGCGCACTGTCATGCCGTCCTCCTTGAGCATTGATGTCCACTCCGCGCTCGAGGGAGATCTACACCACCACCTCCTGATCACGAGCTGATGCCACACAGAGTGCATTACCATATTGTCCTCCTTCGGCATTAAAATTTGCTTCATTCGCAAAGAGCATCACTACCACCTTCTCGTGAACACAGAATGATGCTACTTCGACCGCCTCGCTGCATACCGCCGTTTGAAATGCTTTCTCACAACTTCCCACTTTGGACTACCAACATCGTCCGCTATCGACGAGCTGTTTTTGAATTCCAACTCACCTTGGATCCAGAGCGTATCTGCTTTCGATTATTATGCTCTCGAGCATGTTGAAACATAAACTTTGCTCCACAGAACCAAAAAATGCTAAACCGAAAGCGAGAGGTCCAAAGCTCTTCCCGATGAGCAAATGCCGCATACTGGACCTGAGAGGGAGAGGGACTATTTCATCTCACCTTGGGTGTGCTCTGGCCCGGAAGAAGGGTTTCCCACCTCCGAAGCAGGGAACAAATGCCATGACCAGACCATTTGGTTTGAGTTTCACACGAAATTCCCGTCATTGTCATTGAGCCCAAGATAGATCAATGACAAAGAACGCCGGAAAGCGATCTGCTCGCTAAACTCAGCCTGGAGATTCACTATTTGGTCCGGAAACTACTATGGTCTTTGAGCTCTGAGAGCACAATTACATCTGATGATGTCTTTGGAGATGGCTGTAGCCACCACCAGTGTCGACCCTTAAGCGACATCGGAAGACGCTTGTCAGCTCGATATGAGAAGCAAGCAGGACACTGATGCGCTCACTTGGAACTCAAATTCCACAGAAACCATGATCATGGTGACTTTAGCTATTCTCTCTTTGATGGATGCCCTTGCTGCTACCTAGAAATATTCCGCGACATTACCTCTGGGCTCGGCAATGTTGTCCTCGAAACCAATGTGAATGATGCCGAGCCAGAGAAACGACCTGATCCTCGATTATCATAAACAGAGCAGGAAGCCGAAGTGGAGCGCACGAGAGGAGCATGCTACTTAGAGGGGAGAAGCATCCTCCTACGTGGCCTTTAGTAAAAGGGGTTAAAAGGCCACTCGGGAAGACCCCGAGCCGGATAGGCCTAACCTACTTCAGGCCCTCGCACATCAGAGGAGGAAAGCATGCTCCTCGCACCCGAAAAGCATTTTTCTCTCATTCTTCTCTCATTTATCTCTCATCCTTCTCCCATCCTTCAAGTCTTGTCACTACTACACGCAAAGGGATACTTATTACTACAGAATCTATCTGTCGCCGAGTACTGCCTCTCTCCAATAAGGCATTCCTGATACCGGTCTGAAGGATATCTCTGCAGTGGACTCGACATTTGTCCGACACATGAACCGTGCGTGTGCTGCACGATGGCTATGATTGTAAGGGTTTGGAAAGAGTTCTGCAACTAGCTAGCCAACCTAGTAACAAGGAGGATAAATGTGAGGAGAGATGAAGAAGGTACGTCCTGTCCCCCTCTCCGTCTATCGTACGTTCCTCCGTAAGGGATACTCATTATCTTCCCCTTTCTCCCTTTTCCTTCCTCTTCCGTATATGCCCTACATTTCTCCTTACTCCTTGTCTCTCTTCCTTACCTTCCCTTACGTACGGTGTCTCAGTTACCAGGACCCTGTATCCCTTGCACCGTGCGCGTCTTGTCTAATCAGGAGGCGGCGTTAGTCCTGGCGTTAGTCCTGGCGCTGGTTCGCTAGAACCGAGTCTTCTCCTGGGTTCAACCTATCCTAATAATCTATTCCAGATTCCGAGTCTTGTTTTCGCTCGTAAGATGCCGGGTAATCGACTGGCATACGGGGGTTGTTCTAGCGTCGAGAGCTCAACTGGCGAGTCATGACATTCCAGCACACGCAAGTGGCTGCTGTCGAAGGCGAAGGCCCAACGGACAAGGGAATATTCCATGCTTAGGAAGTCAATTATTGGGAATATCGCACAACATCAACATCATCCTCAGGCAAAGTCGGCCACTCTGGTCCAGCCGCCATCACCGTCTTGCCTACGGAATTCGACGCCCTCGCCGGACGCCTTCGCCGAAGTAGCCAGCATCACTCCATTGTTTCATGGTATGGCTATCGAAGGGCCGCCCGTTTATTGCCCCACCATCCCTAGCATCCGGCCTTACTCTCTCCTCAACTGACCAATATCCAATTGAGACGATGAAGCGGCACGTCATTGTCGACCTGCCCAATGTCGAGGTTGAAGCTGAAGCATATCACACATGGCACATAGAAAAATGGCGGACATCTTTCCTTGGGGCGACACAAGCTAGAGATGGAGCCACTGGAAGACGCTCGCATCATTGATACTGAGTGTGCGTTGTGCTCGGACCCATCCACACCGCCAACCCTGAACGCTACGGGGTTAAAGGGGGCGTCTCCCTCCTCCCTATGATGGCCTCCTCACCTTGACTCCAGCGTCCGATCAGCGGGTTGCGAAGCGTTGTTGGAATCCATGCTTGAGCTGAACGGGAGAGATGAACGGAGGAGATGATTCTGAGTGACTGAAGGAAGGTATTTGAGTGATTTGGGTATGCGTCTCTGCGTGTGTTTGCGTGTTTGTGTGTGCGAATTTTGTCTTGAACTAACCAGAGGAAAAAGTCTCAGATCGCTTCGTTTGCTTTAACATGTTATGGCGACCTTCTTCACATGAACGTTCATTCACCGACGATTTGGAAGTTTTTGTCTACTGCACTCGGCATCGCGTCAATCACTGGTCTACTATTTATCAAGCATCACGAGATCAATCAAGAACTCACCAGATCGTACCCGGTTACGGACCATGCTCGGATCAGTTGGGGCTCAAGTAGAGCATCGGCCAGCTGGAATAGTATGAACACAAAAGTTTCTGCGGCGGAGGGCGGTGTCAAGCAGATTCGAGGAGGAAATTCTGATGACGGCTGAGGGCAACAAGAAACGGGTGTGATTGGCATTTGATTGTACTCCAAGTGACTCTCCTCAACACAAGAATAGAAGTACGAAAGGTTATGCAAATCATACAATTCTACGGTGTACCTTCGACCTCGCAGTATCAGGAGCACCCTTTTGTACGCAGGTAGTGAGTCATCGATCTCCAGAGAGTGATGATTCACATCGGCCGTGCCACTTGTGCAAGCACTCTCACCTCCCTCTCTGTCATGCCTCCAACTAACGCCGAGCACCACGGCGCCGAGGATGCGAAGCTCCCAAAAACATGGAGTAAGAGTACGAGGTACACGGCTGCACTCCCCATCAACGGACAAGGCTTGACCCATGTTCCTGTCGATCCGACCGAACCTCACAGAAGTCGGCAATCCACCTCAAATTGACAGCTCAACCCTTCCAATCTCACACACGAACCCGGCGGTGCAGGGGAGCGCAGGGGCGGCCCCTCGATAGACCGACCCAATATCCCTCCTCTCCTCTCGCACCATCTTCGTGACCGGAGCGACGGCCGGGTTCTGGTTCGGCTTCGGGCGAGATGAAGTGGCGAATCCTACCCTCCTCTTCTTTGACGAGTAACAAGCACAGACGAAGAAAAAAGAAAAGAAATTGACACCTAGAAAAGCCCAAAGAAAAGGGATTGAGTATTTTCAGAGCAAGGAATGGGTGGGATTGAAACAAAGGACAGAAAAGGATATCAGCTCAGACAAAGAGGGGATCGGCGAAGCAGGACCAGAACAGAGAGACGGGACAGGACAGGACAGGACAGGACAGACTGTACGGGTGGATGGATCGAGTAAAGTATATCATTGATTCATTCATTATCCCACAAAGCACAGCGAGTTGAATGGAATGGGAGATGGGACATTGGGCACGCATGTAACATACATACCATACCATACGACACTACACTACACTAGACCTAGGTCGGTAACTATCCTTGGTTACAGACAGCATCACCTTCTTATCTACATAGGTACCTAGGTAGGTAGGTAGTCAACCAGTTATAAGTCATGGGAGTATGTAGATGAATTGGTCACAATGCGTGGTCACGTACAGAGACTCAAAGTCTCAAGGACTTTTGAGTAGAGGTACTATCGCTACTTTTCCGTTCATCCCCTGCTGACAGGCAGGCCTGGTATGCCTCCCTAGCCAACGATATGGCAATACCCTATAAACCGCGGCATGTGCGAGAATAACCCGTACGTCCCCGAATGCTCATGGAGCTGCGATCTGACTTGAAATGAGTTCTGCCTGCGACTCCTGGCAATGCGCAGTGCCTGAAATGTTACTGAGGAGTTGAATGCAAGTTCGAGGCGATATGCACCCCCTACATCTTCCACCGCCCACAGACGAAGGTACCACCGTCTCGGACTCTGAGCCGCAGCCTTTTGGGCATGAAAAATTGAAGAGATGGTACCTCAAACATTCTGATGGCATCTTGCCAATACAAACCGCAGCGGCTGCCGGTTGTGTTCTATGTACCTCAGTGTACGATGCCTTCAGAGGTGAAAATGCAGTTGCAGCATGAGAGGTTAGCGACCTTCCAACCATCCTAGCACCCGGTGCGAAGATCGAAGATGAACGGAACGACCCTCCTCGGTTTTCGTCCTACTCGTAACCTGAATAGAGGTCATTCTTTTCGTGCCCTCAAGACGGATTGCTGAAGCCCTGCGAACTCGACATTGGTATCGACAAAGGTGCGTCATGACTCGCAGAGGCCGTTGTGTTTCTGCTAACAGGCCAACCACAGAGTCATTCTCCGAACCTACAGAACGTCCATTGGAACCCCTCAACAAGATACATGATGGTCCAAAAGATGTTGGCTGTATGGCGCTTGCTCGGAAGTGGCTTTCAGCTTGCCTGCAGAGAACTGGGAATCCAGCATTTGTGGGTGGATGTGATCTGCATTTTTCAAGATCTGGAACAATCGTCTCAGATGTGTTACCTCTACGGACAAGTCACAACTCCTGTCGTTGGTGTGGACAAGAATGATGCCTCTCAGCACTTTCCGAGTCGGCGAGATACCCGTTCAGCTCTTAAATGATGGCGGAGGGGAGATTTCTCGAGGTAACTCTGTGTATACGGGCGGCTCACCGCTGCCCACGTACGGCCTTGCTTTCCGCGGGCCAGTCGAGGTTTGTGAGGATCGCAATGGTGGTACAAGTCAAGATTGCTGCAAGTGTCACATGGAGCCGTCCTTCCGAGAGGTTTGCCATGGAGTGACACGGAGTTGTGGCGGAAGAGTAAAAGGACTGATCTTTCAGATACTGCAAGATAGGGAGTGGTGATACTTTTTTCGAAGCGGAGGATTTGTATAGTTCGGGGCTGGGTCAACTCCAGAACATCGGTGGCGAATGGATTGGGCAGATTTGACAGTGCAGGCGAGGAGAATGCGCGTGTGTCAAAGTTTACGATGAACTTGGAGTTTCTCCTTGAACCTCGTCGTGGACAGAGATAATCTTCCAAGAGCGCGAACAACGCGCTCGCAGGACAGTAAAGCACAAGAGGTGCCTTGACACCCGATGGTGGCCAGGTCGACCGGTGAGAAAGCACCACCGGCAGATTGGAAGGCTGAGTCCTCAGTCGTGGGGATGTAAATTCCTGATGATTGGTCCCTACCCTCCCCCAATTCCTCGTCGCGAGAAGGCCAAGGTAGAGTGACACACTGGACATCATAGCCCGATGTTAAGGACAAGTGGCACGCATCATCATTGGGGCTTCCCGGGCGGTGGTTTCTCGCTCCACACAGGTTCGGGGGGTATGACTGGCTTCCTCACGGGCCTCTACCCTCCTATGGTTTTCCCTGGATGCATCGCAATTCGACGCGCCCCACCCTGGCCCCCCGCTTCGTCGAGCTATCCGTCATTGTGGTTTCAGTTGCTACCCCTTACCCTCTTTCTTTTCTTCAAATTTCGGGTGTTCCAGCTCCAGTCGCTTTCACTCAGTTTCTTTCTTCTGAGGATTTCCGTGGTCTAGCTCTGCTCGAATTCGCTTCACCTCTTCCTTTTTTCTAGCCCCCGATGTTGCTCCCTCTGCTTCAGTTTTACCTTTCTCTTCTCCTCTACAGCTTTCTGCTCTGCAGCTTTCTACTCTACCTCCAGTCGCTTCCGCTTCGCCAGATTCTGCCTGCGGGCGAACTATGGCTCTCTCTCTCTCTGATAACACTTTCCCTTGCTCTTCTCTTCGGGTGGATCTAACTCCAGCTTTACTCCTGGTCGCGTTCCCTCGCCATCGTTAGTAACTCCTTCGTCGTCTGTTGGATCTCCTGCTCAATAAATTTCTCATGCTAATTATTTTTAGCTCCACGGGTTGCGGCATATCGTCTTCCTTTCCCTAGGCTTCAACTAGCACCATCGCTCCGTCGTCTGTGGCTGCTTCCCTTATCTTGCATGTATTACTCGGCGACTGCTTTGCTGGCGCCCACTTCCGCACCGCTCCGACCGCACTTCGAATTTCCACAGCCGCACATTCAGAAGCTCCAAGTCCCTTCACTACGATGGTCCTGAAGTGCGTACCACGCTCTGGACTCATCGACCGGCCGGGTTCGATATCGAAAATCTTATTCCTGCAATAATACAGGAAGAACATACTCTATACGCGCCGTGCCGCCACCGCCACCGACAGCTCCTTTCAGACTCAGTTCTTCGAGATCTCGGTAGTTGGACTGTTTTCTCTTGCTGTGGATGTTCGGAGGCGGTTTTGTGACAATGATAGCTTGACGGCCACTCTGGCAAGAGTACTCCACATATCGATCGGAAAAGACCTTCATACATTTGGACCACTCTTTGGAAGATTTGACCCAAAGCTAAAGTCATTGTCGGCAGGCCATGTCGTTCTGCCCAGCATCGAGCGAGCTCGGGGGGGTACGTCTGTCCAAAAGACCAGACAAGAAACTTCGCTCAAAGCGGTCTTGAATTTATTGTCGGTTCGACTTCAGTCATCACGGCCATAGTATTTATTGTGCAGGATTACAGGTTTTGATGGCAAATCTGGTGGCCATGAGGATGGAGAGACCACGAAGTTACATTTTCTGGGTTCGTCTTCAGAAGTGTGGAAAAGGCAATGGATTCGTCTATGACCGATAGTATAAGCAGGTTTATAATGCATGGTTTTCGTGCAGCTGCTTGTTCCCTATTGTTCGAGGGGATGTGAACTCGCTTCTCCTGGCGCAGTTGATGCCGCCTTGGTCCTTCAAGGACCTTTTCGAGACAGGAATTCTCTCTATGACCGTCAGACTATCATCTACCAGTCAATCGCACCTCTGCCGAACAATACCTCCAGCGTGGCTCCATCGAGATTGACGATACGGTGATGACAGCATTGGCACGATGATCCCACGAACTGTTCAAAGTCCGTGTTCTTGACATAAAACCGTCATGTTTGAGGCCTGATCCAGCGGTTCTGTCAAGATGCCTTCCAGGAAGAAGACCACCCAGACGTTGCCTTGCCTTGCCTTGCCTCGCCTGACCGAAGCGTGCAGCCCGAGACACCATATATCTCCCCCTCGTGTGTCCCTATCGAAGAGGTACTTGGATTGCAAGGCACAATCTGGACCCTGCGACTGCGTCTGAACCTCGACTGCACTGTCGTGCAACGGGCTAAAGAACACAACAAATTTGCATCCACCCGCTGCAGCATCCCGCCACCATAGCGACGAGTCTTCTAGAGAATTTGCTGGAGAAAAGCACAAGCACCCGTGAAATGGAGTGGAGAATCCAATACTACTGCTTTCCCGGCGAAGCTACAAGTACAGTTCACGCTCGACGTTGAACTTGGGTGCAGGTCTGATCCCTCTACAATCGATGTGATCAAGTATGCGATCCATCAAGCTGAGCAAAGAGTATGCCCCCCAAAGCACTCAGCTCAACGTCAGAAAAAGTGCTTGATGGATCATGTTCTACATTGATTGCAGCATTATGCCACAACTGGCTGGTCCATGTACAAAGTCATATTCAATTCAGAAAGATTGCAAAGACTAATTACTGTTCATACTTCGCAAGCTACGTCTTCCCGCTTTGGATTTGTTTGCGCCGTTTCCTACTTTCGCTTTCAGCAGGAAATGTGACCACATATTCCCTTTTTACGATAGTGTGGACAGTCTCATCTTCCGACAAAGGGAACTTGACCAAACCAATCCATTCGGTTTTGCACCCCAAGCACTACCAGGGGCTGGAAAGCTACATGGTGTAGGTGTTTCATACTGACCACCTCTTGTTGAGCCTGCCCTGGTGAACTTGGACATGGCAGAGTGGTTCGAAAGGTAGAGTCGGTGGCGGAATGGCCTCAACAGAAGGCGGCATCAGTGAACAGAACAGGGATAACACGACTAGCCAGCACAAGTAGAACCGACTACTGCGATGTTCGTGTAGACCGCGGCTGGGCCGTATCGCGCATACGAGTTGGCAGACGCGAGCAGATACGGGTTCGGGGGCTTGGTCGGGGTCGCGCACAGACACAACTGCATAGGGTGCAGCAGAGACAATTATGTACCGAGTACCTGAATTTATCTCATGCTCACACTCAAGCCTTGTGAGATGGGGAGCCAAGTTCTTTCAACCAAGCATTCAACTGTCTGCGCTGCCTTGCACTGATGGGCGTCAATGAACCGCTTCTGGCTCTCTTCTGGGACTCCGCCTTCGCCCTGCGTTTGTTGTCTCTGGCCACCTTCTCGTCATACGTGTCCTTCTTTGCCTCGTACGCTTTTAGACGCTTTTCAGACTGTCGGAGTCGGTGGATATTAGACTTGACGGTGACCATGGCTATAGTGCTTTTATCGTCGATGTTGTCTTCATCGGTCGTGTCGTCTTCGTCATATGGATCAGTCATGCTATCCTCTTCCTCCTCTTCATCTTCAATTGCTTTAGATAGTCCTCCTCTTCTTCTCCAGTATCACTCCTATAGTCGTCAGAATCAGGGGAGATGTTGACGGTATCCTACTTCGGAGACTTGGGAGACTTGGAGGTAGACTTCAGGGTAGGTTTGAGAGCTGTAGTCCTGTTAGTTATCGTCACTGTTCTGAGGGGAAGGTTGTGATCCGCAGTTAGAGTGGAATAGGACTCACCGGGTGTGGAAGGCTTCGAGGAGGAAGACCTTGCTGGAGTAGTCGGTCCAGAGGATAGTTTGACGCGGGTTTTGCATCAAAAAGAACTGCGACTGCGATAGCTAGTTACCGACTTGCGTATAGATATCACGTCAGCTTTGACATAATTAGTGAGGAGGGGGCGGGGAGCTCGTGTCCTTACACCACGTGTGATCTTGCGAGTATCACCACTACTGCCACCACTACCAAGTTTGGCTTTTCCTATGGCGGATGGGGGGATTGACACTATCCAAAGAAAGGGAAGATGAAGAGGATGAAGATAGGGCTGCCGCTGTACTGGTAAATCCTGGATACCTGAGGTTGCCCTTGAACACTGTCGGGATCGCGTTGGACATCGTGGTGACGTTGACGTGGCTATATATCGGCCCGTAGACGTAGATCTCGGGCTCGACGTCCTTCATCGTCGACAGGTTCGTGCCGTGACCGACGATCGCGACCTGCACGCACATCGAGTACATCTCTTTGCTCGCGGACTTGTTCATGTCCGTCTCCGCGCTGTCGTTCGAGCCCGTGACCACGCCCCCGTCCGCGTCGTGGTGCCTGGCGGCGCTCAGCGTGATTCTTGATACTGTATACAATGATACTGCATACAATGCTAGTATGAATCAGATTGGATTTGTATCAGGACGATACTCTTGGCACTTCCGTACGCGGAGACCTAGCCAGGTGCACAACAAAAGCGAAAACCTTTCGCCTCTAAAATCCTTTCCTTCTACTACCCACCACCGCCATCACCGCTACCACCGCCGTTACCACCATCACTAATCGTACGTACCCAGTCCTCGATCATAAGACACTTACTAACTACTATGGTGTGCCACAGTACGATCCGACCCTCTCCCCCTACAACAGCGAACGATATTGACACAAGAGTAGGATTGAAACAAGAGTAGGATTGACACAAGCAAGAGTAGGAACACGATCGATTAGCTGTGGTCCGCTGGGATCCTAGGCCGCTGCCGCCCTCATTACTGCCAATCTGGCTTTACAGCGAGGACCGGTGAGGAACGGTATTGAAATCCACGCTGGCGGCGCTCCTCATAGCCAAAAGCCTCTCTTTTGTGGTCGAGGCCTCGCGTGCATACAGTGGCAACTACGGCACGATCGGACCGTTCATGACCACGTTGGCGGTGAAGTACCTGATCCTGTGCGAGCGCATGAACTCGGTCTGTGGGTGTACTTTCTGCGGTCCGTTTTCGAGCCATGTGCGGGACGATCGTCATCTTCTACTCTGGGTTCTTGATCGCGTGCAGCAACCTGAAGGTGACCGTGTCGACCCGTGATGATCAATTTGGTCACCCCCACGCAGACGATCATGTTCGACACGGTATACATGCGCAGGCGGTATATGTTGTCGGTGTACATGATGGAGTTCCTGTACCTCTACCAGATCGTGCACATCTCCACGTTCATGTCTGTGCAGTCGCTCTCGATGAGCCATTGATCTGCCGGTATCTGGCTTGGTTTCCTCTTCCTTTCTCCACGCGTGGGATTCTATTCTCGAATATCGACAGGACACACTCTCATTAAAGGCCGAGGACCTTTTAGTCTTCTGTGATTAGTCATCATTTTCAGCTTTCAGAACTTATTTAAATACCGACCTTTTCTTCTTTCTCAACCACCACCAACTTGTGGGACAAGCCTGCCTTAGCAGCTGAAGAGCGGGCTCGACGTGCGCCCGAGAGAACTCCCACTATTTCCATCAACCAAGGAGTCGGTGGCACTCGAGTTGGCGCCGTGCGAAACGATAAAGCTCCAGGAGACCTCCCACTCCATCAACCAAGGACTCGATGGCAAGGAGGTACTCAAGAGCCCCAAAGTCCGTTGCTGAATTTGACACTCCACGTTACTGTTCAACTCCACGTCGCGCACATGATCATACAGTTGGGCACGATCACCACCTTGTCTGCGTACCCGGACACGCTCATCCTCGTGCTCACGCTGGATCGCGTCTCCACGATCGTGATCTCTCCCGAGAACATGTTCGCTATCGTGTACAGCACCCTGTGGATGCACATGTACTTGTCGATGTTCCGGCAGACGGTGTGGTGCCTGGTCAGCTCTGCCTCGAGTTTGTGCGTGTGTACAGCGACATCAACATGGTCAGAGCTTGACCGCAACCCCATTCCTGCTGATGTCCACGTCATTGTCGGTGTACGTCAACCAGTGTACGTCCGCGGCTAACCTCATCTTCGTGTCCATGATCACCTCGGGGTTGTATATCAAGTTCACGTACGAGTACAGCACCTTCTCCTTATCCACGGCCCTGAAGATGGACGGAAACACGTCGGCCGCAAAGCTGATGACGGGGCACTCGGACGTGTTGTCGCCTCCCCTCGAGATGGTCTCGCCCCCCGATCAATCTCGCAATCATCAACACGATCCTGGACTCGGGCATGACGATGGTGGTTTTTGTATACGCGGTGATACACGCCTCTGAGGCCGTCATAGAACGTGCTGGTGTCCATGCGCATGTTCCTGCTGTAGGGCAGGGTATCGACCACCATCGGCATGTACAACCATTCCGGGGTCACGTCCGTTGTCCTGTTGCTGTGGAGGTTATATACCTGCTGCTGTGGATGCTACATACCTGTTGCTATGGAGGCTACATTCCTATTGTTGTAGGTGTTACATTCCTGTTGCTACGGGTGTTACATTCCTGTTACTGTGGGTGTTACATACCCGTTGCTACGGATGCTACATACCTAGAGCGGTGGAGGTTACATACCTGTTGCTGTGGAGGTTACATTCCTGTTGCTGTCGGTGTGTAACATACCTGTTGCTGTTGCGCTGGAGGTTGCATTCCTGTTGCTGTGTTGCTGTGGATGTACCTGTAGCAGATCTCGTACATCTTGTTGCTGTTGACCACGACGTTGCACAGGCACACGTGTCTCCACGCTCTCGATCCACGTCATGTTGGTGAAGATGGAGCTCGATACGGACTGGACTGGTGACACGTCGGTGATCCCATACACGTACTTCTTCGCGTACTTCTACATGACCGTCTCGATGGTGCTACACATGGTGCTACGCGAGGGCTTGTCGTTGGCCACGCACTTCGCCGTCCACGATCACCTACATCCTCATGTACATGATGAACTTCGACTACTTGTTCGCATTCTCGTTACAGTTCCAGGCCATCATGTTGTACAGACAGTCTTTCACAACACGCCACCGAGGTCGTTGCCGGGACAGTGCCAATGCTCGAATCGAGCATGTTGCTGGGTAAGTACACGAGTATGTAGATCAAGTTTGCAGGGACAACTAGTTGTTCGTGATTATATTTTCGATTCATGATGAGGCACAGCATGACGAGCACGACGAGGTACATGTTCCCATCATCAATCCCGTGATAAATATCATTTACACTCAAGTAGAGGTGGTTTCTATAGAATACGGGCCTTGATCCCTGCGCACCTGCAACCTGTGCCCTTTGTATGTGAAATTCGAGAAGTAGCAGCTTCGTATACCCTCTTTTCACCGACTTCAACCTCCATCACTTGGTTCTCCGTCCACCGCTACCAGGGTGTTCCAAAATCCTTTCGATGGTTCGGCGAGGGATACCCTGCCATCTCACAGCTGATCGCACGCGACGCCTCCCTCCACCTCTTCTCCTAGGCTGCTCCAAGGCAGGCTAGACTTGTGGGAGATAACCAGTGATTGTCCGCCAGGAGATAATGTGTTGTGCAGGGTAGAAAGTAGATGTTGATCCGGTCGTCTGGCAATAGTTCTTTCAGACGTTGGTCGGCGCCGTAACAGCGCGCCTCTTTACACCATCCGAAGGGGAACCGTTGCCTTTCCGCATCATGAACATGGGGATGCGACCCAGACAACCCGGCTCTTTGGACACCAACAGAGGTTGCTCTTTGAGAAAGAGGTAGCGCGCCTGGTCGGGAGTATATCTTGACCTGATACGAGCGTGTCCCAGAAGTTGGCAGCGCGGGTTGGTCGGATGGCGCGGAAGATCGATGTCGAGGTGAGGGTCGGATAACGAAGGAAGGATTTCTCGGTACTGACGACGGGGTGAAAGGAGGAGACAGCAGCCGTCAAACAGTAGACCGCATAGAGTCGAGAACCCAGGTTGCGGGTAAAGTTGAGAGAATGCCTGAGAGACAGTTAGAGGAAGTGTTGACGCGGACTGGACAACGGACCGAGAAGACTCTTTCGTCTTGCGTTGGAACTTGGACTTGCCCTCTAGTCCTGCTTTGTCAAGCCTCGTGCATGGGGCTCGACACCCTCCCGTCCCTTCGCAGAAAGGGAGAGGAACTATCGTGTAAAGTGGTAAGTGGACTGGGGTGGTGAGGCTGTCGCTCGAATGAACTAGCTAAAGCGTATGATTTGTTCGAAAGTAGCCGCGGCATTGGGCAGCTTCTAGCCGTCAATAACGCGTCCCATGCCAAGTTATCGACCCGACGGTCAGCGCCTACATTGGCGCGTAGCTACCTGTAAAACGTCGATCAGCGCACTCATGCACGTTGCAGATATCCTTCGCCCTTGGACGAGAGACATTGTGTGAATAGCATCAGTTTGAAGTTCCACGAGAAGGAGGACGAAGCGGCTGGGAAGCATGAGAATGGGGAGGCCAAGTAAAAGAAAGGCATGTGTCGTCCATCCTAATTGAGTCTCACTTGCAGGAAAATCCCCTGGCGCCTCTCTTCGATGCAGAACGCGCGTCGGCGCTGGACGTGCAGACGTCGACTGCGCCCGTCCACAACGTCACCACCGTGGGCCAATACCGAATCTACCACACGATGTACCGGACCGACCGTACCATCCTCGTCGTCGCGGTCGGCCTCATGCTATTAGCCATCCTAGCCATCCTACCTCTCTACCGAGGCCTGCCTAAGCCTCACCGCGTTACACTGGGTGCGTCGTGCCGCGCGCGAGCGCATGGACGTGGGCTCCAAGCTCGAGGAGGCCTGGTCGTCCTCTGCCCTGCGGTTTCTGAGAACTCTCTCATTCTCTCTCCGTTCCTTCTCCTCCACGGTCTTCCCCCACAAGGCCGTGTGAGTCTTTGGCTGCCCTCGCAGAGCAAAAGCAGGATAAACTTACTGGATTGCCAGAAGACAAAACAGGTTTCCAGTACAACAAACTACGACAAATCGAGAACAACGAGGCGGACGGATTCATACCATTTACGCCTCCTTCTCGGAAGCCTCTTACCTGTCCAACAAACTTTCCTCAGAACCGGCCTGCGGGATTGGGCGGTATTCTGGGGATGATCATGAACCGCACCCCATCTTGCTGAGATCGGGAGTGCACAAGGATGGGGCCTGGGCTGCGCAGGAGATCATCGAAAAAACAAAGACTGGGACAAGAGGCAAGAGGATGCCGATAAGCTCAAGCAAGGTCATTGGATACGGAGCAGTAGGAAAAGACTGGCGCGCCGCGGACTGAGAACGAAAGTGTGCTCGAGAACTGTCGAGGCTAGGCCGCCCTCACCATTTGTGCCAAATTCATCAGCACCCACGCATTCACGATACTACGACGGCTACTGACTGCTCGGCAGGAAGATCAGCCTGTCGCCCTTCGAGGTAGCTAAGACCCTGCACTACTCGACCGTGGTCGACGACCGAACCGGCACCATAATACCCTACAGTGTCCTCGACGTCGACAACAGGAAGAGGCCCGACCGGGCACCGCAGTCTGGCTCGAACCTGTCCGCCGACGAATTGGTCAAGATCCTTGGTTCCCGCAAAGTGCGCTACGGCGAGGTCACACCTAATATCCTCGGGCTGGGCTGGGCCTGGTCGAGTGTACCGACCCAGCCAAGGCGGGAAAGACTCTATGATTGATTTTCAGGGTTGGACATGGTGTGGTTCGCTCATGTGAAATTCCTCTAAAACACAAAGTTCACGAGGCTTTCTGTCGGCCATGGTGTATACTTGTCAGGGTTGGGCTCTAGGAGAAGAAAGAGGGCATCCGCGAAAACGGGCGTGCATGGAATCCATCGACGACGAATGTGTTATGAGTTACGGCCGCACATGGCATGTAAAGCCACGGGGCCGTCATCTTACTTGCAGCGTCTGCCAGCGAGATTGGACCAGCGACCTGGCATTGCGATGTATAACGAAAGAGAAGAAAAGGTGCATTACGTTGATTATGCAATACGGACGCTGGACACGGTCTCAGGATTCGTCTATGTCACGAAGTTACAGTAACATGTCTTTTAACTCTAGGTCGCATTGGCACGCTTACTCGAGGTGCTAAAGTCTGGAGTTCACGGTCATGACCACCTTGCTCTCCTTCATCATGTACGACGGCAAGACCATGGCCCACGATGGGTCCACGTTCCTGCGCAGGCCCTTGTATCCTGCTCGACAACATCTCCCTGAACCTCTCCTCGCATATGCGGTTCCACTCGCCGCGGACCCGCCCTGTCCATGTGTCCACCGCGTCGCTCTTGTCCATGGAATTGATGCAGACCACGAACTTGATGGTGGCCTCGGACATCGGCTTGTCCATCGGGCTGTGCATGTTTCAAAGCTCGGCTCCTCAGTTGGTCATGCTCCCGTTCGCGAACTCGTGCTGGCAGATGTGCAAGATCTGGTTTGTGGTGCCGCACGCGATGCAGAAGAAGACTACTGAGTTGCACATCTTCGCGGTGATGGTCAGGTACGCGCTCAACTTGTTGACCACCTTTTCGACCGAGTACCAGATGTTGCTCTTGTTCTTGTACATGTTCGCCAGACTCTCCAGGTTCGTGTCCGCGTACAGCGACTCCTTCGTCCCGACGTCCATGAGCGAGTCCCTCCTCGCGCACAGAGTCACGTACTTCTTACACAAAGGTGATGATATTCCCCGGGTTATCCTCGGTGTCGTGGTGTATCGGGAACCGGTGCCTCGTCATGTCCGGCATCAGGTTCGTCATCCCCAACTTGACCATGTCCCTGTCGAAGTTCATCACCCCGGGCATGTCATATCACACCTTTGCAGGGTCGTACCCGTCCATGGACCCGCATCTAGCCGCACAGTGGCCGCAGAGCAGGACCTTGACCAAGCACGGGGGAAGACCCCGTACGTCGAAGAGCTCTACATCCCGTTCTCGAACATGGCCGGGAATCTGTTCGGCAACATGAACGCTGTCCGCAACGCCTTCAAGCCAGGGGCTCTACCCGACGTCGACGACACGGGCGCGGGGTCGACCCACCGGCGCCAACGCCCCCGAGAACGCCAACATCAGCGCGGCCACCAACGCCTTGCCGACCGGGGCCACCTTCGCGAGACAGGGTCAACAACAGCAGCATGGTGGCGGTGGTGCCGTGCTGTTCGATTTGGTGGCAAAGGACTCGACCAGGCGCCTGATGTGGACTCCGGAACTGATCGCCATGAGCTCGAGCTCCAACGCGGTCGGCACCCTATCCCACACCTTTCCTGCAGATCATGTACGGCCTCCTGGTGGTGAGCGCGCACTTGTGCCGCTTCAGATCCACGGACAGCTTCGCGCTGCCGTTCATGCTTAGCGTGTCGATGTATACCATAGAGCCGTCCGCGATCATCTCCGCCACCACGACATCTGGCCTGATGGTCAACTCGGGCATGCCCGTGCTGTTGATAGTGACCATATACGACAACACTATCATCTTCAGGTCGGTTATATACACTACGTACCTAAACGTATAGTATAGGATGTACACCTTCATTCCGTCGGCTTTGGCCATGTACTCCCCCTTGTACCCCTTCAAGCTCGAGACGTCCATCACGATGTGGTCGGCGGCCCTGTTGTCGCTCCTAAACTCGGGGTCGACTGCCCCTCTCATCGACCAGATTGTGCCGACGATACCCATGCACGTGCACACAATCGCCTTCACGATGCTGTTGGTCGCCCGGCCCTCGATCTCGAACTCGGCCGCGTACGACTCCTCGATGTCGTTGGTGTACCTCCTCGCGATGACGTGGGTCGTCGTGTTTCTGATCATCATGGTGGACCTGATCTCGACCATATCCACGTCATACATCACGCTCTTGATGGCGCCGTCGAAGCCGTACCCGTCCGAGACCGCCAGGATGTACACGGGCACTATCCTCGTCCTGCCCCTCGTCACCTTCACCACCGCCTCGTTGTTCGAACGCTTCCTCACCTTCGCCTTGGCGTTCATCACCGAGCCCGTCCACCAGGTGCACTCCGCCTCCCTGATCTCGGGCGTGGTGGCGTCTGGGAACAGCCCGCTCTCCATCTTCTCGAACATGATCCTGGCTAGGGGCGTGTGCATCCTCTCCTCCACCTCTCTGACCGGCCTCTGCGACACGGCGGAGAATGTAACCATGTTCACGCTCGGGTGCGGGAGCGACTCCACGGTCATGTTGTCCAACGCGTTCGTGATGTCAGCTGTGATGGGTTGAACCCATGAGGAGGCTCGGCTCTCGCGAACCAGCACCAAGACCAACGCCAGGACTAACGCCACTTCCGAGACACGCACGGTGCAAGGGATACAGGATCCTGGCACCTGAGACACCGTACGCAAGGGAAGGTCAGGAAGACAGACAAAGTATAAGAGGAAGAATGTCGGGCGTGTACGAGAAAGGAAGGACAATGGAGAAAGGGGAAGATAATGGACATCCCTTACGGGGGAGCGTACGATATAAGGAGAGAGAGAGCGCGGGTGTTCGTCCTTCTTCCTCTCTCCTCAGATTTATCCTCCTTGTTACTAGGTTGGCTAGCTAGTTGCAGAACTCTTTCCAAACCCTCACAGCAGCCGTGCTCGACACGCTTCCTGCTGACCGACTCCAAGATCTTGATCGGGTTCTTACACCTGCACAGCACCGGCTCCAAAGGCCCGTCCAAGCCCAACCTTACGTGCTCGAACCTGGCCATGGCTGGGTTCTTGTCCTCGGCGCAGATCGGGCAGATGTTCAGCACGACATCCATGTTCGGCTAGTCGTGCTTCGCCCAGTGCACAGGTACGTGAGTCCGTATCGCGACGACGACGATCATGAGCGGGAGCACGACCGCAACCGGGTTTACAGTCAGCCGCTGGGACGCCACCGCCGACACGAGGTTGCATGCGATGCAGCTGCTCGGAGTCGGACTGAAGCGGTCAGTGCGACCCTAGCTAGAGGTTTTCGTACCCGTACCGTCTACAGGCACGGACCGGGTACCGCATGAATCAGACGCCCACGATCATGTGCAACATCCTGGTCAACACCTGCCTGGCGTGCGGGAAGGTGGCGTCGACGAAGGTGACGCTGTGCGACAGAGGCCGGGACGGGTACATCTGCCTGAGGGACGGCGTGGTGCTGTCGGAGGTCAACTTCGTGGAACATCAGCGTCGACATGAAGGTGTCCATGGACCTCAAGGTGATCATGAACACGACGGTGGTCTGGGCCGCCCTGAACATCGTCGTGACCGACGCCCTGGTCCTGCTGCCATCCGAGAACATGACCAGCCACATGACGCCCTACATGCGTATCGGTCTGCCCATGGCCGTCTTCAGCAGGATGTACTCGGCCTTGAGTATGTGCGGGAACCCGTTACCAGTCCATGTGGACGGACCAGAACTTGTACGAGTTCCTGGTGATGGGCATCCCGCCAGACCCGTCCTTGCACATGTACACCAACTCGTCGGTGTTGAAGCACTTGTACCAGATGGTGTGTACTCGCAGTGGCACATCTCGATCGACAGACTGCTGTTTCCTTAGGGGTGGCAGGCGACCAAACGCAGAGTGTGAATGGCGTGTCCTTTGACTGATACTGATATCTCACGCCCTTTTACTCGCTGGTGGTGCCGTGTGGTGTGGTGTTGTACTGTAATGGGTGTGGTAGGGACAGCACAGTGACGTGACTGTATCTATCGTCGTCTGAACTGTCCCTTGCGGCATGACTTGGGCGTTGACACCTGAATGTTTGTGCCCGTTGGCCACGGAGCGCTAATGCACGAAGCTGCTGCACGGGCGATAACTGACACTCACGATTCCTTGTGGTCCGTGCACCTCCTCTTGCATTAGCGCCTCTTTGCAAGTCAACGACCCCTTTGCTGAGATATACATGACCCCCGTTCTCTCTTCTCGTGGGCTTGGGGGATATGGGCTACCATGACTCACAGTCCACCATGGGCGACGCTCGACCTGCGGCGTGGTGGGAGGTTGAAAACATCGGTAACGTCACGTTCAATCACTTTTACCGCGGCGTCACGGATTCCTCGAATGTCTGCCCTGTGGCGACTTGACTTGCCAGATCGAGAAACCGGACCCTCCACCGCCAGTTGAGTCGAAGTCGAGGTCGAGGCCTCTCTGCGTCGGCAGATATACTCTTCCGCCGCGCTGATCAGCGCAAAGGAGCAGAAATGGAGGCCCCGCTACATGATGTCCAAGCCATCTTATGTTCGAGGAAGAGGCGGTTGTGGGGGCTTTTCAGACACTGATTATGGCCGATATCATGGTGCTGATGAGCCTCCTCGTCGTCCGAGGCCCCTATACCTGCAAGAGCGTAAGCAACTGGCGATGGAGACATATATATGCTGACAGCATACCAGTACTTCCCACCCTCAAAGGCGTGGTAAGTCCGCCCATTTTCTACGCGGTGGTCTCTTATCCATGACGATATAGAGGTGGTTTCAGTCAACCTGCGACATGCCAACTCCAACCATGGCCAAAGAAGCCAAAGAGATCATTCCGACGAGGTGACCGGCAAGGAGTTTAAGCCGAATATGCTCATCAGCACGAAGAACCTCGCGAGGGGGGTTGGAGGGTAGATCAGAGAGATGGCCGCGGTGACGAACATGTTCGATTCCATAGAGGCGTTCAGGACAAAGGAGATGCACCAGCCCAGGAATACGGTCGTAGTGTCGTTCCAGGACCAGAGGAGGGTCGGGCTCAGGCTCCCGAAGGGGGTCGTGGTTATACGCGGGAAGAGGTTGACGTTCACGGACACCAACAAGAGGGTGAGGACGGTCAGGGTCTCGTACGGGATTATACGTGTATTACAGCTCAGACACATTCCCACGATCAAACACTACCCGTCCACGGTATTCAGGTCGATCACCATCCCGAGGGGGAGGTATAGGCTGGACACGCCCAGGCTGTCCGAGTGCGAGCTACTCGCCATCGTGATGTAGAACTATACTTCGGTCGTGAGGGACGCCATCATCATAGATAACTACGTCGTCTTTACCAGCTGCCCGGTCTACAACAGGACAGTGATCGGCTGCGACCGCCTCTACCCAAAGCCGCCCTCCACGGAGAACATGGCGAGGTACTCGATGTTAGTTTTGGCCGTATTCGCGGAGGTGTACATGTACAACACCTTGGACTTCGTCCCACTCGGGATTAAGTTCATCTCGTAGACATGATGACGGCCCTGTCCATAATGTCGTACGTGTTCAAGTCTACGGTCCTCTACAGCTCCGTGTCACGGTTCCGCGAAGACCTAGTTGGCACGTGACTATTTCGCGCGCTGCCTGCGACCATCACCTCGTCGCAGGCAGGTCAACTCTCAGATAGACTCTGCTCGAGTTCGGTATTCATGTTATTAGTGCTGTAACACTTTGTGCTGTGCTGGCACCCCCGACCTGCTCAAGAACGGCTTCACGTACATCGACTTGCCGAACGTCGAGATAATGTCCGAGCGCGAGATCCTCCCCGTCCCCGCAGGCTACAGGGTGACACGCTCACGTCCAACACCCGACCGCGGCATGGCGCCGTGTACGAACCTACACCAGAACATGGGCACCCCCTCGGCCCTGAAGATGTTGATAACCTTGATGTGGTACGAGATACTTAAAGAGAACACGGCCGGGATGCTCATCATCGCTATTGTCCTCGTGGATATAGCGTGGTCGATGAAAACCTCGGACCTGCACTTCGCCCAGAGCACGGTCGTCGCCCTCTTCGAGGTCGAAATCACCCGGTCGTCGAACTTCCTCTTGAAATCGTAGGGCATGATTGTGGCCCTCTTCATGCGCCTGAATAAATCCTCGACGCTGATCTCGGGGTCGACCGCGATGTAGGACCACCCACTGACTATCATCTGCCTCCACCCCTGGAACCTCCCCGCGCCGGCGATGACTATCATCTTCCTCTTCTCGTGGACCAGCGACTGCGCCATGGTGTACACGCGGTCGCGCATGGCGAACGACATGGCCGTGATGTCCAATAGGACTGCGTCCATCATTGAGGGCCTCACCATCGCAGCAACCTCTCCTCTCCTCGAAGCAAACCATCCTCCGCGGCGACACCGACAACGCAAGGCAGGCAGAAGCGGTCTACTCGAAAGATGTGTTGAGATAGGTCTCGGCTAGGCGAGAGCGTGATTATCGGTCTTTGACCACGTTCACCACGGCGCGTCTAACCACGTCCACGGGGTTGGGCATCTTCTTCGCCACGCGCTGCCTGGGGTTCACCAGCACGACATTGGACGCGTCTGTCCTCTTGACGACATCTATCTCGTACACCGTGCCCTGCTCCATGTGCATGTTCCCGTTCGCAACTGGCACCATCTCCAGTCGAATGCGGTCAACGTCCAGGAGGCTGAACCAAGATTCTTCCTTCTCTAGTGAGTCGCCATGGCAAGGCAATGGTCCAAAAGCTTAGAGAACTGACCACCTTGTAGTTGACAGTTACATGCCACCTACATTGTACTCCCCGGCCGTTCTCGTTTGATGCAGGTCTTCGGGCCCGGCGTCGGCGGCACGAACGAACGAGGGCAACGACTCCTCCTACTTCTGGTCCTCAGTCCGCAGCCGAGCGCATATGCTGTGCATCGCACACTCGATAGAAATATCCAACATCCTCAAGCTCTACGAGCAACAGCGCGCACCACCACGTTGTCGGACGCACACAGCTTGTCGTCCATACAAGAGCAGGTCGGCCGTGGGCTCCTACAGCCTCAGGGTTCTGGGGCTGCTCACCAACACGACCCCGTCGCAGGGGAAGGACAGTGCGTTGCCCATTAAGGTCAGGCGCGTGGAGAAGGGCGTGTTCTCCATGAGGGTGCCGGTACTGGACGACTCACTCTTGGTTCCTGTTCACGGTGCTGAACGACTCACTTTCCTCGTCTCTGACCGTGTCCGTCTTCATCCTCCTCCGCATGCTGAACACCAGTGACTTGGTGTGCCTCAACGCGTCCGGATCCGGCAGCCTCGCGGTGTTCCCGTGCCTCTCCGTGGGCCCGTCGGCCTTCAAGCGCTCGATCTCGAGCTCCATCCGTGACATGCGCTTCTGCATTATCTCCATGACCCTGTTCGACCCCCACAATCCGGGCCTCGCCCTCATTGCCGTCCCCGCCCTTGCTCGCCGCACTGCCGCCGACCCCGAACTCGATCGAGCGGTCGATCTCCTCGATGTCCGACATGACGCCCAGGGTGGGGTTCGACACCTGCATAGAGCACACGACTGTGGACACCGTGGTGAAGAGGATGATGAATATGGAGGTGACCAGCACGAATGAGGATCTTGTTCGTCTGATTCGCGGGATATAACGATGCCGACGTTGCTCCGTATGGGAAGAGGTCATACTGCATGGGAGCGTTGTTGAACATGATTTGACTCATCTGCTTCGGCGAGGATGGGCGGTCGAAGGGTCCATGACGGTGAGGGTGGGCTTACACGAGGCATCAGACCGCTGGCAGAGAGGCCACCACAGCCATTGTGAATACTAGTCCAGCAAAATGAGGAAACCAAGGTTGATCATCATTATCGCCCGTGTTTTTGTACACGACTACGTACACCAACACAAGTCCCAGCATGGTCTGCAACTGGTACTTGGCGCGGTCGTCAGCCGCCTCCGCGTCGTCCAGATGCACAAGACCGTGTCCAGCCATTTGACCCAGTACGTGGAACTACTTACCCACGCTGGTGAAGAAGGCCACCGTGTGGTCTATATCGATACGCATTGTCACGAACACCCACGTGACACTGGACACTCAGCTCAGGCCGTCCACCAAGCAATCAGGCCGCCAGCCAAGTAGCTGGCTTATCGCATGTATATAGCAGGAGGGATGATATTGTCAACCTTGAAGCCTTCTTCAAGCGTTGACATCTCTATCTATAGGCTAGTTATCTTCATTATTGATCCCATAGTACACGCATTCACCCTCCAGTTAGTTAACCGGTGTGATACGCATGCCCGTGTGTGGCCTCCCGCTCGCGGGCATCACCACGTGTTAGGAGTTTATGGATCCGTTGTGCCGCTGACTGTTCTTCTCCTGGCATGCATACCAAAGATCTGCTCGATGTGGCCAGATATTGCGCGATGTTTCCAAAGGTATGCTTCGAAGCTGGATTGGGAAGACAAACCTTTTGCCTCAAGCCTACTACTATCAAGGTTTGAAGGACACGGTTCAAAGACAGAATGGGAGTGGATCGTCTCAACGAGTACAAACCACTCGTTGACAACTGCATTGAGATCGACAACGGCTCTACGAAAGCCAGCTGGAAAGGAAAGGTGCATACAGGAACCGCCAACATCATGGGGACCCGATGAATCTGGACATGGTCCAAAAAAGGAGGTTCAACCTTGTGGAAGACCCAATACCAGGAAGAAGAACGCAGGCGCTACGAGTCGCTGCACACCTGAGGTGCCACGAGCAAACAGAAGAAGTCAACTTCGTTCACAAATAATCGAGTTCCTCTCGGTTACACGTTATGCGTATAGCCCCGGATACTATACACTTGGTTTCGTCTCTGCTACTTCGTTCCACTAGTACATCACCAAGTAAACCACTTCGCGTTTGCTCGCAGCGCCTCTCGTGTGAAGCGACTGGTGACACCACCATGATGGTCCGACAACCCGCTTCTGTTCATGTGGTTCATGATCTTCGAGGCCCTCAGCATATACCTCGCATGGTTCAAGGGCGTGTCATCGCACAACTCTGGCCGAGTCTCCAGGTGCGTGTTGCACATCATGGGCACGACCACGATTGTCAACTCATACGTCGGCAGGTGCATCTTCACGGGGGCGTCCATCATGCGGGTGATGCACGGGCACAAGTTGTTCGGGCGCGAGTCGATCAAGTCGAACGAGTGAATTGTGCAACAGGAGCAGATTGTGAAGGCGATCTTGCATATCTTGAAGGTCACCGTCGGGTGCTCTTACAGCTGGCGGTTTTGATCGGCTACGCCTACGTGTGCATGTTCATCTACATGGTGGCGTCCTTGGATGCGTATATTCACCAACATGGTGTGTCCTCGGGTATGTATATTCACCTACAGGGTGGTGTCCCCGATGGTCTGTGTACGCTCGCCGTTGATCAGGTCCAACCTCAGCCATGGCACCTTGTTATCGTCCCCGGGGATGGCCAGGTAGACCGTCAAGTTGATGTTGAACGCCATCTTCAAAATCGCCTCCTTGACGCCGTCCTGGTGGTCCTTGTGCATTGTCGACGCGGTCATGGTCATGTTGGCGCCCACGCAGTCGGGCTGGTACGAGACCATGATAGTTTGTCTCTTGACGCACTCAGTCGGCGCGAAGAGAGTGATCGCGGAACCCTCCTCGGTCCTCTTGCTGCACGGGGTGATGTTCGTGGACACGTTCTTGCGGACGATCCAGACGCCGGTGGTGGCTCTGCACACATGATGGTGCTGGTAGACCATGGTGATCGTGGTGGTGTTGACAGTCTCGTTGATTCAGTGCTGGGTCTACTACTACGACGACTCCGTAACAGGAGATGACCATGGACAAGAAGACGATCATTTACAGGCCCATGCAGGTGTACACGTTCGAAAACGTGATTCCGGGCTGAACGGGTACCTGAACACGAGCAACCACATGTTCAAGCACAGCGAGGTGGTCTGCGACGTGTACAGGGTTGGCTGCGGCAAGACCACTGACTACTGCGACAAGAGGATGTCCGGCGTCAAGTACGAGGACGCGAGTCAGAAGCGAGTCCACGAGGTTCCATGTACAACAAGTGCATGACCACGGAGATGAACGAGCAGAGAGAGAGAGATGATGGCCCTCTGTACGACCAAGTCGGACAGAGACAAGGTGCGCAGCTTACTGAGGAGCTATGTGATGACACTCGGCATGGTTTAAAAAAGTTCGCGTGTGAGCAGCCTTTCTGCCTAACATCCGCAATAAATCGCAGAAAGACGTCGAAGCAGAGACTCTCCAATTGCAAAAGTTTCAAACATAAAACGGCGGTTAAGGAAGCCACAGGAACATGCACGTTGGCTGCGATATCAGCTCGTGTGGTCGAAGCTGATTATAATCCCTTTCGATCATCCAGCATTTGTGGAATTGGTTGCCTAGCTTGCTAGCAACTCAGCCGGATCCTGTGAAGAGAGAAATTCAGTACAAGCTGGTCAAAAGAACAAGTCCCAACCCAGGTACCTGGACGTGATTCCACGAAGGTATCCTAGCAATAACGTGAAGCTTTAATGCCTTGGATAGAATTTGTCCAGTCTCGACCGTCCACAAAAATGGCACCATGCAAAAGCAGGTCTACAGAGTAGGTGATAGCTGCGGAGCATTGCATCGAATCGACAGCGGCTCTAATAACACAAATGATCCTGATCTCAGGGTGATGCCTTTGAGCCTTTTGCAAGTATACCGAAGAGCGTCTTATAGCAGGCCATTAGATTCGCGAGCCCCCCCGTGGAAGTGCAGATGTCTTCATTTTCAAGAGCGAGGGATTTCAGATCTTTTACAATGGACAAACGGAAAAATTCGACTCGTAGCCACAACAACATTGTGCAAGGAGAGGTGGTGGAGTTTTGGGGAAGTGAGTGTCCAACTTCCCCCACCAGATGTGTGCCGCGGGCAAAAGAGGCACCGAAGTCCAGCTGCTATTCGATCGAAGAATCTTCTGAGTCTCGTCGTTACCACGATCGGTCCCGTTAAATAGCAAACAGTCAATGTCTCCGTGTGGCCGGTGAATATTTCTGAGATGCCGCTCCATGCATCGCCCTCAATATAGAGCTGGGTCAGGCTCTTCCACTCCAACAGTGATCCCATCAGATCTCATCAGAATACCTCTTCAAGCTGTCAATCGGACGACTAAAATTTACTCTCCCTACCGATATCACCACTAGGAGGGTTTAGCTCGCCGAGGGAGAGCTAAGTTTTTCTTGTATCAGGAGCGCTACTGGAGATGTGTCGTTAGTCGAGCCATCCATTACCGACAACTCCAACGCAGACACACATTGGGGATTTGTAGAACTCACATATTCCAAGGCTACCGGCGTATGGGTGCGACATCAGCGGCGTTGACTTCGTCGGGCTGGCCCTGGAAATATCTTTGAAGAGCTCTATCAGGAATGCCTTATTGGAAATAGGCAGTACTCAGCGATAGATCGATTCCGTAGTGATATGTATAGTAGTGACAAGACTCAAAGCATGAGAAAAGGATGCTTGTCGGGTGCGAGGAGCATGCTTTTCTCCTTCGGTTTGTAAGTGGCTGAAAGTGGTTTAGGCTCGTCCGGCTCGGTGTCTTCCCGAGTGGCTTTTCAACCTCTCTTGCTAGGAGGATGCTTCTCCTCTCTGAGTAGCAGGCTCCTCTCGTGCGGTTCACTTCGGCTTCCTACGCTGTTTGTGATAAGCTCAGACACTGAGAATGATCGGTCCATATCACAGTCAAGGAGGCCTACAAGAAGGGGCGATACGAGGTATCTGCGACGCTCTTGGAATCCAAAGTTCGATTGACGGCTACCCTTGGGAAGATCTCTGTATCTGATTCCCAAGGCAGCTTTATTCGCGTTCTCTCTCTCCTAACAGTTACATCCAACTGCAGCCGAGCGAATTCCCAGGCTACTGGGAACTGCTATGTTGATGAGGTCTGGTCGAAATTTTCTATCGAGACCTAAAAGTTCAATACTTAGTCCAGCCAGCTGGGCGATGTCTCGTGCATGGCTGAGGGCGACTCGCTTCATTACTCTAGTGGCATTGGCACCGACCGTCGTAATGGCGGTATCATCGGAACTAATTTGACTAAGCCGTCTTCAAAGGATATCTTCAGCTGCAACAGTGGCCCTTTCGCCGTCTCTCCGTCCGCCGATGACATACTAAAATCAATCGTTCCCCGCCTTTATGCGGCACTTAACCGTTCGCTGGTCTGACTGAGATCAACTACAACGGCGGTTTGCGACAGATTTGACGGTCAAGACGCTGAACTACTGGGATTGACGGAGCCTTTTGGGAGCAACGGTCGTGAAGCCCGGTGTGGTGGCCGAGGAGCTATTCGCCGCGGACGCGCTTCTCCTGCGACCACCTAGGCCCAGCTTCGTCTCATCTTGACTTGTTAATTCGCGCTGTTCTTGATCATGATTCTGGGTCTCTAATGCCACAATGCGCTCTATGTTCTTTTGGTATATCTCCAGTAATGCCTCAGTCTTGTTCTTGTTCTCGTACGCCTCTAGGTGGTCTTTCTTTCCGACTCGTAGTTCATTGCCATGCTTTGAACTAGTTGTAGGACTTGGGCCTGGCCAGGGTGGATGTTCCGGTTTGGACATGCGTCTCTGGTTGTTTCGGCAGTCGACCATGCCGACCTTTTCGTCTATGGTCCATGTTCCGTGCCCTCGTTATCAACGCCTACTACGTCGCTGAGAGTTCCTTCATCGATCTCGCGAGCCGCGTTCCGTTGGCTTCTTGGGCCGTAAGGATCGTGGTTGAGTTTGCGGAGTGGAAGCGTCACACGCATTCGAGCGAGTCAGAGTAGTTACAGTGGTGTCGTCATGCGATCTTCAGGGAAGATCTCGACGAGCGCCGGGAGGCCGCGTGGATCAACTGCGGCGAGAGAAGCAAACATCTACGGTTACATGAATCATGACTGCGTGCCGACCGCCAAACTCCTGGGTAAGAGGGAGTCAGGAAGGTATCAGGTCTCCGTGGTCGCTGCTACACGAGAGGTTCGTGATGCAGATAAAACTCACCATCAATTACGGCATTACGCAAGATTAGGCCTCCACACCGCCGATAAGCTACGACTATGAGGAGGGGGACCTGGAACTCAACACTTTTTCGTTGGGGTTTGGGAGCTTCACCAAAGCACGGCATGCCTTATACGAGGTCGGTGTTATGTTCTCTCTCTTGTCGCTGGTTAGAGAGACTTTGCAATAGCCGGACAGCATGCGCAACTTCTACAGCCGACGCGGCCAGGGTTTGTCTAGCGTTTAGGGAGCTACTCTTGCGGGGGGGCTGGCGTGCTGTAGGTAATCGAGGCGGAAGTACCTACCATGCTCCTTAGTCTTGGTCAACGAGCGCTTCAGCTTTCTCAGTAAGTCCATGATCTAGTTTTATACTCATGCCCTGCTAATAGAAATATAATAGCGTGGACTTGCCGGAATGGCCCCCCAACTCCGCTTTGGCACTACTAGAGGCACTTGAAAAACCATGAACTTGAGCCCGATCTCGTCCATAAGTAAATGTACCATCCGTCGTGCTTTCAAAAGATCTAGGTACGAGATGGTCTACGAAATGTCTCCTCACAGTAGTCATCGAAGCGTACACTCCACAGTCTGATCTGCTTCATAATCTTCTCTGTCAACTCCAGGTAGCGATCGGGTCCGAACATCGAGTCGACAAATTCGGTGCCGGCTTTTCTACCCATTGTCTTTGTGCCATCTCTCTTGGTGGCCTTCAACATGTAAAATTCACACTTTTTGAGGAGGTCTTTGAGCTGGTCCCACAGCGAGCCGCCACTGTCGATGAGGTCTTTAACGATTTCTCGCCGTTCAGCATTTGTCATGCGGCCAACACGCCCCTCTGCACTTTTCATCTTGCCTGCAAGTTTGATAAGAAGCAGCCACAGCTCTCCAGCCACGTCGGTGGTGGGATTCGAACGGCCGCGATGCCAGATAGTCCAGTCGTATATCCACTTGCCAAGGGAATTCGCGTCAAAGACACTGCCTAGCAGAATGATCGGCTTTTCTGTTGGATCCCAATGTTTGATTGTAAAGCCCGCTGGGATACGAGCATGGTAGGCATCTGCCTCTGTTGCTTGTCGGGTAGGCTTTGAGGCCTCGAACTTGGACTTTGACGACATCCTAGAGGAGGTCGAAGAGCGCTGTGGTCGGAAGTACTTCGGTGGTCCTTCTCTAACATTCTCCTGTCTGTAGTGGAAGTGAGGGTCTTTATCAGACTCGTTTCCGTGCTTTGACTTTGACGGGTTTGGCTCCCGGGAAATATAAGTACGCCCCATATCTTCAATTTCATCGACCTAGACGTAGATAGGCTGCTTCGGCCGCGAGTGGTGATGTACTATAATGGTATCTTTGAGGTAAAAATGTTGTCGGAGCAGCCCTCGCTCTCGTTCACATAGTCGTCGTGACCCTGTGATGCGGTGTACTGGAACGTGCGGTCATGTGCCTGTGAGGACACTGCTGAGTGCCAGTCTTCAATTCTTGAGGAATGATGGTAACTGTTGATTCGTGTATGTGTTCATGCCACCTCGGCGTTACGTCGTACCGTGGTACATACGTCACATATTCTTCACGAGTATATCTTGAAAATCGACAATCGGTATACCCTAGCGGTACTGTCAGGAACGGCCTATGGAGATAGGTAGAGGGCGGCGATAGGTAACAGGCAGGTATAGGTATTCCTTGACAGTATATCTTAAGTAAGACTCAAAGCATGAGGAAAGGAAAGGGAAGTTTCCCTCAGGCGGTGAGCATGCGGTGCTTAAATAATGAGTGGTTGTCATGTGCGAATTATGCGTTGGCGATTCGTGACAGGTACCCGCCGCTGATCAGTCATCTTCCCTGTCCTGAAAGGCCCTTCTGGAGCAGAGGTTCCTATACGTGGATATTAAATAATAAAAAGGCCATCAGCGCCAATAGACGCAATATTTTACCCTTGATGATGATGCTACGACCAGGAGCGGCTGTATCAAAACATGGAGATGATCCAGAGGCTCAATAATGGTTGGTTACAGTATCATCAACGTGGAAGCAAGATGTTCACCCCTACAACGGCCACGTCATTTGAGTGACGCTGATCTGAAGTTTCACATACACTTGGGGCGTGCCCGGAGTCTGTACTCGGTACACAGCAAAGGTTCCCACCACTTGGCCCCGAGGTTACCAATTTTTGTCACGTTCACATGGTTTGGAAGCTTAGAGTGCTCTGTCTCGGTTATTGTTGCCGTCAGAGCCGCTTTGCTGGCCCCATTGCTGCCTGGAGTAGGGACATTACATGCGGAGTCGACCCAATCCATAGCGTCGTCTGCGTTACCCATCCTGCCCAACGCCCTCATCCTACCCAACGCTCTCGTCCTACCCAACGCCCTCCTACCAAAGCTACCAACCGAGACTTTGAAAGGTGGTTATCACGATGGTGATCGCACAGGCAACAACAACAACAACAATGGCCAACCTCAAAACTGGTGAGGCATTTATTAGGTTTAAAGAAAGCATAGTATCCTAACATAACTAGCGCACCCAATATCCCCTACCGATCACGCCGTACATCGCAGGCTCGAGTGTCACGCCTCTGTTGTGAGGATGTTCGACGTCGAACTCGCAGTCGTCCTCTGTCTTCATGTCCCATTTCGGTCTGGCAAGGCTCCCATCGAGCCGTCGCATCCCCTGAAAGCCAAAGGTCGGATCGCAGCAGATCAAAACCAGAGACCGTTTTACAGAGCCCGGCCCGCCCGCCCTGAAGAAAATTCCCTCATCCCCCACCGCTGCCTTAGCGTCTTGACGACGGAAACATTTGCAGTGGAGCATGTCCTGGAGATCCTTAGGTGCATCTTCCGGGGGCCAGAGAGAGATGGTATTCGCCGTGAAGGCTCGCTCGCCATCCTCCATCTCCCGGCCTTCCGGATCCCGTTTGGGCTTGCGAAGCACCCAATCTTCCGGATTCACCGCATCTTTGACCAGAGGACTCAACTCCTGTCTACTTGTCACGCGTAGCTTGGTGCGTTCTCGAGGGAGCCATTCGCCTTTCACGTTGGGGTCATCCGTAATGAGCTCGACGAAAGTTTGCGCGTTGAAAGAGTACCCGATCCATTTTGTCTTATGTCGGTCATACTCCTTCACCGCCGTCGCTTCCTTCTCGCCGCCGTCGTCACGAAACTGGGCATGAATGTATCTGCCTGCTGAGAGCCGCCGACTGTTGTCGATCTCGTCGGCCAGCACAAAATTTGCGCGGCGTATGGGTGTTGTCTGATAAGCCCTGATCAGTGGACCGCCCTCGGGCCCCCATTCTTTTCTTCCCTCGACCACCAAGAGTTCGCCGGTGGAGTAGTCTATCTGGAAGCTGAGATCAGCCCACGTGTCGTCGTGTGGTCCGTCGATGTTTTGTCTTCGCCAGATGAGGTTCTTTGTGAGTTCCGCATCTGGGTCGCCTAGGCGTTTTGAAAACATAGTGATGCCATAGTAGCTCGTGAACGGGGCGTTTACCCAGTTCGTGACGGCATAGAATTGGTCTTTGTAGATGGTAAAAGCCACTGTCGATCCTATACGTGAGCCCCAACCTGGCAGCCTTAGTGGCTCACCATTTACCCGCTGGGACGTCTCGAAATCATAGACATCTAGTAACCATGTTTGTTCACCACCCCAGTTAGTCCCCAAAACTATGAATCGTTCATTATTCCGAACGAAAAGTTTGTTGGTACCTGGCCCCAGGGTCGATACACATAATCGGATTCGGGGCCGAGGGGGATTCGAGGTTTTCTTTATATCCACCGCGAGGATATATCGGGCAGAATTGGCATTAACAGAACACTGTAGAACCACTATTCCGTCGGCGTAACTCTCGACCTGCATCAATTTCAGAGATTCGAGCTCTATGGTGGCCTGGTCCCGATTCGCGATGCAGACTTGACCAGTGAAGAACTCACGACCGAAGACCTGCTCGGTGTCTCGGCGATGATTGAAATTTAGAATGCGAAGAGTGAAGTCCGAAGTCGTGTAGCATAAAACCCCCATGCTGTAGATGAAACTGCGACTGTATGCCAGAATGCAGACTGAGTACGGTGACGCCTGTTGCAACGCCGACTGCGAGTCGACAATGCGGGCGAGGGTTTGCCTGGGACCGGGACCTGGTTGAAGCGGCGATAGGGCAAGCTGTACCCAGAGACAATATCGCAGATACACCTGATGTAGTCAGCCAATGGTCCATTGTATATACTGGCGCATTGATAGTACCTGCATCACAACCTTTACAGTATTCTCAGTCTGAAGAAGCCGGCGTGAAGACTTGGCCGTTTTCGCCAGTCTATCCAACGAAAAGTGGTCGAGCCGACTTGCAACATTGTGGAAGATATCGAAAGGCAACTGCGAGAACTCGAATGTCATGTCCGTCGACATCTTGTAAGTTAGTGTCAGACCAGTTACCTGACTGGAGGGTGAATGTGTGTACTATGGGATCGATAATGATAAGAAGACTTCAAGGTTAACAAGTAGGATCCCCCTTGCTATATACGTGCGATAAGCTAGCGGCTTGGCTGGCGGCCTGACCTCCTTGGCTGGCGGCCTGAGCTGAGTATCGGTCGTCGAGAGCCAACCATTTCACTGGGGAGCACTAACCGACAGGAGGGCCGAAAATGCAAATTGCAAATGGTTGGCTGGCATTGATAGACCACCGGAGCGAAAGCCTCTTTAAAAGCGATCAAATGCCTCACTTTGTTAAGAGGCTAATCATTGGTGTTGCCTGCGCAGCGACCGTGATTGACACCCCGAGGGGGGGGGGGGGTGACCACAGAGTACGATAGACGATTATGTAAGCATCATGTTTGCTGATGTCGTCAGCATCACCCCCCCCCGACCAGTGCGTTTCGCATGCGTTCCGCATGCGATAACGGTGCGAAACACATGCGTTTCGTATGCGATTCGCGTGGTTTTATTAGGCGCATGCGACTCGCATGCGAGACGCAGGCGAAAAGTATGCGAGTCGCATGCGGCCAACATGCGTTCGCCCCTGAATTATTTGTTTTTGAGTTGGGACCGTCGATAATGGCCTAAACCTTTTGACAAACGGTCAAGTTGATCCCGCCGTTCACGAGCGAGGACTGGCAGCTGAGCTTGGCTGCAGCCGCGGGCTCATGACGTTCAAGCCGAGACTTCACAACAGGGGATGAAGGATCATGAAGAGATGAAAGAGACAGCAACAAAAAGGCAAATGAGGAGCATCCTGAAGCACCAGAGCCGGTGATCGGGGTGAATGATGAAAGAGAATCTGTACGTCACATATCTTCCACTGTCCTGCGATGATTTGTTCGAGGTAGATGGGAACAGCATAGTAAAAAGTCCGGGAATACTGTCCAAGAATATTATCACAAATCGCGGTAGCTTCTTCTCGCATTCCCAACGGTGGCTACGTCCCGCCGCAGGGCTGGAATCAAGGTCCCCTGGGTCCAGGCCCCGATCTCAACTGGGGTAAATGGAGCTGCCATATTGACAAGACGCAAGCTGCAGCCTACCCCAAGCTTAACAAATCTATTATATAAGACTTGAGACTTGTTGATCTTCGACCGCTCCCGGTGGACGGGAACTCGCGCATTCTCGCACATCGGGGCCGGGTAGCTGAGGGGAAATCGTCGTCAGTCGGGTGGCCGCAGAAGAACGAGTGATCATTGGGATGATTGCATCTATCTTCTCACGGGAAAGCCGGGTTCGACTCGTAGCTGCTCACCAAATGCATTGTCGATCCTAAAAAGAGTACCAAGTAGAAGTCTTGATCGAAAAGATGACCCCACAAGAGGGGAAGGCGACAGACTTCACGATGAAGTCGTGTTGATTCTGGGTCCATTTTCACCTTCATGGGAGAGAGTTGTGAGACCAGGGTCGGAGTGCAACGAGCAGGTCGTGAGAAGAAGAGGGTTCACTTGCCTTGAATCCTTGGAGTGCATCAGGAGACTCCAGACATGCTTCGTGATAAACAAAAGAAACATGAAGAGGCATGGACTCGGATTTCATGATGGCGCATCATGACGCATCCATGTGTGAGAAGAAGGCTCGTACAGCTTGAACCTGGCCACTTCTTTGTCCAACTGCCTCCTCTTCTGGTCGAAGGCATCAAGAAGTTCCGAATCAGAGTCGCTAGTGTTTTCGGGCAAGTTGCCAAACGACGATGCCCAGCCCGATCAGTAATGTCGAGCTGGTGGAAAAACGCGACACCACCAACCCCTGCCATGCTGGTGAAGGATGGAGTAAGGTCGAGCAGGGCAGGCCAGGGCCGGATAGAGGGACAAAGAGCAGGGACGAGAACTCACGTCGGAAGCTCAGTTCGGCTGGCAGGAGATCTGCAGACATGGTAGATTGTCCACCGAGACGACGTTCGAGCCGGGGAGGAGGGCCGTGTTCGTCAAGGTATCATCGTCCGAGGAGACGTGCATCAAGGCGTACGAGATCCTGAGCTCAATGTCGCCCGTCTTCGTGAACGTGCACAACAGCTTCGGCTTCGACATCGAGAGAATCACGGTCTACAGCGCCAACATCCCCAAGTTCACGGACACGTCCGAGAACAAGCACTTGGGCAACAGCGGGACTGGGACCTTCTGGAGGCTGACCAACGGGATCTCGGTCATGGACTCAATGTACGACGTGGACAAGTACCTGCGGAGGGACTGGGTCTCCATCTTCCCCAAGATGGCCGAGGTCCTGAACGGATCGTCCCAACGAGTACAAAGCACTCGTTGAAAACTCCCATCGAGACGATGGCAAGCAGTGAACACTGCAAGAACAGCGAGTGTAAGTGTCGAGTATCACAAGCACGGTAAGTGTGAGTGTCGAATACCACCAGTATAAGCCAAATGTGGGTTGGGGGAGGTCAGTATCGGTAAGTATTGGTTGGGGCAGCCATTACCTTAACGCCAAACACCAAAATGCCAGGAGAAAGAAGAGAGAAAACAAAGGAACAATTGCCTGTGTCTTGTCAGTATCATACCAATGCATTTGCAGTGACGATGGTCAGATCGAGGGACGACTACGACTTCGTCCAGATGCTCATCTACAAGACCAGGGACTCGGACCTGCACACGTGAGTCGCCAAGGTCATAAAGACGCCCGAGAACTCGGGTACGGCCAAGTGCTCGATCTAGGACCTGATCGCGGGCAATAGGGGCCACATGGTCTGGTGCTTCAAGGTGTCGATGGGCTTGCCGATGAACTTCCTATCAGACATGAGCAGGTCCATGGGCGTGGATGGGAAGGAGTTTGAGGGCGGGTTCGTCCTCGAGCCCCAGTCCAGGTGCTACAAGGGGCAATCGTCATCGAGGGGAACTCACTGTATGCCTCGATCATGTCCAAGTTCAACATTTTCATCAACAGATGTGCGTCTACGTGTACAGCTGACGCGTCAGACTAACTAAGAAGGTGGCCTCGACGTCATCGAGGACTTGTTGGGCCTCGAGATCGGTGATTGCTTCGATCACGAGGACTTGTTGAAACTCGAGATCGGCGATTGTTTCGATCGCGAGGACTCGATCCTCCTGATGACCGAGACCGAGTACATGTGCATAGTCGGGAAGGAGCTCACCATCCTGTGCGTCATGCTGAATGCGTTGGCAGCAGCCACAGGATGTTGAGTTCGAATACGTACCTGGCCACTTCCTTCCTTGTGGCCTTAACCTCATCGGGAATGTTGGGCGAATAATTTCCACCACTTTCCACCATCTTCCACCCAACAAATCCACAGGGCACGCCACATCTCCTCATCTCCTCGCTTAATCAATCAATTCTCCAATCAACTCATCATTCCATCAATCCATCAATCAGGTATTTCCACTCACACACCGAACCTGTGGGGCTTCAGGGCCATCTACAGGGAAACGGACTCGATATTCGTCTGGGTCAAGGGCAACACGGAGCAGGTGTACATGAACGCGGGCATCAAGGTAAGACCAAGATCACTGAGCTCACGAGCGGGACTAACATCGTAGGCGTCGATACCAATATAAAGTGGAACCACTAGTCGATCATCATATCGGCCAAGAAAAAGTAAGTACGAAGTGGTCATCCGGGACGGGACGCTAACCAGAAAGGGGCCTAGGCACACACGACCACTGAGATCATCGGCAACATGAGCTTCAGCTCGTACAACAACGACCACCTAGGCCTGGTCCACATGGCGTTGTGTGTCCCGTGCGGGCGCATGATCGAGATGAGGCTCGGGCCTGCGCAACTCCACAGCATCAATTGTCGACTCACCACCGCGTGCGTGTGGGAGGTGTATTGCGCGGGCTGCGCGGAGAAAGACGGTGTCCCGCCACCCAGTGTCAAGGAAGACGTAGTCATGGAAGACAATGTCAATGACTCTTCAGATGGTGTCAAGGAAGACAATGTCAAGGAAGACAATGTCAATGACTCTTCAGATGGTGCCAAGGAAGATGGTGTCAAGGAAGATGGTGTCAAGGAAGATGGTGTCAAGGAAGATGGTGTCAAGGAAGATGGTGTCAAGGAAGATGGTGTCAAGGAAGATGGTGTCAAGGAAGATGGTGTCAAGGAAGATGGTGTCAAGGAAGATGGTGTCAAGGAAGATGGTGTCAAGGAAGATGGTGTCAAGGAAGATGGTGTCAAGGAAGATGGTGTCAAGGAAGATGGTGTCAAGGAAGATGGTGTCAAGGAAGATGGTGTCAAGGAAGATGGTGTCAAGGAAGATGGTGTCAATGGCTCTTCAGATGGTGTCAAAGAAGGCGATGTCAAAGAAGGCGATGTCAAAGAAGGCGATGTCAAAGAAGGCGATGTCAAAGAAGGCGATGTCAAAGAAGGCGATGTCAAAGAAGGCGATGTCATGGAAGACGATCCCATGGCAGACCGTGGCAGTGGCAGGCTAGACGGTCTAGTCAATTACGCGGACAGAAACGGCTTCACCTTCATGGACCTGGCGATGAACAAGATCGGCCGCACAGGCAGGCGCTACAAAAAGACGACCTTCCCGAACCCAGGAGCCTACATCAACATATTCGCTTTCATTCGCATGTTCACGCCCGCCGAAGTCACGTTCGGCTGCATTTACCCGCGCGGTATGGGCATGGACAAGGACATTGAGATTATCTCGAACTTCTTCGCCCTGGACAAGTCCACGATGCGCACGGTGCGCCCAATCATTCTTTCTGAACCAATAGATGCTCGCGTTCTTTTGGCCGCGCACCAACAAGGATATCACCAACAAGGATATCACCAACAAGGATATCACCAACAAGGATAAGGAGGTGGAGGAGAAGGAGACCTCGGACTTCCTCGACGTGGAGCAGTGGAGGGTGTGCCTTATGGTGCCGTCGGACACATAGATGTTCACATGCTTGTTGACCCGTGGAGATGCGGCTTCGTATCCCGCTTTCTCCCGCGCCTTCGTGGTCGGGTCTTCAAGTCGCAGTTATTCACATACAGATAGATCTATTAGCTCTATATCGCTATGAATCTAATGACCTTCATCAAGTTGATGCCGTTCTTTGCTTGTCTTCGAGTCTGGTTGCGCACCCCTCCTCTCGGTGCCGTTCCAGAGGGACTCGCTGTAGCTGCTATCGTACTCGTGCGCGTAGGTCCTCCTGCGGTGGGCGCCTATGCCTCCTGGTGTCCGGGCTCACCGTCGTCACACCCTTATTCTTGGTGTTGGACTCGTACGTTGGCAGCTGGAAACTTCGGGGCACCATCACCCTCCAACTTGTTCTACAATTTGGATGTGACCTTGTCTACACTCTCGGGGTTGTCCGTGTCTCTGTTCGGCGACACGCGCGTGGGCTTGGTGATCTTGATGTCCGGGCACAGGATAATCCTGTCGTTCTTCCTCCCCATCCTGAACGAGATGAATGGCCACAGCAAACCATCAGAGCTAAAGTTCCAGGCAAGGACGACCGTTGGCGGCCTCCCAGTTGGAGATCCAGCCCCCTGTCGCGAGACAGATAGACGGTGAAGAGAGAAAGACTGTTGAGGTTATTGGAGCTCTGAGCAAGAGATGCCTTTTACTCCGTGGCATCACGAGCATGAACATGAAGATGGACGTTGTTATGACACATTTCTTGTAGAACGACGGGAGTCGGTGGCAAACAGGGGAAGTCGGACAATGGCATGGTTCATGCTATCCTCGAAGAGCCAAGGGCTGCTGCAGAGGTTTACATGCTATTCGTACTGAGACCAGATAGATAGACGCCAATACCGAGTACCGAGTCACAATTCAAACGCATTCACAGGCCCTCCCTTTTCCTCACCTCATTTGAATCCTTTCCATATTTGAATTTGGTCACGGCATGGGAACGCCGGTTTGCTTTTGAGTCAGTATTGAGCAAACAACGACTTGGAGCCCGCCGTAAATGATGCGGCATATCTCACCATCATCGCGTGTTCGTCCTGGGTGAGGAGGATCTTGATCAGATGCTCGTGGAATATATTGCTACGGCCTTGAACGAAGGGTGGATTTAACCACTCAGTGTCACTCCACCAGGACTAGTGATGGAGTAGTGCCATATTTCGTATATCCCTACCGAGTTATATCCCCACCAAGCTACATATGTCACAAGTCACAATGAGTTTCCAGAATGCCGGGTGGTGGTTGCTGAAGACCTTGAGTTTGGCGTTGAGGTAAAAAGTAGAGATAGACGAAGCCGCCAAACGCGAGGCGGTAGTGTAGCCAATAGGCGGGAAACGTCGAAGCTCTCAGCACCAAGCAAGCACTAACCGGGAACCAGTTGACCGGGCAGCTCATCAATCGGCCATCGTTTGTCGATGCAGCCTTTGTGGTCGTTTTCGTTGTCGTCGTTGTCTGGAAGTTGTCGCTTGGCCTTGACCGGAGAGCTGAGCTGACCAGTGTCACAGTCGTGACCGCCGTCAACGTGTGGGTAATGACTGGTGGAAAGCCACTGACACAGCAACGCTGGTAAAGACTTGACGAGGAAGAGTTCCAGAGACAACTGGCAGACTAAATTGCATAGAGAAAAGCAGACAGAGGGTCTTAACCTCAAGGCGGGATGTTTGTTCGCGCCCGTGCGGGTGTCGTAGACAACACTGACAATACTAGTAAGTAAGGTCATCGGGAATTATAATGGGGTATCTCATCAACCTCGTACAAGACTTTCAAACAGGAACTGTGTATCATCCTAGAAGGACAGGATGTGCTATGATGGGAAGAAGAACAAGATGTGCTACGACGGGAACTTTCTTTGGGCTCGACTTGCGATGAGCGTACCGCTGCTGCGGTGCCTGTTTTGTGCCTGTCAGTGGAGGAAGTCGATGGACTGACTTGGGAGCTCGGAGGGGATGGCGAGCAAGAAAGTGAATTCACCAGTCCCAATTCTTTACGTGGGAATCTATTGTACCAGACCGTAAGTGAATGGGAATTCGAAGAACTGGATATGTGATTAATGACACAAAGGTCTTTTTCTTTCTCTCTTTTTTGGTAGGGGGTTAGGGCGGGACCTATATAGGATACGACCAAGATTCCACTTTGCTCAGGACATGAGTCAATGACGCCCTTTTCTTTTCGATCGTACCATACCACTCGCTGCATTTCGGTGCATTCAAAGTGTATCCGTGACATGGCCATGTCTGTCCACTTGTCCCTGACCTATTACTACCATCACTCTTTTCGTGGGCATCAAAGAAGTGAGTACTGATATTCATTTCCTTCCCACGACTGTAGGCCCAACTGCGATTGCCAAAGCGACCGGTGCAACATAGATGGAAATAGCGGGTCAAGACGAAGAAGTGGTAGACTCGCTTCGAAACCCGGACATGATATCGGTGGGGGAAGAACGTGGTGGTCAAGCCAGAGACGCCGTGTTTTGCCCGATGGTGCCGGGAGAACTGCCTCCAAGGGGTCTGCATGTGTGTGAGCAATTGCGTACGCGACGAGGCCACTGAAAAGCACCGGCAATGATAGCGGCAGAAAAGAACACGGCAAATACCTCTCTAATCGCAAAATCAGTGTCAAACACGAGAAAGACGAACCCATGTTGACCGCAGTAGCTGGGAGCTCAAGCTCCGACTCCGGCTCAACAAGAAGACGATGGCAGGAGACACAGGGTGGGAGTGGTCCCTCGACGCAGAACGTTACCTTCCTGCTTTCCATGGCGCCGAAGCTGGTCTCCTGACGAACTCGGACTTTGGTGCCAACGTCAGCATTTTTACCTCGCAGCTGCGTTGGATATGACACAGACTACAGACATCAGGATACACTGCCTGAAGGGACGACTCCTACTTTCTCGAACCGAGAATCCAATTTTGCAGAAGGACTTCGCTGCATCCGATTTACAGGGGAGGCATGTTCGTTCCAACTAGCTCCCCACTGGAGCCTGTGCCTAGCGAGACCACTTATAGGTAAGCGTAAAGTATCCCAATGCTTGTTCGTAGCTTCTACTTTCTACGGTGAACGGACGTATCCTTTATCATTAGTAGCGGATATGTAGAGTCCGCTTCTCTAAATCAAGCATAATCCCTCTTCATACTCAGCTTCTACACCGCTTACTTACCATCGAGGACTCCGATCGCCATGTATCCAACATCTTCCTCGGGACGAACATCCCCAAGTCGAACCATCAAACCACCCAGCCGCTTCGACTGGTCCGCGGCGGCATCCTCCATAGACGATACGTGAGAAACACCGGCAACTTTCTTACCGCGAACATCAACGCCCTCCAGGGGGCCAAAATGAAGAGTGGTGCATAACTCCCTTGAATTTTCCATGCTGAGATAGTCCGGGATATACCTCTTGGCTGCAAGCCCGGCGCCGGTCAAGTCTACCTCTCTACCTCTCTAGACTCGAGAAATAGAAAGAGACATATCCCCAATTCCGATGATTGTCCTCCTCAGGTTGTGTTTGCCGAAAGCAATATGAATGTTTCATCGGTTGACCATCCCTTCTGGACAACGAAAGATTTGGAACACATCGTGTTACATCAAATGGCAGCATTGCTCAGCAGCTGGGGGTTATATCGAGAAGACTACTTCCAGCGTCGATATCAATCCAAAACCGACCGCAGCTGCAGCGCTTCTGAGGTTCTTGGTCAGAGCAATATTGCATCTTGGAAGAGTGGCCGTATCCGCCTAGCATTTTGCGGTACATCACGGAGGCTAGCATCAGAACAAGGCGTCACTCATCAATCACGAATCGCTGGAAAGGCTCTCTCATAATGTGCCTTCCTTTCGCACCTTTTGTTGGCAATGACGCGTGTTCCAGTTTTCTTTGCAAGTTTCTCGTCCCATTCCCAAGGCGCCTCTGGGTGACTCTGGGCGTCTACCTCGTCGAGCGGCCCGAAGAACCTCACGCCACTCATGTCAATGGACGGAAAGTTGTCCAGATCTTTATCACCAACTACCCTTGAGACGATTCCCGGCCAGGTGGGCAAGTGAGTCCACTTCGACGCCCGCCTTTGCCGAGTTCACATTCAATAGCGACCAATATATACGCCAACATCAGCTACGTCGTTTTGTCGGCCCACCCATCGCCTTGACCTTCCCATCACCTCCCATCGCCACCCATCGCCTTTCATCGCCTTTCATCGCCTTTCATCGCCTTGACCCTCACAACCTCTCCTCCCCCTTTCCCCCCAACCTGAATCATCACCGACCAGACAGCCAACATCAGCCGCGCGCCAACTGCTTACTTGGACATCCACATACATGACTTTGTACGAGGTTTCCGAGGCACACAAAGAAACAGCAGCGACCAAGTTGAGAAGACGGTCCCGTATTGTTTTTCAAGCTGGCCTCGAACATACATACCGGTCGTTCTTGTACAGCAAATAATCCTAACAGGTCCGCAGTCATGGGATCATAGACAATTTCGGCGTGGGGCGTCGAAGCTCCTGTGCCGTTTCTAGACAACGCAATTCCTTCAAGTTGCCATCAAAAAAACGCCTGGCGTCGTCCAAAACATGGTTTGATTGGCCAGCGGGGGGAAGGTCGTCTGCGAGGCAGCTGGAAAACCTTTTCCTTCTGTGTGATGCACAATCCCGTCTGAGCATACCCTTCGCGGGCTCTTATAGCTGGTCTTTTTGTTCTGTATTGATATTCTCATCTCATTGAGTAAAGGAGCGTCCCGAATGTATGTGGCAGGCCTCCAGATTGACATTTTCCGACGGCAATTCTTTCATCATAGAGGCGGTCTCTCAATATCGAAAAGTTGTCTCTGGAGTGCAGTCTCTCTCGAGTGGCTCCCATACGATTTTGATTGTTCCTCTTCGCTCTTTTGTGCAGCCTCGAGATTGTTATCAATCAGCGACTTCTTCTGGGTTCGCGAGATCCAATCTCCCGCCGTCGTAAAGTTTGGTCTTGGCCCAAGTGAAGCAGCTAGCCGGGTCAACAGGGACAGCTTTAGAGGTCTACACAATCTTCGCTAGCCACATACCTGTTCCTCTCATTCGTGTCGGTGATGACACGTTTTCAATTTCTCCAGGCCAACAACGCGAGACGATCGGACAAGACTAAATCTTCTCCTTCGGACCGCCGTCGCCAGCCAGGAGTGCCTCGAACACGCGCCCAACAAATTGAACGCTTCAAATGCTGGGCCAAGAGGAGGACTGTATCGAAGACAGATCAAGTCCCTTGACCAAGTTATGCACCCAGCGCAAATGAGGCCAAAGCCTGGCAGATTCGACCAGCAGACGATTCTCCTCTATTCACCACCACTACGACGTCGATGGTGAGCACACTCGGACCTCCATCGAAAGCATGATGACACTTTTATCAACAAGCGCCCAACGGCAGGAAGTCGTCCCTCACACAGACCACGTCTCCCTCGTCGACGACATTGACGTGTCGAGTTTCCATTTGACGGTAGCGCCTTAGAAATTGTAGGCGGACCGAGCAAAAGGCGCGGAAGAGAGTGTTGACGAAGAAGACCCTCTGCTCTTTGCAAGGATGACAGCTGGACAAAACTCTCCACGATCGATTCGACCACACTGAGCACCCTCTCAACTACCACCACCACGCCTTTTACTTCGTGAACAGGAAGCTCGACAGCTTCTACCTCGGCTGTGGGGGACATCTACTACAACAACAGCGTCGGCGACTGATGATTTGGGCGATACATCGAGCAAAATTCGAGCAGTGGAATACTCATCAGTGACCAAAATTAACCACAATCAGCACAATAGAGCCCACGCAAAGGCTGGATCCAGGCCGATATCCTAGACAAGAAGACCTCAGGGCGAACATGGGAAACTTGCAAGGTCCAGTCAGTATGGGTTGATATATCGCAAGCACAAGCCCGTCTACTGGTCCCCCTAGTTTACGAACCTCGTCTCCAACCAGGAAATATCAGCCTGTTCTTTCTCATGGTGCCATCTTGCATGCACGCCGTACATCGCCGCGGCGGACCATCGAGTGGGACATCATCGACGACTTCAAGAACGCCCTTGACGAAGGGGGAGCGAGGCATCGACCGTCGAAGGTATATGCAGCATACCGACCTAGAATCATCGGTGCCCAGGAATCCGCGAGATCAATACCCCTTCTGGGTCAGGAAGTGGGTTTGCTGTCCTGGGGGTTGAAAAGCGACAGAATGGTCATGATTGGCGAGTACATGACCTCTTTCGAGCGTTTCCCACAAACTGTTTTGGGCCTCCTCTCCTCGGCAACCAAACTCCCACTGCCAGCTCATGGTGGCAGCTGTAATGGGTTGAACCCAGGAATGGGCCTGGTTCTGGCGAACCAGCGCCAAGACTAACGCCAGGACTAACGCCACCACCGAGACACGCACGGTAGCAACTGAGACACCGTACGCAAGGAAAGGCAAGGGAGAGAGACAAAGTGTAAGAGGAATGTAGGGCGTGTACGAAAGAGGAAGGACAAGGGAGAAAGGGGAAGACAATGGATATCCCTTACAGGGGAGCGTACGATATAAGGAGAGAGAGAGACAGGGTGTTTTTCCTTCTTCCTCTCTCCTCAGATTTATCCTCCTTATTACTAGGTTGGCTAGCTAGTTGCAGAACTCTTTCTAAACCCTCACAGCAGCCAACAACGGACTGATCGGTATGTTTCGACGAAGGAGCACGTCAAACAAAATGCGTCTTCCCGACTCCTCGAAGTTTGCAAAATCCGAACCGGCGACGGATTGCGGCGGTGTTTTTTTGGGGTGAGTTTGCCCCAAGCGAAAGAAAAGCGCTGTGACGCCAAGGAAGAAGATAAAATCCTACATATCCGGTATATTCCCTTGTACGACGACGACGAGGTGGCGTTTGCAGGGCTCCCCAGACACGGTGCAGGTATAGGATGGATGGCTGAGGCCGTGAAAGGCCTTGTCAGATCATGTCACGATACGACGTGGCGCAGGGCCTCCTCGTCCTGCTCGTCGATCTACTCATCGATCTGCGGGAAAACGATCAATCTCTCTGTCAACAATCCACGAGTAATCAAGAGTCGACAGAAGAGTCTGCTCTCTTGCCTACTGAAAGCTAAAATCAACACATATAGTCGAAACTAAAATGAAAAAAAAGGCGACAACGCGAGCCAACTCTTGATCAACAGATACATTCATCGAATGAGGACGAAGAGTCACCGCGATGATGTGACTACCAATCAATCCCTTCGGACTTTCTGCCTGTTATTTTGCGCGGAGGCAGGATTATATCCTCCCACTGGCCCAAGCAGCCCGCTTCTGCCTCGTATGGCGAACAATGGCGAGAAGCGAACCTCCACCATGACATTGTCCGATGCCATGTCTCTGTCCATGTGTCAATCAGAGCAAGCCCTCGGAAACAGACTCAGCAATTGGGGGTGATGACAGAGTTGTGCTTGGGAGAGGAGTGGTATGAAGCGCTTGAGCATGCCCCAGATCGCGTGCACACCCGTCGCGTTCTCCAGCTCGAAAAGCATAGATCCTGGTGCTTCTCAGGTACCTGATCTCTCTCTTTTGATTCCGTAGCATTCGCACGATGAAAGATGGGGAGGTAACACAACTTTTTCAAACATGCCTGCAGGTATCCCTTGCCGTGACGGAGGCGTCCCCGAGGATCGATCATTCGCGATTTCGAACGAAGAATCTGTAGTAGTCGACACAAAAGCGCTGCAGGCTCGGAAAGCAGGGTCAATTCGGAATCCACGACTTACCGGCAGGCTTTCATTATATCAGCCCACAGCTTGTCCATCTTGATTTAGTGGACCACCTTGGCTCTCTCATTTCAAATTCTTTGGCGAGCTCAGCACAAACAAACGTGCTATATCTGAGGTGGTTATCCCGAGAAGCCTTGGGAAATACGTCAAGTGAGAATCAGAGCTCGATCAATATCAAAAATGACAACGACTCAAATCCGGCTTGTGCGACATCATAACGAACGCCACGTAAACAAAGGCAAGCTCAAACGCCGCGTTCGCGTGTCTACAACACAGGCAAAAACTAAAGGCCTCTCAAAAAGAAGAAGCACCGCGCCGGACACGGGTCGCAAATGCAGCGAATTCGACAGATGCGCTCAGCTGTGCATTCGGCGAGAATGATGCGGTTCTCGGCATCGGCTATCGGCCCATGTACAGAGCCACGACAACTTTATGGCGGAGGATGTAAGAACAAGAAGAGGGTTGGGGCTCCGAAGGGGGCTTTCGAGTTCGAGATATGCTGATCCACTGGCTGAAGGGAGGGAGGGGGGAACAAAATTCAAAGTGCGTAACTCGCTTGGTACGAAAAGCGCGTCTTCTTTTCAACTGGGCTGGAGCCCAGCGCCAAGTCCAGGGACACTGGGTCACTGGGTAATCAACTGGGCAACACTGGGTTCCAGGCAGGTCATAGGCAGGTCCGAACTCTGCCGGTGCCAGCCGGCCTAGTTGAATGGGTAGATGGGGGAGGGGTGGAGGACTGGGATCTTACGCAAATCCAATTTCTTCTGCTGTTGATGGGGGTTCAAGGTGTACGGGATCGATGCCAACGAGAGCCGCATCCAGCAATGGGTATTTCCTTGCCAGGGGAGGAAGAAGATGGCCCGTCCGTCGGAGAATCCCCAAAGCGACATTGGGTTCGCGGCGGTCCGCGCATTCCGGGTCACGCCGCCGACTTCGCAGAATGGCAATTCACCTCCCAGGTTCGCCACGAACAGCTCATCCATCTGTCCCGACGGACAGCTTAGTGCTCGTGGGCACGGGCAGACGAATGCTGGGCGTGGCGGGACTGGACCCAGCCGACGCGCACAACTTGACGGTGAGTTTCGGCCCCGACCAGCGCCGCGAAGTACGTGTCGGTGAGCTTCCGGGAGAGCAGGTGTCCGGGGTAGGGAAGGTAGTCGGAGCGATGATTTGGTGGAGTTCTGGCGGCAGAGAAGCGAGACGCAATTGTCCCGGCGACCGAGCTCACCATGATTCATCAACAACTTCGCTAGAAGCATCTTCATTCAACCCGCAGTCGCAGTTTCGCTCCAGAACTCTCGCAGACATGGCTTTCCGATCCGCTTTCGACTCCAAAGACATGGTACGTGTTCTCCTCTGTTGGTCGCGTCGAGTTACGCAGGTTGGATCCGTATGCATTGGAGATGCCTCGCCGCCGCTACCTTTCACCGATACCTCTCTCCGATACCTCTCTTCGATACCTCTCTTCGACACCTTTCACCGATACCTTTCACCGATACCTCTCTTCGATACCTCGCCATCGCTACCTCGCAAAGAGAGGTTTTGGGATCAATTTGCGACACTATTCGAGGTTGTTGACGATGGATTGGAGGGTGTGCTTGATGTTTACACTCCGGGAGTTGAGGTCGCCCAGATCTTCTTGCTGTCCCTTTTGCTTGGTTTAAATCCTTTTGCTTCTCCGCTCGAGGATTCGACGCCGCAGATGGCGCACACCAAAGTCCCTGGTCGACCGACTGACTGCCAGTTTCTACTTACCACACTATGAGCACGACCTCTTCTACCACTACTTCGCGTGCCGATCGTTCTCATACCCATCCTGGTCGAAGGGCTACAAGCACAAGCTCAGCCAGCACCTTACCCTCGGCTTGTTATGTGTCAAAGAGATGGGCTTGCCAGAGGTGGCAACAAAGTTCGCCGAGGACCTTCACATCACTTGTCTGGCATACGACCATCGAGGGTTTGATTCTTCGGATACTGGCTCTGGCCAACCCAGACAAGAGGTCATAACCTGACTGCAGAGCAACGACATGCGCGACGCCATCACATACGCGCAGACCAGGGAGGAGGTCGACAGGTCTAAGATTGCCCTGTGGAGGTATTCCCTCTCTACCGCTGAGGCCGTGTATGTGGCGGCCACCGATCGACGGGTCAAGGCTGTGCTCGCACTAGGGCCGGGCATGGACGGCACCCAGGTCGTGAGAAGGCTGGCACCACCTCACGCCACATTGGCTATCCAGGGTTTGCTCTGTTGGTTGCGTCGAGTTGGGGAGGTCAATTGACTTACATCCGGGAAATCTCCCGGTTTCAGACGAGAATAAGAGTTATCGGGGCAAAGGTTCACGAGTTGAACGGGCGCGGCGTTTAGGCGAAAGATGTCTGTGCCGGGACGGTGAGTAGAGACGTGACAACCGAATGAGACGGTAAACGAGATGGAAAAAATCAAGGCTCTTTACATTCTTTTTCACATTTTCTTTTGTCTGACGACCTACCCACCTGAATTTTATAGCTACAAATATGCCAACAGCGGGGGTGTGCTCCTTGGCTCGACGACAGTGAAGATCCTCGACGTAGTTATAGGTGAAGAGCGAGGGCTAAACGAGATAGGCGAGATTCTTTGCTAGTAGTCCCCAGATTGTAATAGGGTATCTTATAAACCCAAAGAAAACAGCCGAGACGTTTAGAGTAGACGGCTTCCTACGTACCGTTGATATTAGTAGTATCGATGATGAAAAGGCTTTATCTATATTGTTTGTCGAATCAAGGAGATGATCAAGGTCAAAGGTTAACAGGCAGCCCTAGCGGAGCTGGAAAGTCTCCCTGCTGGGACACACTGCCGTGGATGATTGTACCGTACTGGGGATACCTAACGAATATAGTGCCAAACGACCAAATTCATTTTTAGAAATGTACGATGTGTGTCAAAGCCTGTGGCGCAGATGATCACGTCAACTTCCCCCTCTCTCTTGGCTGTCTGGATCGATGATGCCCCTTTTCCGTGATCTTTTGCAGCTGCGATGCAAACGCCGTGGTTTTTTTTTCTCGCCCGTCAGGGCTTCCAGGAGTCGGGCGACGGCACCCAACGAAGAAGAACTCGGTCGGCATGATCTTCCGAACCACGTTCAGGTCGCAAAATCATATGTCTTTGAACAGGAGTTCCAAAAGTGCCTTAAGGAGAACGGCGCGCAGCCAGGCCAGAGAAGACAATCCAAGGCTGGCTGGATGGAGTGCAGTGGATTGATCGATAATGTGAGGAGGACTGATTCTCGAATTCGGCTCGTGGCTGGTCCAGGATCTCATTCAAGCGGTGATTCGGTTGGGCTGGCCAGGAGGAGGCGCAGGCCCCCAAATTGGGGTTGCCGCGGTGTGTCGTCGAGTTAAAACATGTTGGACGCACAATCAAGGAAGCCGTGCCCGCACTCTTTGTAGCGTTGATCTCGCGGAGGAGGATGGCTTGGTAGGAGTCCGAGATGGAAGTCTCCCTGTAAAGAACGATAAGGTATTGAGTCAAGGCCGCAGTTGAGGATGCTTGGGGATCAAGTCAGCGATGATAAGCGCGCAGGGAGGTGAATGTCGGCAAAGCAAAGACATGAATTTTTCCATTGTGAGTCCCCACGATCATTTGATCGATGTGTGTACCAGATCGATAGATGTAGACATGAAGACAGGCTTGGCGATGGATATGAAGATGGAGACACAGATATCATCTTCATGTATAATTGGAGAGAGTCTATTAGCTAAAGAGGCTTTGGTGAGTGACAAGAGACAGCTTGGAGCTGGGCGTGGGTGGTGTGCATCAGGATGCTCTGGGGCGTATTGTCTGAGCTTGACAGGAAAGGCATCTTCTTGGAGTCCTTGGAGAGCGACTCTTTGTTCTGAAGCGTAGATCTTCGCCAGTAAAGACTTGCTGAGAAGGAAAGATGAGAGAGTCAGATTTACGCCGGACATGGTCGGCGTAGCTCGATCATCATCTCGAACGAGACTCCTTTCTACGAAAAAGGCCGCGATCAACAGGATCATGGAGGTGGAATCGTCTACGACCCGGCCAGCACGGACTCCCAGCGTATCACGGCCTCCATCATGATGGTGGTCAGATCCTCGGTCCCGCCCGAGAGGCTATGCGGGGCCTTCCACGCGATGTCGCCCACCCTAGCCTTCGTGCACGCGAGGGAGTGGCCGTACACGTGTCAAAACGAGTACCCCTGTCACCGAACAGCCAAGCACACCGCCCATATGACAGCCCCTTACCATTTAAGCACCGCCTGCTCACCGCCTCAGGGAAGCCCCTCCTTCCTTCCTTCATGCTTTCAGTCTTGGTTGAAATATACTCTCAAGGAATACCTCTGACTACCTGTTTCCCATCGCCACCCTCTCTCTGCCTATTTACTTAGGCCGCCCCTCACAACACCATATCAAGTAAGTCAGCCAAATAACTTCCACCACCTTCCACCATCTTCCACCACCACAACCAACATCCGTCCCGCCACCGCAGCCACCATCGCTCCTGACGAACTATCCCGCCTACACACCACCACGACTACCATTCCTCCCGATGAGCAATCCCACCGCCGGCGAAACCCCGTCGAACATGACCGACCACACAGCGGTCCAGCAGGGAGCGATCACCCAGAATGAAGTGAGCCAGGAGGGAGTGATCACCGAGGATGAAGTGAACGAGCAGGAAGCGATCATCGATATTGAAGTGAACGAGGAGGGAGTGATCATCGAGACTGAAGTGAACGAGCAGGGAGTGATCACCCGGAATGAAGTGAACGAGCAGGAAGCGATCATCAATATTGAAGTGAACGAGGGAGTGATCACCCAGAATGAAGTGAACGAGCAGGGAGTCACGCAGGTTGCTGGTGACCAGACAGCCCAAGAAGCACCATTGGAGTCGGTGGATGACAACTTTGCAGCCTACAGTAATGCGATTGGCGAAATCAATTCGCACATTCTGTCCAAGGAGCTGGTAGCTGCACGCGAAAAGCTGTTGACATTCACGGACCGGTTGATCAACTACACTGATGTTGGTGCGTCGGCGGACATTTCCTTTCTCGCCCTCCTCTTCTTCTGTTTTGGCTGGCAACTAATCGTGTTTCCACGTCACAGGAACTGAGCGGGCGGTAGACACCATGGATCGGGAAGCCCAGGGAATGTCGAAGAAGGCCGAGCGGGCGGTAGACACCATGGATCGGGAAGCCCAGGGAATGTCGAAGAAGGCCGAGTATCTGTGGAGCCAACTCAACTACTCCTGGCTGACCCTTCTCAATGGTCAAAACGATCTGATGAGTGACGCTATGGCCTGCATGCTAATCGGGCTGTGGACAGGCCGAGAGCTATTCTCGCCACAACATCACGCTGTTACCAAGAAGGTGTCGGAGGCGTTGGGTCGGAAACTGGTCAGCCTTGGCCCAAGGGTGTCGAGCGAAGGCGTCTCGCCGCCCTCGCCCCTAGCCATACTTCTTTTCGGATCCGAGACCTCGACGCACCCTCTGCAACGCCGGTGCAGACTGTTGGGGGAGACTCTGCTCGCTCTTTCTGGCCCATCGATGGGGGGAAAAGTCGACGAGACGATGGCGAAAGAGACGGCGCAGGTGCTAGAGACTCTCTTCGATAGGGCGGAATCAAAGTTCATGGGGTCGGAGGGTCTCAAGATCTTTGATCTGGGAATGGACGGTGTGAAAGAGCTCCACAGTGAGTTCGTCTGGCTCAACGATCTGGCGCGTGGGTTCAGGCAGTATTTCTCTCCCCCCCGTCCGGACGTCAGGGCCGAGAATATACTTTCTGTCGAGAATCTGGAGGAGATGGTGAGCATTGTCCTCAAACACAGCGACAAGTGGGAGCCAAAATCACAGGTCAATCACGAAAGGAGTATATGGGAGAGAGACATCATTGAGCGTGAGTTTGCTCTCTTGCCCCCCTGCTTATTCTAGACACACACCAACTAATCTGCGACCCAGAGATCGAGAAATGCGTGGCTCATCCCTACCATGAAATGGTTGGCCAGTCTCCAATGGAAAGTACAAGCACCGCCGCACAATAGACTGCGCCCGGCCGTCGGCTTTGCGGCTTCTCGGGGGTGGGACATGGGCGCGGGAGCTTTCCGAAGACATTATTGGTCGTGAGTGCTGCTCTCTGCCTGTGCTGGTCCGGAGACACACCAACTAATTTGCTGCTCAGTTGTCATGAAATGCGTGGATTATCAATACTATGAAATGGTTGGCCGGTCTACAGAGAAAAAGCACAAGCAACGCCGCACAGTAGACTGCGCCTGGGTTATCGGCTCTCCGGCCATGGTCATCCTCTCTTTTGTCCTCAGGCCCTTAGAATGGCTGGTGCAATGTCCCCCAAATCCCCTCTAAATGAGCAGTCTGTCCATCTTTGCCTCCGTCAAATTTCAATTTGCATCCTCAAACTTTCACTTTGTCTTCTCAAACTTTCAATTTGCCTTTTGCCTCCTCAACCTTTCATTCTGAACCTACGGGCACCACTGTCAGTGAGACATCTTGTATCAGACCCATGAGAACGATGGCTGCGGCAACCAGTGCCTTGACCTTGTCCTCCGGGATGTTTGATGACGGGAACTCACCTTACTGTTGCGGCCCCGGGTAGTATTGGTGATGACCATAGTACTGATACTGATCAGAGTATTGGGTTTGATCATAGTACTGCTGCTGTTGATAGTTGAATGGCGAACCCCACTGACCCTGTGGATTCGACACCCACTGATGGTATGGTGACTGCCCGGCGACTCCGTTGTTCATCGGGTAGTTGGGGTAGGGAGCCGCATTGTGGGAGGAGAGTCCTCCAGACGACATCGACTGCTGCTCCAGGGGAGCCACGCGACTCGGCGTTGGTGTGGGCGAACCCCTCGTAGCAGCGTTGGTTGGGCTGGAGTTGGATGGGACAACGTCGGAAGTAAGAACCTCATCCCCAGTCGTGCTGCTACCATACTGAGTGCTGGTAGACGCATTGGTGGGAACTGTCGTTGGGAGACTGGCCTCGGTGAAGGTCGACGAATTGCGTTGTTGTGTGTTGATGGCCGGGTACAGGTCGAATGTGGCGTGTGGCACCTGCTGTGTCGAGAATCCGTCGTTGCCCTCCCCGAGGGTAGCAGACACGGGCGTGTTGAGCTGAATATGGTGTTCCATCTGGCTCTTCATCTCCGCCATCTGTGTCTTGTGGCTTTCCTCCTGTGTCGCCATCTGAGCCATCATGTGGTTAACACCCTTGCTCAACCTGTCGATCCGGCTCTTATTATTCACCTCGGCGTTGATGGTGCCCCTCAAGCTTTCCACCTGTGACAACACCTCGGCCTTCACCTCTGCCTTCATCAGGGACGTGGTGGATTCGAGCACACTCCGCAGTTGGCCAGCGTACTGATTCTTCCAGCTCTCAAACTGTTTCTGAACTCCGTTCATGACCTCGACCTCCCTGGCCTTGACTGACACGATGAGGCGATTGAGCTCTTGTGTCACCTCGGCGAATCTTTTGGATCTTTCTTTCTCAACGCACTCATTGATCGCCGTGATCTCTTCATGTTTCCATTTCTCGAGGTCCAAGTTATGCTGCACCCGCTTCGTGTCAAATTCGGTCATCAACTGCGCCTCCTTGGAAGACATCAAGTTCTTGAGGTCGAGCTCCCTCTGCTCCCGCTTGAGGGAGAACTCCTTGTCGAGATCGGCCTCCTTCTTCTTCCTCGAGGCAAGAAGTTCTTTCTCGTCTTGGAGCGTCGCCTTCCTCTGCTGCTCCTCCATATGGTCAGACAACTGTTGCATACGTTTGCTCCGTTCGGCTTGCAACTCTGTCTTGAAATTAGCCTCCCACCTGGCTCTGACGGCGGGCTTTTGTGTCTCGAGATCCTCGACGATCCGTGCCGAATGGTTGACTCTGTGCTCAATGAGGTCGGCGTTGATCGCCTTGAATGCGTCGGCCTTGTACTTGTCGACCTCGACAAGGGCTTCTTTCATGGCCTCTTCTTTGGTTTTTCTCACTGTGCTGAGATACCTTCGGTCCATCAACACATCCTCATCCGCATCTTCGTTGAGTTTGTTCAACTCGGTCTGCATGTCCTCGACCTTTTTCAGGAGCGCCAGCTCTCGTTCGGCCAGCCGCTTCGCCCTCTCGTACTGCTTCCCGGTGTTGCTCTCCCCCTCGTCGGTGCGGGCATCTTCGAAGCTGCAGGGCAGACCCTTTTCTTGGCAGGTCTGGCACGTTTCTCCAGGTGTCTCACCCTTGGCTTGTTTGCCGCCACCACACGTGTCCGCTGTGCTCTGCCCCATGTCTTTAGCCACCTCATTGTACGCCTTGCAGTGCAGGCACAGGCCATTTTTTCCGTTCAGGATGCCGGTCGGGTTTTCGGCGGAGGCGTCGGGCTGCACCCCGGGGCTCACGGTTGCGGAGTCCATGGTCTTGCGGCGCGTGAGGCGTGCCCGTTTTGGTGTGTCTTTTTCGTTACCGGAAGCTGAGCGCTTCGCAGTCTTCCTCGGAGTAGAAGTTCTCGCGGCCTTTGTTGCAGCAACCTTGGTTGGTGCAGGCGGTGTTGACGAAGGCATGGTCGACACAGGCATTGTTGACACAGCCTTTGTTGCTGCAGCCTGGGTTGGTACAGGCGTGGTTGACTTTGGCATTGCTGACGCAGGCATTGCTGACACAGGCGGTGTTGACGCAGGTGGTGCTGACACAGGCGGTGTTGACGCAGGCATGGTTGATTCAACTGCTGAGGATGCACGGTCAGTACAGCCCATGCAGTGCTTCGAGGAGCCAGAGGGTCACGGAAATGGGGATGGCCTACTGATACTCGACTGGCGAGTCTGGGCCGTGTTTTGCTGGGCAGGTTGGACAACAATGTCAGTAAGGCTGGTCAAGGAGGCTTTCGAGAGGCTCGGAGAAGGATGGAACCTTACTTTTGGGTTGGCCGGCTGTGGGCTGGGATGTTTCGTCCGTCTTGGCACCCATTGTATCTGGTAGGCGCCACCGCACTTGATGACCCGCTAATTCTAGTATCATTAGAATAGACCGCAAGAAATCTCTGGGAGTAAGATCACATACTCGAAGCAGGAGTCTCAGGAATCGCTTCTAACCCGCCGGGCTTGAGGGAAAAGCAACGGAAATGGTTCTGATCTGTGAGCTGCTGCCTCCTCGTGTCGGCGGCAGCGGTAGGTTTGAGTTCACGCAGGCGGTCGACAAACACTGTGTCCATGGAAACGTGGCAGTGAAAACGTGGCAATGATAGAAGGGGGAAGAAGCTCGCGATAAAGGGGAAGAGGATTACGAGTCGGTCCCCGGGAGATTACATGCTAAATAACCCTTCCTTCCATGAGCGGCTTTCACATGCTTCAACGCATTCTGGTTTGGGACTGGTGGTGTCGTGTGTCAACTATCCCTTCGCAAGGGGAACGTACCTGTCACACCTAGCAAGCCAACATGGGAATGAGGGCTCATGGGGATGGGAAAAGTGGTGGTGTTGACGGGAAGGCTGGTGTGTCCACTCTAAAGGTGAACCACAGACCAGCCACAGGATGCAGCCATGTGCCTCGCGTAACCTTGAGAGCCATCAAGGAGGTTTGGGAGTCAGCAAGGGGTATCGAGAATGATTGGGTGGACTTCAGCCAATGACCGCATCAGTGTGGAGCGAAAGACCCACAGTCACTGCGACTGACCAAGGGTCCCTTCTTCTAATTGGTTGGTGCCCCTCTCTTAACAGACCGCTGCCTCAACCACATTCCCCAATGGCCAATCCCTGGATCTGATCTCATTCCCCTTGCTCCCCCTTTCCCAACTTTTTCGCGAACTACCAACTTTCGAGGCTGCACAGAGCCCCTTGCGAGCTTGGCACAAATACCGTCCATCACGAGGTGGTACAGAGCAGCTGTCAGTGCTGCAGCTGTCAGTGAGCCAAATGGCGGTGAGCGAAATGGCGGTGAGTCAACTCTCAGTGACCTTGCCTTTTTTTTTTTTTTTGAGCAGCGTATTGCTGTGGTGCGAAGTCGCTTCAGACAAATATTGAAAGGATCGGTCATGTTCACAATGCCTCATCTCGAGGTTTGGGGGCCGCGCAAAATACAGGTTCGCGGAAGATGAGCTCGACAATCTCCACCTCTGGCGTCATGGGTGCACCACCACTGACCGACCACACATGGAGCCCACATACTGCATGGTAAGCCCCTGCCATAGGCTGCATCAGGAAAACAAGATCATTGAAAAATGCAAATTAGTGGCGCCAGAAACGAGGGAGGCATCTGGTAAATCTGATGAATCTGGTGAGTCACACACCGCCCAGACATGCGGGCAGGGAGGCCAGGGACAGCGCTTCCTCGAACAAAAGGCAACAGGCCAAGGACTGCCTCGTCGCACGTGTCAAACGGTTTCCCATTGGACCACGCACCACGCTACAGGTGCCCCGCATGGGGGCATTGATGCCCAACTCTGGGGCGGATTGGAAGGGTAGGCAAGGCAACGGACACCTTCCCTGGCCAAAAGTTGGTCTTGCTAGTAGGGTTGGTCTCAATTGGCGGGCATTGGACTTGATCGGCGAGAAATGGTCTCGATGGGGCAAAAGCTGGTCAAAAGGCTGGGATCGAGACGCGCCCAGGAGCTCCAAGGGGGGAAGCGGATTGGGAAACATGAGGCTGGTTGTGTCGTATTGCAGCCGCTTGTCCTACCACACTGCCTGGTAGGTGTGGAAATTAAGGCAATGCATGTTGTGAAAGTTTTGCAAGTGTCAAACTACGCGAGTTGCCTCGCACAGCATGTCCAGGAGATGGGCGTGACCATCAGTCCCTAGACCAGGATGATCAGCCGGCTAGCCATCCCCAAAGTGTGGTGGTCACGGAAGGGCGGCGTCCAACCTCGCCGCAAGGGATGGGCCGGTCAGCTGTGGAGCCTCACCTAAAGCGACCCCCTCAGTCTCAATCGTGTCATCCTCGCCATCAAGCCGGGCACAACACTCTACCAGACCGGGGTCTCTTCTACAAATATCGCTTCGTGAGGCTGGAATCATGGAACAAAACGGACTTCAAGGCGTCTTCTTGCCCTTGCCTCGCACAGCCCGCTACTCTGAAGTTGGTGCCCCAGCTGCACTCAACAGAGCCCCATCGTTCGGAGGGAGGGCTGTCTGCCTCGATGGTTGCGGAGAGATAAATAGGTCTGGACAAGTCCTGTCAGCAGAACACAAAAGAGCATCCCATCTGTGCACCGGTACACCTGGCGAAGCAGACAACACCTCAAGTCCATCCCATCTGAAGACATCTATCCTCAGGCAGACCAGCTTCAAGACACTGCCCATCACCAATCATAATCTCTTTTCTCTCCACACTCTCATCCTCATGAATCCCCTGATGGACAGCCAGTACCGCAGGGACATGTGTTTCCCCTACGCCCGGTCCACCTATGGAAGTCCCGTGTCCACCACCATGGTGCCGAGACTGTCGTCTGACGGCGGGTTTCTGATCTTTCGGGAGCCATCTCCGAGACGAGGCACGGTGGCCCAGGCCGGGTTTGGCGGCGGCAACAATCCCATGCGTGTACCTGTCGTCACCCCGGATGGCATCGCCGCTCCAACGTCGTCGGGCAGTATGCCGCGAGCGCCATTGGATACAAACAGCGCCGACACCCCGAGGGATGGTGTGTCGCCTGGATTGAAGTCCCACCTCGACGACGCCTATGTCGTCGAGGATGGTCACACCGTGGATCCGCAGGAACTGCCCAGACCAACCACTCACGGTCTTCTTTTGAACAAGCTTGACTTGCCTGACACGCCGAATTTCTTGCCCTTCATACCTCGGGGTACCATGTCATACATGTCAAGTGGCGTCCAGGCCGAATTCAAACTTTGGGGGGGCCTCCCGATCGGCTTTTTCGTCGTGGATGGTAAATGGATGGCCTACCGGCTAAATTACTTCGCAGCCACCGGCACTGTCACCATCAGCCCTTGGTACCCCGAGCGCCACTTGGTTTTCACCTCCGACGACCGCCGTACCTCTGGCTATGTTGTTGGCTTTGGCCTGGGTGTCTCAGCTAAGCACGCCCAGAAAGAAGACGAAGCCGCGCCAAAGCTGCGTCAATTCACCTCAAAGCGCGTCAAGAATGAGACTTCTGACCCCGGTATCATTGATCTGAATCCCTGCAAAGTATCGGAAACACCTGAGGGCAAGGAGGTCCCCGACATCTGGGTCAATCGTACCGACGCCAAATGGGCCACCAAGGAGGGCGTCACGCAACACACCTACAATCGCTTACAGTTCACCAAGGCCACCCTAAACAGACAGACACAGAAGTTCTTCCAAGTGGAGATGATCCTGTACGCCAAGTTGGTCGATCAGCGAGGATACCCTGTCGAGTTCGGCACAACCTCGGACGGGTGGTCGGTCATCGGCAGCGTGTCGTCGACGAAGTTCATAGTGCGCGGCCGCAAAAAGGGCTACTACGTCAAGAAGGAGGAGGAAAGGAAGGCGGAAAGTGAGAAGGAAAGGTTGGCAATGCAAGAATACATGGAGGATTCCACTGAGTGAGTCAGAACCATGGTCATAGATGAATGTGGCGGCAGTGGGTGGTGTTTGCATCTCACGAGAGGTTGTTGCCTCCTAACCCGTGTGAGTTCCCCCTTCGTCCCTCGCTCCCCCTCTCTCGGGCATCCAATGGAGTCCTTCTCTCTCTGGGCATTCCGCTGATCACCTGCTCTGACCCAGACCGCCAGGTGGTCACCAAGGAAAGGTCTGCGCTGCACACTGCGGGGGGGCCGGTATGTCATGGGAGGCAATAGGCTCCTACGAGCAGTGAAATCACCCCCAAAGAGGCTGCGCTGTTGTGTCGATGTCGTGTTAGCCTCGAGGGCATCGTCCACGCGAGGGATGGGAGCGGGGACACGCATCATGTTCCTGTGTGTCCCGTCAGGCTCTGGGAGCGTGATTTTCGGTTATGGGAGGGCGAGCAGGAAGGAGGAGTTCAACTGGTCTGCTTGATCTACATGGTATGATGTCTTTGCTCATCCCGAAACGCTCCTTTTAGTTGGAACTACGATCACGAAGTATGCTACGCTACCACACAAAGTCTTCTCTGTGCTGCTGGGCTTGACTCTCGTTGACCAAATGGCAATCTCGCCGCTGCAATCTCGCCTGACCCTCCGAGAAGAGAATAAAAGTGGCAACCTAACCAGTCCTCCCAGGGCTATCGTGCTCACAGTGGTACAGGATTGATTGAGATGTTTCCCTCCAGGTGATGGGTGCGACGACATCCAGGTGATGGGTCCCCCGGGGAGGGGGGGGGGTGTGCACATGGAATCTTATTGTTCCGTTTTCGATATCACGTGTGGTTTACGGGTGGGTAGGTTAGCCGAATAACTTGGATCGCGGACAACAACAACAACAACGCCGCAGGTGCGCTAGAAAAGATAGATTTTCCTTGCCTCATCGATCAATCAATCGAGTTATTCCACTTACACCATGTTCGCATGCACGCCGGGCTCTATCATGGTACACTGTAGTCTGCATAGACGCCAGACTCAATCACCCGTCTGTACCTCTTCTTCTTTCCTGGGCCCTTCCTTTTTGTTCTCTTGTCCCCAACCTACCACTCAATGGCTCCACATACCGGTCGTCGGTCTCGGCGACGTTAATCCATTTGGACACTTACCAGTTCAGGCTGGAGCAGTAGTTGGTCGCCTTCTTCCACTCATTGCTGTCGACCTTTGGGGCCAGAGGACGTCCCTTGAGCGATCATACCAGCTCTAGCTCCTCCTTCGATAGACATGCCGCAGATGGACGTTCGAGCTTCCTTGCTCAGACCTCGAATGGCAGAGCCGTACAACTCGATGACGGCACCTGTACCGCCCAGCGGTGTCGATGACGCCAATTACATGCAGGATGATGGTCTTTGCTCCTGACTCCCGGTGCCAATTGACCGTCGACCTGTATCCGCATGTTCTTGCACTTCTTTATGATCAAGCCTTGATTGGGTGGCGAGGACGTGTTCGACCTCACTGTGATCCTGATCCAGCAACAAAGAACGAATGACTCTTTTGAGCGAGGATGAGGAGGAAGATGGGGGAGGGAGAACCACGAGAAGAAGGTGCGAAACTTGCACGACTCTAGATGGACATTTTGAAGTCCAGCGGGAAAAGGGGGGATACCAGGAGTTCGGAATGGCCGGTCTTACAGTACCATTCCACATTCTTCAGAACCGTCTCGGGCTCAGCAATCAACAAGATCACTCGGCAGAGTCGGTGGAGAAGATGTTCGTGGAACCGCCTCGTTGTTGGCCCAAGTGTTGCATAAACCCTGTTGGGAAGGTTAGCCGAATATTTTCCACCATATAATCAAGTTATTCCACTTACACCAAGAACAGATTGGTATCATCAGGGGGTGGCTCAAGGACCGCCTGCCCAATAACGGCGAGCGCCCTCTAGTGGAGGATCTAGAACTGCCACCAAAGCACTCCAGCTGCCCAACGATCCAGGGAGCCTCTCGAGAGGGCTCCAGCCGTAATGAACGATTCGGGAAGCCTCTCGAGAGAACTCCAGTTGCAAGGGCGCGAATTCCACTGGAGCATCCGGGAAGATTGGAGAGGGCACGCTCAAGAACAACAACAGTCTCCAGAAAAGGGCGGCAGCTGATCAATAAAGACCAAATTGAAGGGGAGCTGACTTGTTCTCGGTGTGATGAGCATCCGGGCAGCGGCTTCAGACGGACGAATGCTCTATGGCTCCCAATCCTGCTCGGTATGTCCTGCGCACATGGTATCTTGTTTACAGGGTCTTGATTCTAACAAATCTGCAGTGGTTCTGACTGCATGGGGGGAAGCTGGGATGGCACATCCTGTGACGCCTCCAGCGGCTGGGACTGCCTCGGACTGCCTCTGCTCCAACCAAACCGCCATCGCTCACTCAGTTGAACACTTGTGTTGCAATATCCTGCACGAACACTACCGATCAAGAGGGTCGGTTGCCTATCACCACAACAAAAGCCAGGAAATAAGTTCACCGAGCTCACCACTGAATATAGCCATCTATGGCGCCGTTATACAGCTTTAACATACAGATCCCAAGACAAAGCTGAGATACTACGACGGGGAGATCTTCGCGGTGGTGACGACTCAGTCGCAGGGCGCACCAGACCAATATTGATCTTGCGGCTAGAGGAGCGAATGTTGTTCTCAAGTGAAACAAACTGCTTGCCAGAAAAGAGACAGGAAACAGCTTCTGCTAAACATGTCAAGTGGGCATCTGGCTCAATGAAAAGGCGGAACCATCAGTTATATCTGTCATGCCATTCTAGTCAAGCCTATCCTACCCGCCGCTGCATATTCAACATCCGCCTTGAATCACGACGCAACACCACCACCACCATCAACACCGGCCCATCGTTCCTGAAACCTGAGACCCAGTCCCTTGGGAAGCAGTTTTCATCTTTTCCCCCGTGTCTGACGCGGCATATTGACCTCCTTATTCCCCGCTCCGTTCAACCACCTGTGCATGTACACCGAGTCGAACGTGATCGTCTGCCCGGCGTTGACCGGGTTGATGGTCATGAGGGCCGACACCGTCACCTTCAGGTTGCTGCACGCGATGGAGAACCCGGAGTAGAAGATGACGATCCGTCACGTACGTGGCTCGAAAACGAACCGCCGCAGGTACACCTACAGACCGGAATTCAACCACACGCACCTACCCAACCCGACCCATGTCAAAGTCTACCTACCACTCAACGGCTCCAGAGACCATGGCAACGATCGGCATCTGTGGGAAAGAGTTCAGGAGATGACCGATGATGGTTGTTGTCGCAGTCAAGTTCGAAGAAGTCGGCCGCCCTGCTGCCTCTCGGTCAAGCAGGGATAAATCGAAGCAAGGGTTGAAAGAGAGGTCCGGCTTTCTTTTGGACGAGGTGATATTGCCAGGCGTTGTCTAGTTGTAGACATCCTGCACTACTACTATACTGGTCGTCGGTCTCGGCGACGTTGATGCATTCGGCACTTGCCATCATTCACATTTCTCCGCGCAAAGAATACTGCGCAAGATGCGGATATCCAAGATCTCGCAAGAAACCGCACGAATATTTAGTGCCCTATCCCCGAATGCTCGCGTCGGTCGCACGACAAGGAGTTCCAAACGACCGGCTTCCTTTGCGCTTCGTATCATCGAATACCCAGTTCTCCCATACGGAAAAGTGAATTCAAGCCTCGTCCATCTTCGCCCAGGTCGCCATCCTCTTTGGACGGACGACGCCATGGTGTCTCGCCAACGGCAACAGCAACGCAGACGACGACGAAGGAGGCCGAGCGTTGGGAATCGCCACGACGATACCTCTCCTAGGCCCTGCTTTTGGCCCCATCATCGGAGGCATTCCCGTACAGGCCGCCGGATGGCGGTGGCTTTTCTGGACATCTGCCCTGCCAGAGATTGAACAACAATACCCGCTAGGGCGAAGCAGGACCATCGGCAACCGAAGGCAGGTCGGGTATTCCAGGCAGGCGAAGAGAAGGACGGTATGCGATCAGCGTCAAGAGACAGAGGCACCTGAAGAGGAAGAAGCATAAATACAAGAAGCTGCTTAACGCCATGGCCCACCAAATCCAAACTCGATAGCGCAGTTGCTTCCATGCATAAACAGGACAAACATACTCACCGCGAGGAGACTATCATACGCCCGAAGCGCCACTGCTGTCCGGAGAAGTTTCCTGGACTATCCTCCTCCGCATCCTCTCTCGTCGATTTCCTCCTATCGTCTACATTCCTGTGGAGCGATTTGCACTTCGAGGTTGAAAATCCTGGTTTGAACCAGTCTCGTATTGGACGTCATCCCCGGCGTGACGACTCTGCGGTGGCAGAACAAGAGCTACGAGATGGACCTATGAGACACTGGGAGTTGGCAGAAGCGTGAGTATCGCTGGTTCCACCCCCATGGCCGATACCCCTAGAGTGCTCTCGTCATTGGCTTGCACCTCTCTATACACTGTGTGAATGTTTTGTATCTGCGCTGACATTGGAACTTCTTGGTACTAGGTATGATCGAATCATTTAACGCTTTAAGCAACTGCATGGAGGGGCCTGCACAATCATGGTGCAACATACAAGTTCGAGTTTTGGTAAGCTCACCGAGTCCTTGGATTGAGCGACACACAATTTGACTGTTTCTTCAGCTTGTCCTCAATGAACAGTTCATCATTGCTGCTCACTGCTCACGACCCGGCCAATGGTCAGGCTGGCCAAAAGTACATCTCGTGCCGTGTTGATCCAAATGGTGGCGCCGAGTGAGGTTGCGGATGAGACACTCGTGAGTCCATCTGGCTGCGCGTCGCCCTTCTCCCCCTTTGCTAAAGGCCGAAAGCTAACACGCAAGTGCTTCACAGATGGCACCGTCGTGGATGTCTTGAGCCTCGCCACCTTGGACATGACTCACGCAGAGTGGTCCCGAACCAAACGCAGTAGCGACGACGACCGCCCAGGTACCAGACCAGCTGCAGACTACTGGGAACTACTCCAAAGAGCTTCGTGAAGTGGTGGTGGGCACATCCAAAGCCAGCTTCCTCAAGATGACACTCAAAAGAAAGATACTCAAAAGGAAGATACTCAAAAGATACTCAAAAGGAAGAAGGGGGTGAGCCCAGCTACAGACATACCCTTAGCCTCTGCGAAAAACCGCCACTGTTTCCTCCCTGTGTCTGCTCAAACTGGCGGTGCGGTGCCTAGAAGACGGCGAGAAGGAAAGAAGAGGGGGAAAACATACCAGAGAGTCAAGAGCAACGTTGCAGCGTCCAAAGAACGCCATCTTACATTCGGGTTTGATTGTCTTGACGGTGGCGGTTCCATTCTTGCAATAACCAATCTACGCCGTCTCCATAACGCGATTCCTGCCATCAAGGCCAGCAACGCCTCGCTCATCGCTACCAGGCTTGATTGAGGCTACCACGAGTCAACCATGGACCACACGCAATTGGATCTGAGGATTCGCCTGGAAATAGAGCCCTTTGAGCCCAAGGAATACGGCACCGAGCTGGCCAGGTCTTTTGCAGGAGACGATCCTGGAACATGGCGACGAGGACTCCATAATTGGTCCGATTGCCAGACACTTGTATTGTCTGCCCACGAGACTTGAGCAGCGGCGATGGCTTGGTGAGTACGAGTCGTGGACGAGCCTGATACGGGCTCGGAGCAGCAGTCCGACCACTCGGCAGAGGTCCGCGTGATGCTCTCCATGACGCCGGACAGTTGTTCGGGCCCCTGTGGCCGAGCAGCGGCTGTTGGGTTACGCGAACAGGAATCGTACCTTGATCTTGTATTGGACGGTGCCCTTGAGCGGCCGCACGGAGCAAGAAGACGTCGTCGCCCGAGTCAACTGGTCTTCCCGAGCGGCCTTTCAACCCCCTTTACTGAAGGCCGTGTAGGAGGGTGCTTCTCCACTCTGAGTAGCATGCTCCTCTCGTGCGGTTCACTTCGGCTTCCTGCTCTGTTTATGATATTGATTGCATGCAAGAAGGTGCCTGCGGTGAACCGAGAGATCCAATATGAGAGTCGGTGAAGACTGTCGAAGCAAAAGATATCACCTTGGCTCAGACTTCTCCGAGACCACGGGCACTGATATGAGAGCGATCCTAGCCCACGAAGAACAGGGCTTGACTGTCAGGTTGATAACAGTAACAACCTTCGATGAGTGCGCGCGTCACCAGCGCCGGACGTTGGATTACACGGTCCTAAAGCTACGACTACATACCGCTAAGCAGCGTGGTGACTCCCTCCTTTCTCCACATATCCTTTGTCATCGCCTGCGGCTCAAATACAAGCCCAAACCCGAGCACGTCGGCGACCTCAAGCCACCGCCGAATCCCGAGGGAGACAACGCGGCCGATGGTGTCCCGGAGGTCGTCGCCTGTCAGCAGCGGCGCTACGCTGGTCTCCTTACCCTTCTCGCGCCTCAACAGAGCCTGGAGCTTGTCCTTCCGAATGTGCCACACAGGGTCCACAGGGCGACAACGGCGCCTGGAGGAGCGGTCAGGAGGCGACTTGCACCAAGTTGACCAGCGTCAGAAGACGTTGTGACAGACAAAAGACGATGCATCCCCCACACTCTCGGAGCATCCGAAGGCTCGAATTCATCAAAGGATGCCGGGTTTGAGGTTGAATAGGAGTCCTCCGAGAATGTGGTCCTCGAAATTGGCGCCCACTCCAGAAGGGATGACCGCATACCCCTTCTGCACGCGGCCCTCCCACCGAGGGAGAAAAGGTGAAGGGCTGACGTTCTGTTGCACCTCTCTCGCACCGAATCGGAAATATCATCTCGGTGTTTGTCAGGGATACTGCATAGCAGTTGGATGAGAGCACGCTCTTGTAACAAGTGGGTGTGCTCTGGCTGCGAGCTCGCCTGGGCCGGCGACTCTTTTCTATTGTCCACTCAATCTGGTTGTGTGCTACCTGCTCGTCTTGTCCGCTCAATCAGTCCGTGTGCGGTGTCTTCTCTTTCTCAATGCTCCGGCGGACCCATGGAGAGCATGGTCTTCTCTTCTCGCTTAGCACGTCCCGTCTCCACGGAGTGGTCCTTCCTGCCCTCGCAGCCTACTGACCGACAAACCGATCTGTCAGATTCCTCGCTGACTCCTCGACACCGAGAAAATGTCTTACAAGATTGTTCCTCAGGACGCCGACGATGACGAGGTCACTCCGGATGCAGACTCAGTCCCTCTATGGAGACATTGGATACATTTGACCATGCCGCAACATGTGCGATCAGAACCATCGGAAACCCTTGTTCCTAGCCCTCGCTGGGGCAGTCGACCTCACTGTCGCATACTATACCTACACGCAACGTGCGAAACTCTCGCGAACAGAGCCCTTGTCGCTCCACCGCAGTAATACCACCAAGACTTGCTCTGGCGGTTAATTGCTTGGCCCCAGCAGCCGGGCGTCGGACTTACCGCCTGTGCAAGCACAAAATTCACCAGATGGAGTCCTCGCTCTCTCCCCGGTTGGAGTCTCACTAAAAGCCCCTCCTTTCCTCGTTTTCCACTGTTACAACTACTACTCGTACTGTGTGCGCATGTCCAGGTAAAAGATGCGAGCACACCAGGTACAAGACTTTCTGACTGCTATTAACCCGCCCCTTCGCCATCCTCTGTCCTACCACATACATACCTTGGTTCTTCGTGCGTCGATTGATCCACAATGAATGCACAGACAAAGTTCCCCGGCGCATCTTGTCATCATTTTTCTTGGGCTTCATGACCGTTGTTTTGGCCCTGGACGCCGACGAGACTTGCTTGCCACGCTTGACAGGGCTGTAGATGGTCATTGCACTCCGAAACCTATTCGTCTTCTTCTCCAGAAGCGTACCCACCTCTGAGCGGCATGCATCATGATGCATATCCCAGTCATCCTTGCCTGCCGCCAGGCTGATTCTCTTTGCGCTCATCTCATCCGGCCAGATTCGATCGATCCATCAGACTAGTTCCCATTCGCCGCCGGCTGAGGAATAGAAGGCGAGGGCTTCGCGACTTTGAGCAGCCAAATCTCGAATACGAAACAGTTGAACGAGTGATCCGCAGTCTCGAATTGAGGGATACAAAAAGAGATGAAGACGGAGAATACAAGAAGTGCCTGGAAAAGACTACTCTACTCCAACGCGAATACGTCTCTGCGCCGGCCGACAGTTGTCCAAATTCCCATCTCAAAGGAGACTACGATGCTGACAAGAGAAAGATAATTCTCAGGACACCCAGGGAGGCAGGCAATCTGGGTAATGGATATAACATGACTACCCCAGTACACAGACAGGCGGTGGACCTGACAATGATCCCGTCTAATCTGAACTCGATCAACGACTACCTCCTGCAACATACTCCGGCGCAGCTGTCTCCTCAGCAGCAAGAACATCTCCTACTTCATCTCCACGAGGCGCCTCTTTGTGCAGGGCCTCCTGAATGAGGAATACCCAGACGGTCATATCATTGGAGACGATGCTTAAACGCTGACACAACAAGCCTTGGAGCGTCTTGGAGTTGGTCCAGAAATTGTTTTGCAGGTGGCGAGAGCCTTTGATACATACAAGGCCGAGATGTATGGGAGTATGTCCTTCATCCTTTCGGTGCAGGTGGCCTCCCTCCATGAGGAGGCGATACTGATCAGCTGTCAAACTCTTTTCGAAGGCACGGGACAAGGCAAAAACAAAATGACCATCGCGTCACCTCTTTACGTCTATTACCATCCTGTGTACACAACCCGCTCGGCAAACACCAGCGCCCGACACGACCTGCTTGATCTGAGACGAAGCAATGGCATTCAACGCCAGAAACCTACAGTACAACAAGCAAGAGCCTTCCTTTCTCCGCAGATTAAAAGGTCAAGTTGGAGGGCCACTGCGTGCTGTCTATCTTGGTCATGTCTTGCAAACAAGAACGACAGAGCCCAGCGATTAGGCGTCCCTAATCAGAGGGATGATGATGGCTGTCAGTTTGTGTGCCCCAGAATAATAAGCTCGAGAGTGCAGTACTCCTACTACTGTACCGCCTAGGACAAGTGCTTCGTGGGGCGTCAAGACTTGATCGTTTTCAGAATGATCTGCGACAATTGGGTCTTGATCTGCTCGACCGCCCCGGGGGAGAGCCAGAAGCCAAGGTCGCATCGCTTTTCCGAGCCGTCAACCGTCAACTCGAGCGGGATCATGCTCGCAATCCCTGCTAGCCTCGTGACCAGAGCCGACCAGAGCTGACCAGAGTCGATCAGGAGCCAGGACATGCGGGCGCCGCAAGCCGCCGTGGATGGGAAGCTTTTGCAGAAGATTGGCCCCGAGGGGGAACGGATTACAAGAAGAGATAAAATCACATAATTCCATTTGCCCCCCTCCCCCCTTCGACCGCCTCTGTTGTCCCACGGCCCGAACAGTAAGAATTCGAAGGAGAAGCTTCTACTCCGTTTCCATGGCAACCAAGCCTGACCTTGTCGCCATGCTTTGGGCCAAGGACGCCGCCGATGTCATGATGCTTGCTTGATGGTCCACCCTTCGGGCCGTCTGCCTGTGAATATGGTCGGGGTGGCTGCAGGCAAGTGTCTTGCGCGTCAACAAGTCAAAGTCACATTCAAAGGCCAGAATGCATGGGCTATGGTGGAGTCATTCCTTGGAATGGGAAGAATGCACGCGAGTCCCTTGGAATGGATGGAAAGAATGCACGCGAGTTCCTTGCCACAACACGTCTTGCCCTGACGCGCTCTCCGGGTCTTTCAACAACTCCACGCGGTCACTCACTTGTTGTCTTTCCAACCAACGTCAACGAAACCTGGCAGCTTGTATCTACGGTCTTTGCCGGTTATCTTCTGCGTCATTACCAGAGCTGTCCTCTGTCTTGAAGATCCTCCACAAATGCCATTCTTCCTGCAAAGCGTCATCCTACACGGGTACCCTCGCAGACTACGAATGGGGCAGCCATCACTGCTGCTCCAGAGCCGGCTCCGGCATCCAGGAGAGGACAGTTAGAGTGGCGATGAGACCGAGTTCAGTGAAGGGGAAGTAGACGACTCTGCCGTCACAGAGGGAGAGCGCCATACATTGTTTGCGTGCGAGGCATCGCACCACAAGCCATTGGTGAGGCTGTCACCCGATCCTTTCGGTGTGTATGCATTTTTCTCCCGCTTTTCGTGCCCTGCTGACGAGCTCAAAGAGGATGCAATCGCACAGCTGGGAGACTTCGCTCGGTCCTCGAAGTTGTGACCGCCTCGAAACGAGTCCACGAGTTGCTCCGCCGGCTGTGACCGTCAGCAACGATAGCAAGGACAGCAGCGAGGACAGCCTCAAGGACAGCAAGAACAACGAGGACCTGAGAAAAGTGAGGACACGTTCGAAAGCAGCAGTAACGCATTACAAGTACATCACGCCCAAGGGCTTCTTGACGGTCTGGCCCATACGGTTTCGCGCGTTGCTTGATGCTGTCGAAAGAAGACAACGGCGACCGATGGAGTGATTGGTCCCTGGTAGGCCTCCACTGCCGTTCATCCGTGTCACGGCTGGACAATGAGGTTTCCGTCTGATCTTTGCTGTTTGCGCGCGGTCGGAAGACGCTACAGGACGCGACGACTGGCCAAGTTCGAAAGCCAGAGTGGACGCACCGCATTCCCACCGTACGCTGCCAGTGTCATCGGCAAACCCGTCCCGTACCCTCCCTCCTCCTCCCGCTCTCTCGACGACACGGCCGGGTTGTCACGAAACCATATATTAACACCGGCCCAGGGTATCTATCTAGGTAGTCCTGGTTGCATCAAAAGCAAAAGGAAGTGTCTTGAGGGACGAAGTATGAACCATGAATGAGGACTTTTTCGACGGCATGAGGGATGCCTTTCACAAAAGAAGGGCAAAAGAACCAAAGCAATCCCCCAAGGGCAAGAAAGAAAGGAAGAACCGAGAGCAAAGAACAAAAGGCACAATGCTCACGGCACGACAGACCTGGCAGTCAGGGGCCATCAGAATTTCGTCCCCAATGAGGCAGGAAATCCGGGCAGAATTCTCTAATACTGGGACAGAATTCTGTTCCCCCCCGGGTGCCTGGCACTCGACGCTTGACACCCTACAATGAACGCCCTCCAACGCCTGGCAGCGAACACTCAAGAGCTCACAGCTACATCCCTGCCTCGGGCATCCCTCCCTCACGCGCGTGTGGGTTCCGCGGCGACGGCGGTCCTGACTGCAATTTGGCAACCCAGATGTCGACGTGCACCCTACAACTTCCTCCCACAACTTCCTCCCTAATCTACACCGAACCATGGCAAACACCCTGGCCCAGCATACCAGAACACCACCCTACGAACGATCCATCGCATAACGTATATGCACCATCGAACACGATGCGTGAGCTGGCGGTTCTCGCACCATGGAGCTCGTGCAAAATGGGGGATGGGAGGGATAAAGAGAACGGATATAAAAGACCAACAACGGGCAAAGCGTCGCGGCATGTCTCTCCGGTCTCTCAACCAGCCTAGGTCACGGCCGCCTGGATTCTCTCCATCATTTCCATCTCCGGAATCACAGCAAGCATGGCCAGGCGCAAGTCCAAGAGGACATTGTCGAAGTGGAAACCTTGACGATACTGCCACCATGGCCTCACCTTCCCGCACAGACAGCCAGGTCGGCCAGGCGGCCGGGACGCACCAGAAGCTGGCATAGCGGACATGGGCGGTACCTTTTCACCTCCTATAGCTCGGAGCCCACGAACCATAACCACAAGAACCCGAGACTACCCCAGAGAACGCCGGCGACAGCGTTTGACTGCCATTTTTGCAACGCCCGGAAAGCGGTCAAGGTGAAGGTGGACGAGAAAGCCGGCCGGGGCTCGCTTAAGTGCAAGAACTGCCATATCAAGTTCGCCTGTGCCGTCGACAACCTCTCAGCGGCTGTGGACGTGCACGCCGCATGTATGCCGCTGGCTCCAGTGGCCTTTACCAGGGGCACACCACCTCTTCCTCCAATCCTACGCCGGCATCCTTTCTTTTGAGTCCACGAATGATCCTCACCAGGTGCCCCGGTTCCTGGGTCGAAAACGTCTGGGATGGTTGCGCACACGTACACATGTATGGAAATAGTGACTGAGGGACAGCGACTGACTGGGAGTTGGACGTACGAGAAGGTACCAGCTGCCACCGGTCGTTTGGTCGATGATCAGGCTCCCGGCGGCACCAGCGCAGCCTACCGTGCTGGAGTAAGGCACGGCGCTAAGGCATCTGCCCCTAATGCCAGGGCCGTGACGCCAAAGGCCACACAACAACCCGCAACAGCCTCCGGAGGCGGGGATCGGCATGTGTTAAAGAGATGGCATATTTTTACAAAGACCGGGTCTGGATAACAAGGTGCTGTTCGGCGGCAACGGCCTGGTCAACCTCGAGGTGGCCGCCGCGCACGGCGTGCCCTGCGTCGACGTCGACCTCATGGGCCGCGCGTACCCGACCTACTGGCAGACGACTACTAATGTCTATGGCCCCCCAAGGGCGAGGCTCTCGTGCCTGCGACCATCGCCAGCCGGACAGATCGTCTAGTGGACAGTGCACAGCGCGCTGCCGCGGTCGAGATGGGGTGCCGGGCTGGAAAGGCCTGTCCGCCATCGAGCAGCTCACTTGAGACGAGTTCAAGGCGGATGAACATGCAGTGTTGAAGCGGACGCTGGCGAAGATCTGGCCACTCGAGAAATCCTGCAAAACTCTGGAAGTCAACCTTATGAAGTGCGCACATCACGCGGTAGCATATCAGCAAAGCATGTCATTCACTGCACAAATACGTATGCTGCGCATCTGCTCCCCTCCCTGGACCTTTGTCTTCATCTTCATCTTCAGGTTCTTTGGATCTGCCATTGTTCCTGTAGAGCCTCTTCCGGCCGTGGCGGCACCATTTGTTCGGGAGCAATTCAGGCAGCGCAAATGCAGCCATCCACGGAAATGCGTTTGTTTCGGCTTCCAGCAACGCCGCCCACGAAGCCAGGCTGGTGACGTTTGCCTTCTGACAGAACGCCGTGGTGCTCCTCCCGCCGGAGTGCAACGGAGGCGACGCGGCCGTCAGGGGGCTGATGCCACCCAGAACTGCCTCCCTTCCACTGTGGGTTTGAAGACGCAGTCTATAGCTCCGAACTCTGCATGAGGCGACACCCAAATCCAAACATAGAAGAAGGCGTCATCGGGCCAAACAAATCCCACGAAGCGTCCACAGGAACCGGGGGACTGGCCAGTTTGCAGTGCTTTGTGCTGTTACCTCCAAGATGCTGATCGCGCTCAGTTGACAGACCTCCTGAGACATGTGGTTCAGTAACATTGTTACCTGCAAGACACACCAAAGGCATGTATTTGCGCCGCGACGCCAATGGGATGCCGGGGGTGTCAGAACAGGAGATGGAGGTGGCGCTTTGAACGCTTCTCTTCATCATCATCATCATCATCATCAGTGGCCGGTTGGTTGCTTCTCGATATCGTCGACCACTGGGCAGCTCCTTAATCTCCTATACTACCGGATCATGCTCCTTCGCGACTGAAGGGGCGCCACATACTCATCGCAGGTCAAAAAGTGACACATTCCAATCCCGACGTTTCCGTCGGGGAGGAGGCGGTCGACCGTCGGCTTGTCTCGAGTTGTCAATCTCAATATCATCGTGTCTCATACTCCTACCGAGGTCATCTTCAATGCTGCACCGATCTACATTGTTTGCGTGCCCGAGCGTCTGCCCGCACGCACGGCCGTGGCGGCTGGACCACCCTCACTATCGGCAACATTCTAACGGCTCTCCTCTTCTTTGCCACTCCATCATGACACCCGTGGGATGCTGGAATGCTTTGGACACATCAAAAAGAACATTGCATTGCGTTCTTGAAGAAGCATAGAGAAGCAGTTGCCCCTGACTTGCCTCTGAGAGTCGACTGCTGGATGTCGTTGAACATGGTGGACTCGCGGCATTCAAGGATGATTTGGAAGCGCTCAGGGGAGCTGACATCGACATATCAAGCAGTACTACACAAAACCTTCGTTGGTGTCGACGCTGAAGGCAACAGGAACCTTTGCTTTGTCACATGGTCTGTCCGCCCCGGCTAAAGGCCAAGGATATTCTCATTCCACGAGAACTTCATGTCGCCAATTTCGCAAAATGTCGTCGAAGGGCACGATGCCCTGTGTGAAGACGACCTTCTCCGCGCCACAGAGGGAGATGGCGTATGCCGCCGTACAAGAATTCCAGTTCGGGAAGACCTGGCCAGGCACGGCATCAAAGTCGCCGTGTCGACTCTTGCCTCCGAGACATAGCAAAGTTGTCGCGACCATTTCTGAGCTCACGTTGCTCATTTCAACCATCGGTACGACCTTGCCGCGTATTCAACCCTCTCTCAAGTGTTTGGCCGCGGCACCGCCCATTGAGAAGAGACGGAATAATTTGTTCGCCCTGCCAGCAGGCCCCCATCGTTCGGAGCCGAGGATTCGTACAATTAGGAGACAATAGATCTTTCTCGGGTTGTCAGAAGTCAATGCTGCAAGATTCTTTTGGAACCAGCTCAATCAACAACAAGTCCTTTTGCGAAACCCCCGTCGCATCTTCGTTTGTCCAGCCTCCTCCGGTTTTGGGACTTTTCCTTTCTCGAAACCAGCCGTTGGCTCTTTTTCTCATCGCATTGAACGTGTACCTATTCGTTATGCACCACTGCGATCACAACCTCCCCATCTCAAACACCTCTTCATGTTGAGGAGGTTGATTAATTCCAGGATTGCTGCCACTCGTCTCTTCATCTCGTTGAGACTCGTTCGCGTCGGGTGTGTCGAGACTCGGCCTTTGAACTGCGTCAGCTTTCGCCATTGATGCAGTGTACAGCGCCGACCCTCCCTGCTGCGGCATGTGTCTCTCTCACCGAGCATTCATTTAGTCGAAGGGTGGTTTCATGTGTAACAACACTGTCACCATGGCCGTCCTCTAGATTGGATCAGCACTGTTCTTGTCACTTGACGGAAAGAGCGAGTCTCCTGCCGCAACAATCTGCGGAGTATCCTCCGTGTGGAATCTGGAATATCCTGGCCGGCAACAAAGCAATGTCTCGCCTCATTATCGGAAACGAACGTCCAAGGGCGGTCGTGCCTGTAACGTAACGAGCGATGAAGCAGTACTGCCGGCGCCGCCGACTCTCTTTCTTCCCTTGGGTTTGAGGTTGCTTTTATCCCTGACGCCGGTACACCATTCCTCTCGTTCAGATGACTTCCAATGGGACTTTGTAACGCCGTGACGAGGTCCGTTTGAGAACTGGAGCATTGTCGGCTGCGGGGTCCATTTCCGCATTGAATCACGTTTGGGAGGTGAAAAGGGGTGAGTTGCGCCATTATGGTATTGGTATTGGGTGTCTCTGGGTGTCACGCCGAAAAGACTCAGAGGATCAGAAGCCCCGTTCTTACCCTCAACGCATGGGCCTCATCTGTGGAATCTGGGACACACACAACGGCCTTGATTGCTGATCTCCAGCTCTTTGTCATACTGATCTGTGAACCTCTCGAGAGGACACCGTGCACACCTGCGCCCGCCGATCAGACGCATCGACTTGACCCGTGGCTGTCGCGCAACGCAAATGATTGCCATTCCTCGTCGGAGCCATGCCATTTTTCAGTTCTTGCGCGGCATCAGCATTTCCCTTCTTCCGTTGACCAATCAGACTCTGGTGGTGTTGTATATCCTCCTTTGAGTTCTGCGCACGGGCACAAGAGACGCTCCAGCGCGTACGCATATGGCTGTGCACTAGATGCATGGGTGGCACTGCACCTCCAGCAACGGGGGGTGAAGCTGCCGGCGTTTGAGACGAGAGGCCAAAGAGCAACGTCCAACGACAAATACGAGTACGGCAGCTACGAACAAAACGACAGTGCCAGCGTCGTCCGCCGCCAGGCTGTGGCGGCGACACCGAGTTTGCCGACTCACGCACTGCCGACGAGACCGCACGGAATGAAGCAGACGCTCAATCTCAAAGTCTGACTGGGTCTGTCTGACATTGGTCCTCGCCGCACAGCTAGTGTTCTACTCAGCTCTCAAGCTCGGTTCGAGCCGGCCGTTTTGATATCATCAAATGCAGGCCGATACAACGGACGAGAACACTCCTATTTCTCACTTTCACATCTTCTCCAGACCTCACTTTCTCTCGTCTATCAAGCCAACTCACGCATATCCATCTACCCAAATTCCAGATTCCAGTAAGTCGACATACAAGCCCTCATCCGCCTCCAAGATGAGAATCTTCAGCTAGAATCGGTTGTTCTCCTGCCTCGGATCCAGCGAACAGTTCCACTTGCCGCAGCTTTCGGGTGGGAGGTGAGAGGCCGTGACTCTCATGACACTGGCGCCGAGTTCCGCTAGCCTTTCCCAATCGCAGGCCCCGCGGTTCACCCTGGTCAGGTCAACGACCTTGAGACCAGCAAGCGGTCGTTGCGAACTGGCGTGAGTCAATATCCCAGTGACTGACCGTCAAACTCCTGTTCGGATGCGAGATCGCCGCGACAGTGCGTGGGAGGTCATCAACCCATTACACAACACCGACAAGGATTCGGACTTGCATCACATTCCTTTTGCACGTGAAGAGTTTTGCCAGATGAGCCATCAGGTATCGGCCGACCTCCAAATCTAGAACATATGGTGGTATTGTGACGGGCTCAAGGAGTGGAATGGAGAGAATATACAGGCCGAAGAGGAAGCAAAGACTGGGGCCCAAGCAGCCGATGCCACATTCTGATTCGGAAGCCATCCGAAGGAAGTTGTAAGGCGACGACGCTGACGATGATGACGGCGACTGATGTCCGAGGATGGGGCCCTTGTCTTTGCGACTGGCCCTGACCAGGCTTTCTGGAGGGTTTTGCATCGGCGTCCATGGAGAGAAACGACAGACATTGCAAATGTCGTCCAGGGGCAGGTACCGAGTACTTTGCTCGTGTATCCCAGCAGCAGCTGGAGCACAGCCGACCTGTCTAGGTCTGCAAGAGACGAGTGTTCTGGATGCCTCGCAGGCTTCGAGTTCGCGCCTGATCATATACGTCAAGGACCATTGTCAGCACCTGGCGTAAAGGGCCACCAGCTTTGGAGATGCATCCCTGATGGATCCAGAGGAGCAAGCCAGTCCCATGGCACTATGGGATATGCACCTGGATACCACTGGGCCACAACGCCTGTCCTGTATGGAGATATATGAAGTGTCCGCATGAGATGATGCTTTTGCCATTTCGAGCGGTCATTCACATCACTATCTGATGTCTGATTGGCGCCATCTGCGCAGAGGAGCACGCTGGCGATCTGTACGGCTCTTGGCTCAATCACGCCATCAAAGCCTGCGCTAGGCTGGGACTATGACTACGACTATACCGGAGGCCATCATAATCGACTTGCTCGAGAAGCGCTCCTACTAGTGTATACAGCTCACGTCTCTCCGCTTCCTCGTCCACACAAACGCGCCAAGTTCCGAAGCAGCCAATACTATGGTATACACCAAGAGGAGAAGGTTCGAAAGGGGCAAGAGAAGGCGAGAAAGCAGGAGACACAGGCGAGGCGATGCGAGGATGTTTGACGTAGGGAAGGGAGAGGGACAGAGAGTTGACCGCAAGATTTTCAGGATGCGCAGGCACCGCAGGTGAAGATGAGGGACCAAACCGAGTCAAAAGGACGGTCAAGACGGTCAAAGTTGGTGGCGCGCATACATCTCAACTACCTCGCCACCTCGCTGCGGGAGCGGAAACGACTGACAACCTGCACGCACTCTCGCGGTATACAGGGCCGACGCGGTCGTCGGTGGACTCGCGGAGGCCTGCAATGGGGTCTCAAAGCTTACATGCTGTTGACTCTGGAGATTCGACCCAATACTCGTCTAATGACTGCGCAACGGCGCTGACCTACGATTGTCTGAGAGCTCCCTCAGCAGCGCACCGCCCGTCCAGGGGCAGCGGCGGCGGCATGGGAGGCTCTCTGCGTGGCAGGAGGATGTGTTTACAAAGGAGCACATCGATAAGAGCGGCGGACAAAAGACAAAACCGAGTCACTGTTATGGTCAAAGTCACTACCACAATTGATGGGCTCCGGAAGTATCTGATACGAGGCGGCACATTTGCACGCGTCGCCCACCGGGGAGAGGGCAATATAGCGGCCCGTGGGCGTTGTCTCAAAGTCCGAGTCAGGACTTTGTTACGACCACAGTCTCCGCGGCGAAGGGCCACCACGCCAAAGACACCGAGAAGGAGCTTACGGAGCCAACTGGGGAGCGGGGAAACGCCCTGGCCAACGACAAAGAGACTATTGACCGCTTTTCAGGAATGGGTTCCTATCCCAGCGATCAACCTCCGCGGCTCCGTCCTCACGCTTCATGCTGTCGACCTTACCGCCGCATGAGCCCTCCTCAAAGACACCGAGAAGGAGCACGGAGCCAAGGGGGGAAAGGCAGTGGCCGACGACAAAGAGATTGCAGTGCACCATTTTGGAGCGAAGCCGAGCCATAAGCAGCACAATGTCGGCAAGGGGATAAACGCCCACATCCAAACGCTGAATTCTGACACATAAGCTGAATTCTGGCCTGGAATGGAAAATCCCAGCTGGTAACGAAGAAGGGGAAGCGTCGAGGTCCTCGAATCGCTCCAGCCTCCGAGGCTCTTCGTTTTACGATCGCTGTCATCTCCAGCCAGCAGACTATCCACGCACGTTTGCCATTTCCTGTCTCGTATTCTCAGAAACCCCATTGGCATAGTGTTCAATCACAAAACCGGTTGTTGGCGAGGATGGTGAGTAAGTTTACTACTACGCTGACTTGGATCTGTGAGGAGGGTTCGTGCTTGAGGTCTCCTCCTGCCTCTGCGGGTACTGTGGTAGTTGCTGCTGATGGACATGTTCTTATAAACGCGGCGCTCCAATTGATGCTGATGATAGCGATGGTGCCTTAAGTAAAGCAACCAGACGAGCAGCAACCAGACGACTATCGATCAGAACCCGTGGGGACGTGTCTGAGCGTCTGGAAAATGCTCGCAATAAATTGTCGATAGAACGAGCTCTTTCGGCCAGAAGACACACCGATTTCGAGCGAGCGTATCTCTTGGACAACCATCTACGTCATCGGTATTCAGATGCGTACGAGAGGTTAGGCGTGCGAGAGTCTGTGCGTACGGAGTCTGGGCGTACGAGACCCTGGGCGTTCGGGAGCCTGGACGTACGAGAGTCTGGGCGTACGAGAAGCTGAGCGTACGAGAGTCCGGGCGTACAAAACTCTGGGCGTACGAGAGTCTGCGTACAAGGGTCTCGGCGTACGAGGGGCTGGGCGTGAGCGTACGAGAGGCTGAGTGTACCAGAGTCTGGCCATCCGCCATCGCTGCCTACTTACCTCGCCCGGGGACTTTAGGATTGTTGTCCGAGTCCAAAAAAAGATCTACGCCTGGGGCCAACCGACGACAGACTCATACAACAACTTTTTCTACTGAGTATGACTAACCCACAACAAACGTCTTGCGAGCTGTATGTTTGCTTCTGGTTTGACCTAGACAGAACAGCGAAGCGAGGGAATTTTGGCGAATTTGAATACCTGCCGTCGACAGTGTCTCGCTATTCATCAAGCGTTGGAGAACACCCAAGAAACAACACGCCAACTTTCGGCGGAAGCTGCAGAAGGCTGACAGCGGTAGTTTCTACAGTTGAGGCGAGCTCTCAGGCACCCAGGGGTGACAGACTTCTGTCCCCACTATTGGCGTAGTCTGCCCGGATTTCTGCCTCACTAGGGACGGAATTCTGTCACCCCTAGGTGGGCAGGTTTGTCAGTCAGTCGAGTTGCAGTCGAGTTGGACTGCGGTGGGATACGATCCGCAAAAGGAGCGACTTCAGGCTAGAATCGAGGAACTAGAGAGAGAGAGAGAGAGCGCGCACGGAGACGGCACTGGAACACCACGATGCGTCGGCCAATGCGGCAGAGCAGACCCACGATGGAAGCCCCGCGAGGTGAGCCAGCGGGCTGATACAAAGCCATGGCCTAACCACGCAGCATCAGCACAAGGGCTTCGTTAGGCGAGGCACTTCGAATCGACGAGGGAGTGAAACTGACCTTTACGAAACCCATCAATGTATGAACTTGGGCACCTGCGCGATGGCCTTTTCCCCTCCTCGAAACCAATGTGAATGATGCCGTACCAGAGAAGCGACCGAGTCCCCGGTCTGAAGGATATCTCTACAGTGGACTCGACATTTATCTGACACATGAACCATGCGTGTGCTACGCAATGGCTATAATCCATTCCAGAATCCGAGTATCACAAACAGAGTAGGAAGCCGAAGTGAACCGCACGAGAGGGGCATGCTACTTAGAGAGGAGAAGCATCCTCCTACGCCGCCTTAAGTAAAGGAAGACGAAAGGCCACTAAGGATGACCCCGAGCCGGACAGGCCTAAGCCACTCCAGGCCGCCCGCACACCCCAAAGGAGAAAATCATGCTCCTCGCATCCGAGAAGGCCTCCTCTCTCATGCTTCAAGTCTTGTCATTACTATGCCTGAAGGGATACTTATTACCACTGAATCTATCTATCGCCGGGTGCTGCCTATCTCCAACAAGGCATCCTTGATACAGAGCCATGTCTGGATGTCGATGTTAATCGCCCAAAAGCCGCAAAGCGCAGGTGGCCGATACCAGCAACATCAAGGAGGACCAGATGGCCTATTTACATGTATACAGAGCTAGAGGGTGTGTCGTCTATCCCGATACCGATTCCTGCGCAGACTGCGAGGGCTTTGCCCAGCAACGGCGAAGGAAAAGGCGGGAAGCAGGCGGTCGTGGCTACAGGAAGGTGAATCCTTGGGTTGAATTTGGATCGTTTGTCACAAACTCCGTTGCGTCAAGGTACAACCTTCGCCCTTCGCTTCCATTACGTGACCTGTTCTGGGGCTGACCTAGTGCCTGAGCACCCCCGAATGACCGCAGCCTCTGTGTCGAAAGCGAGAAGATCGAAAGCGAGAAGATCAAAAACTAGAAGAAACGAAAGGGATACTACCACTTCATCTCATGGTAGCCCTGTGATCATGATTCGTAACTATTGAAGCTATCTTTCCTTGACTTCCTCGCACCTCTTGCCGCCTTGTTGCTGTCCTTCCCACCTCGGACTGATGGAGTTTGCTCCGGCAGGCAAGGCTTCGGAGCGGGCAAACCTGCTGCCGGCGATCGGTCCCTCTCCTGTCGTCAAACCGTCATGCACCACCATTGGCCTTGCTTCAAAGAACAAAGAAATCGTGAACCTAAAAAAATTGGCCTTTGCCGCTTGAGCGAACGCGCTTTGAGGGCGGCAAGTCTCAGTCGCCGAAGACCTCAGCGGCGTCCGAAAGAAGACCTCAATGATCCTGGGTTCCCCGCCGCCTGTTCGGCGTTGACCTGTTTCGAGTCTTCCGCTCCCGATTTGCGCTTCTCGGCTTCTTGTTTGAGCTGCAGAGAGTACGCTGTGACGTGTTGCAACTCTCGTCTGGCGTCATCTCTTTCCGCTATCGCTTTTGCCAAATCTGCTCGCAAAGAGGTCACCGTGTCGGCCAGGGAATTCATTGAATTGAACAACCGAGCATGGGTTCTTTGAGTTCTTTCCATTTCGTCCAGCCGCAGCATTACAGCATCGAAAAAGTCGAGGTTGGGCACGGTATCCAACCAATCCAGGGCCAATCGTTGAGCCTGGTCAAAGTATCGCGTTACACGCTCCGCCTCGTCCGCTGGGGGCGTGTGGGGTGTCTCAATCACAAAACGTGGATTGAGTTGTCCCTGGTCATGAGTCAGTAAAGGTGTTGTGGGCTCTTGGAAAAGGGTGTCTCTCACTCCCAAGCCTGGAGGGGTATTTGGGCGTTCTGGAAATGAGTACGACGGCCGCTGCATGATGAAGTTTTTTTGGGTGAGAAAAACTTGCTGGGAGATTTGGGGTGGTCTGTGAGCAAACCACACGTGGGAAGATGGAGCACTAGAGGTATCTAGAAGATAAGGAGACCGCGGAGGCTGAGAGATGGTATCGATGGAGGGAATAAACCAAGGTTGGATGGCGATGGCCCCAATTTACAGAGTCTCTACTGGGAGCCTTGAAGAGGCTTCGAGGAGTGCGCGAGGGCCACACCGCTACTTATCCGGCCCATCCGAGGGCTTCTAGTCCTGGCGGGCCCAGTCAGCCTCAACCCTGGAGGGGGGCCAACGCACTGGTGGGGCAGAGCAGAGGAGTCGGGCGCTGGAGACGCCTTTTCTACGTCTTGGTGCTACCATCGCCTGGTGGTGGTGGTGGTGTGGCCGCAAATTTCGCCCAGGCAGATCATCTGATTGGTGGCCGGCATCGCACGGAAGATGACACGTCGACTTTCGTGCCAGGAAAATTGACACATGTGCTGTCAGCCCGAACTTTCGAGCCCAATCCCCAGCTTCTCGCGCCCAATCGATTTGGTGTGTGTGGAACCTGCCAAGGGGGGCGCTTCCTCGAAGTGCTTCGTTGGTCCTATTCACAAGGGAGGTGGTTTGCTGAAGCCAAGGGCGAGGATGAGGTCGACGAGATTCCCCTGCACAGTTGGGCGCGTCGGGGCTGGTCTGGTGCTGGTGGAAGAGGCCGTAGAGTCTTGGGGCGAGGTCAGCTACACTGGCAACAAAGGCAACGGACCATTCAGCCATGGCAATGACAGCTGTCTGATGAGGCAAGATGTCGCAAAGTGAAACCAGTTCAGAGACTCAAAATCACGCCCTGAAAAGCGAGGGTGCGGGTCGAGAGTCGCAAGGCAAGGGCACCCTCAGGTCAAGTGGAGGGGTTGGAGAGCTGAACTGGTTGTGTGATTCAAGCTTTGACCATCGCTAATCCTCCATGCTCCCAGCCCTGGTTGGGGGGTGGGAGGGGGTGAAAGGTGCTGGGGAACTTTTGGGCTGGGGGACTTTTGGGCTGGGCGGTCATCGGGTGTCGGGCGTCGGGCGTCGGGCGTCGGGCGTCGGGCGTTTAGGCCACCCTCGAATATCCCTGGTCCGTGCGGCAGGGGGCCTGATTCTGGGGCTCTGCCGTGTCGGGTAAACCTGCTACGATATTTACGGCAGCCCCTGTCAGAACTGTGAGCCTATGGACCTGCTGTCTCCCAACATGCAAACGCCCGGCCTTGGAATTGGGCACATCAGGGCAAAGGACAGCCAACAAGAAACGACCTGACCCTGACCGTCGGACGACCTTGACATGCCACCGGGTCTCATGGAGCTGTTTGTCAAGTGTCAACGGAACACTGACAGGTGTCTTGGGCCTGAGAGAGCGACTCGAGGCGATCGAAAGATGTTTCAAGATCCGCACCATACATGAGAAACGAGGACGGACCGTGGACTATTGGATAGACTGAGGAGCCACGAAGCAGCATGTGTCTAGAGATGAGTGGGCAGCGGGGTCTCGGTGATGTCATCAAGACTATCGACCAGAACACCTGAAACACGCCCCCATTTTGACGTTTCCTTTCACTTTGCCGGTCCCATCTTGAGCCAAGCAGAGCAACAAAAGGTGGCGCTTGATCTAGCGAAGCGTAGCTAAGCCAGTATTACCGGCAAAACGGACAAAAAGGGTGTAGTTCAATTAGTCCAGCTTATCGGAACTCATCGACTGACTATTGAAAAATATTGAGCACGTGACTTGTGGATCATGGTTATTCCGCTCCTAATCTCAATCTCCATTAAATCTCCGCCACTACCATCTCAATGTCGTCAACACCTTCATCAACGTCCAATCGGCGTGCGCCGGTGCTCTCGGTGTCCCCTCGAAAGACCGTGATCGAAAGATGAATCCTGAGAATGTTCTCCGCGGGAGATGCGCGATTAGATGTTGCAACCATCCAGTGCTCTGGTCTCCAATTGTCATCAAGACTATCGACCGCAACACTTACAACACGCGTCCATTTTGACGCTTCCTTCCATTCTACCGGTCCCATCTCCAGCTTGCTGGTGTAATACCCTGTCCGACTCGAGGATCTCGTCGAATAACCCGCGCACCTGCAGGTACAGGGGCACGTAGTAGATGGCCAGGAAGGAAGCCATGGTACCAAACCAGTTCGCCCAGGCACGCTGAGAGCAGAGCACCGTGCGAAGAATACCTCGTTGATACCGTCCGACCACGCGACAACGTCATGCGGGTAGAGGGGGCCGAGCCAAGCAGACAAACAAAAGGAGGCACTTGATATTTTTGAGCAATATGGGTCGACCCGCAAAGACCTCCCTTTTCGCTTGACAGGATGGCCAGCCCTCGAAACCGAACATGTCCTTGGTATCGATGCCGGATCTGCTCACCACCCACGTCGATGGAGGTGTGCGTGCCGTGCTTTTCTAGGCGTGCCTGAACGGCTGTGAGGAAGAGTTGATCGTCCGAGATTAGCACTGTTGTCCGGACTATCGACGCCAAAAACTCGTCTGCGGCGACCCTGTTTCGCACCACGCGTTCTACCGTCCCACTATCTCTCTACTAACCCTTTCCACGAACCACCACTCCACCAATTCGCCTTTTCTACGCGTTCATGGCCTCAGATCGAGAGGTGAGGATCCAACGAGCAATTGCCGATTGCAAAACGCGTCGATATCGATCCTAGTATTCGCGCCGCCGCGGCCGCAACCTACGTCCATCACATTACGCGATACCGCAGATTACAGTGTACTCCATCGGCTTCGTTATTTCACGAATCATGGCAGTTATTGTCGAATATACAAGAGGAGGCCTTGGAGATGGATACTCGGCTTCGAGGTACAAGGACATCCCCTGAGCCATTCAACTCTTCGAAATCTCACAGGAACAATAAGCAGACAAAACGGTGGCTCAGAACACGTTGGAATTAATTGGCTACGACATCCTGATACCTGTTCAAAGGTAGACAAAAGATCTCCGTTCGGCATGGCAGTTGTACCCTTCCTGTCGCGCTTGAGACGTGGTTTAGCAATCTACACACCATCCAGGAGCGCTACTCCATTGTCCCCAGCAATACATTCAATACAGACGAGTCTAGACTAGCCCTTGGTGTTTGCAGTAATCAAACTGTTATTGAAACGCGAGAATGGGTTACTCTCATCGAGACAGTTGACGCTGTTAGCCGGCGCCTCCAACCGCTGGTTGTCTTCAAATGAAAAGATCTCCAGGACACTTTGCGCAAGCAGTTATATCTGTCCTCCAGCAATAGCTCTCCCTCGGCCCAAGGTCATGAAGTGGCTGTCCCTCAAGTCGTCAGTCCCACCCCTCCAGCTGCTACACCACAAATATACCTTGCGCCTCTCTAAGGACAGGAGTCAACCGGTATCATCGCTCCAACACCCATCGACATCGCTCCCGTCACTGCCCGACCATGAGCCTGCCAGAAATCTGCCTGCAGTTTCCATCCGGAGCTCCCAGACACTACCTCGGAGCCTTGATGAACGTCAAATCACGGCGCGGGACATCGACAACTGCTTCGCCATGTAAGCCTTGAGAGCCTTGTGAATATGGTATATCAAGTCGTGGTTTCGCTAGTCCAATGCACGCACTGAGGACAGCCTGAAGTTCGAGTTCCGCATCTGTCCAGCGTTGGCATCGAAACCTGCGACTGCCGATGTAACCAACAACGCCGCCTTTGAGCACCTCCCTAATTATTGGCCTGGGAGTGACCTCGTCGACGCAGACCCAGCCCTCACTGTGACCAAGGTCCATGGGACGCATCTTCTGGTTCTGAACCGTTTCGCCGTCTTTCGACCACAGTACCTGATCTTGACGCTCGATTCGTTCAGAACCCACGGCCAACTGACTGAGTCACTCACTCGATGGTGAGCGATGAGCGAGATCTCGTGTATTTTACCGCACTCGACTCAGGCAAGTCTAGCATAGCCTGGTCCAGCCAAAGTCAAGTCAACCCAAGGCAAGCCAGATTTCTATCCTCCCACACACTCTCATTCATTTTCTGGTTCGATTTCAGGACACGCTCTACATTGCATTGCATTTTTGTTATACGAGGACAAGGAGGAAAGGAATTTGCGCGCTTGAATCTACACTACCTCCTCCAGCAGCCGTACTACCTCTTTCACCTATCCATTCGCCCAATATACGTCTACTAACGCGTACTAGGATGCCAGTCGATCAGGATGACCCCCTACCAGCGTCTAGCCGCGAATCCGTACTACCTCCTCTACCAGTATTACTAACTCCGTCACCTATGCATTCGCCCGATATGCGCCAGCACGGACATAACGCGACCGAGGAGGAAAATGAGTCTGCAAAAGTATGCGGGCTGGTTTCGGCCAGGGCCATCTGTCCTGGACACGGCGTCAATCAAACCAAATGCCTGTTCACTCACGAAAACGGGCATCCAAAGCCGTGTCTGAACGTGGACGGATGGGTTCCCCCTGTCAATGCCAACCACGATGCTACGACCGACCGGGGACTCCATGAACTGACAATTGGGGCAAGACTGCTGCATCTTTCGGATCCAGCGATGGGCTCCAGGGGCGGGGAGAAATTGTCGGCATTGCAGAAACACTGGCAGACTTCTTCAACGTGTGCTGACGACTCCAGCCCTAATTATCGATACACTACCTGGCTTGAACAGATATTTCTACCTCAAGCGGCGACGGAAGAGACCGAACAGGGCCAGTATCGATTACTACTCCTCGACGGCCACAAGACTCATGTTACGCATGAATTCAAGTGGAAATGCTTCCAGAATAACGTTGTGGTCTTCTATTTACTACATCTCGTGCCAGTGAAAATGGTCAGACGTACTACCGTATCTCTTCACTACGCCCATAAGCCATTGTGGCTCGACTTTCAGGACGGATACGATGGCAATCGGAAGAGATGATGCACCCGCATACCAAGGGCCATGGTACTTGGCCAACGGGTGGAAGAAGGGATTGTACCTCATTCAAGCCATATCCTCCAGCCACTTGATCTTACTTGTTTTTCGCCTGTCAAGTGTCGCTATCGAGCACAGATCGCTGATCTAGCCAGGTTCGACGGGACAAGCCCAACAACGAAGGAAAACTTCCTCCAGATCTATCAGAAGGCTAGCCAGGAGGGCCTCGGCCCGGAAAATATCAAGGCTGGATGGAAGGCGAGCGGTATCTATCCACAGGAGCCTGATAGGACCATTCGATCTAGCCCAGTCCTCTCGGCCGCTACGATCGATCAAATAACACTACGAACGCCATATTCTCGCACGCGAAAACCACTCAACAGTGGCCTCTACCTATCGCCGAGTAACAGGCGAAACTATGACGATTCTGTGTACAGAGCAACGCGACAGGAATCGCTCTCGCTCTCGAGGCCCTTCCGCAACTCCCTGGGAAAGACCGCTCAAGAACTCGACCGTTTACACATGTCTATGAGAGCGAAGCACACAACGTCACAGGAGATAAAGACCAGGTAGAACTTCCAACCAATATTTGCAAAGGCCTTAGGTGCTGGTGCTGTGTACAATATCGTCGAGGCAAAGTATGTGAACAGGGCAATGAATGAGACCCTTGGCTCGAATGGTAGTTAGAAATGCCTTGGAGCACCACTGAAACGTTTGATCAGCAACAGTTATGCCTCTACGTGTGGGAACGCCGCTCACCACGAACTGAGTTGGATCAAGGAACAGTCCCAGTCCCAGTCCAAACATCATGAAGAAAAACGTCGCAGCAACGTTGCCAGCCTTGCGTGAGGTACCCGTATACTTCCAGCTGAGAAGAGCGGCAGCAAGGAGACATGATCCGGTCCAGGCAATGCCAATCGAAAAGGACAGGCAAATCGCTAGCCTCAAGGCTCAACGAGATCGATCAAAGGCCAGGAGGCAAAACGGCCAGGCAATCAATGTCAACGAGGCCTTTGCTAGCTAGCATCGAGACCATTCATCGTGCCAAAGAGGCATTGGACAACATTGGCAGCAACGGCGACAACGACGCGAATGACGAGGCAATCGCCACTTCATTTCCCAGGGTTATCAGTGGCTTCATAGAACTACTGAACCGATCGGCTTCTCCGAGATCATGGCCAGCCTCACATCGCTCGAGTACGCTTTCACCAAGGCGCCGTACAACATGCGCAGCTTCGTCATGGCTATCAACCTCCTGATGAACGCTCTATCTCTTCTCTCTCTCGTCTTTCTTTCGGCTCTCACTCTCACCCTCACTCTCACTCTCACGCCGTCCTATCCTTGACGCTGCGAAATCGACCATGATCATGGCACTGCGGTGCTGTTTTTCTCTGGTTCGATACTTTCAGCTTGGCCACTGTCTTGACAGACTACATACCTCAGTTTTTGCCGACATCTGCGCAGTAAGCAGCTTTGGCGGCTGCCTCGGATGGCAAGGAGCGACTACGGAAGATCTATAGGTGCGAGAACTTAGTGACGATCATCATTCGGGATATGTCAGTGCAGCTGTATGTCCCTCTCTCTCTCCTCAGTCTCTCTCTCTCCTCAGTCTCTCCCTCCTCCTCAGTCTCTCCCTCCTCCTCAGTCTCTCTCTCTGTCTCTCCCTCCTCCTCAGTCTCTCCCTCCTCCTCAGCCTCTCTCTCTTCCTCTGTCTCTCTCTCTTCCTCTCTCTCTCTCTCTATCTATCATGAGCATGGACTCAGATCTGTGCCTTGGTTCTTGCTGATGGCCTCGACTGCACCCGTCAGATGCGAGTTGTGCTGCATCTAAGTGCAGGTACCCGCCTATGACAAGGTCATTCGCAATGACACCGCGTTGAAAGTCGGGCTGCGTCTGAGTGCAGATACCCGCCGATGACAAGGTCATTCACAATGACACCTCGTTGAAAGCCGGGCTGGCTTTGCGAACAACGTTCCTTGAACAACCTCTGGTCAAGGTCATTCATGATGCGACGGATTCGCAGGAGGCCCAGCCCCAGCGACTTATTCGTATGGAACATGGGGCGGAATTATGAGGATGGGCATGCGTTGGGACATGCATTGGGACATTAGTCAAAGTTTTGGCGGGTATCCCTACAACCCAGGAGACACTGCGATGGGGGCGGTGTACACTTAGGAGACACTATACGGTGGAGGTGGTGTACACCCAGGAGACACTACCAGGGGGTTGGGGCGCACCTAGGAGACAGTAAGCGCACACGAGAAGGGCTTCTTCCACTTTCGCACCCGACTGGATCGACCAAACCAAGACCAAATTTCACGCTCGAAATATCATTCTAATCACCTTCGAAATATCATGAGCATGGTCTCAGATTGAGAGGTTCGCAGGCCCAGCTTTGCGGCTTATTTGCATGGAATATGGGGCGGAATTATTGGGATGGGCATGCGCTGGGACATTAGTTAAAGCTCTGGCGGGCATCCCCTACACCTAGGTGACACTACGATGGGGGCGGTGTACACCTAGGGGGTACTATACGATGGGGGCGGCGCACACCTAGCAGACACTGCGATGGGGGTAGTGTACACCTAGGGGGCACTGTACGATGGGGTAGTATACACCCAGGAGACACTATACGGTTGGGGTGTCCTGTTTGGCTCCAACATCTAACTGATCCCATGGACAGCGACAGCAACCCTGTCTTGCTTCAGACATGGTAATACCGGCGATGTGTGATCAACGAGGCCCGCGACTCCGGACAAGCCGAACACGACGCTCCTGCCCATCTGGAACATCTACAGCGGCAACAAAAGCTTGCCCCCGCAGATCGGCAGCGCCGGGCACATCGACGTGCGGGACGTGGCGCCGCGCACGCACAAATCTACAGCCAATTCTACAGCCAAAAGGTGGACTCAATTACCCAGCGCTACTATACCGAACATCTCCTACAAGTCTACATCGATGCCACCATGCATATGCGCGCTGTTCACGGTCATTGATTTCCTCCTAGTCGAGGACCGGACGGCGATCCTTTCCCACGGAATGAAGAAAAGAGACCTCGCACAGCGCAAACGAGAGAGGTTCTCTATAGAAAACCTCCTTCACCCTGCCTCCTCGCTCTGATTGAAACCCCATCTGAGGCAGGCCGCCTGGAATATCTGGAAGCAGAGAGAATGAGGTCTGTTCCTGTTCCTGGAGTGACTAAGATGTCTATACAACAACCAACGGAGAAAGGTAACAACGAGGTCTGGAGTGAAATCTCGCTCGAGGAGATACGACACAAGATCCGCGATATGCCAGAGAGATGCGAACGACTAGTCAAAACAGGTGGTAAACGCATGGGACGGAATTCTGTCACCCACTGGGTGACTGGAGCTCGCTGGTGTCCGAGAGAGTCCGAAGACACCGCGAAAAAGGGGCCGATGCTCTTTCTGTATATCACCGGAAATTCTTTGCAGACAGAGAAGAGAGAGACGACAAGAGGACGAGGACACCCAGTCGCAGGCAGACTCAAAAAAGCCCAAGAAGGCCGTCAATCCAGGTTCAGCGTTTCGCACAGGGAGAATCCGAATGGATAAGAGAGACATCTGGCGTCGACAGTGGCACTGCAATATCTCACCTCTGAGCGGTGATAGTGCGCTTCAACGACCTTCCGCGACGTCCCAAGCGGCCACATCATCACCAGCGTCACGGGGAAAGCATCCCCGGGCTCTCGATTATAACGGCAAATGGGGTGTCATGATATTCCGCTCTCGTAGGTGAAGATATCTACATTTCTGTACCAAGTTCCAAATAACCGGACGGCTTCGCTTCGAGGAGCCTGGAAACGATTCCCGTTCGCCATTTGACGATGCTCGAGTTCTCCACTGCCGCCATGGGCATATTGTCTCGTTGTGTGGCAATGTCGACCACAAATGGTGCCGGTTCCTCCTTCACGAGGGAGACCGGTTCATATCAGACCCCCAGGCAGAAAGGGTGTTCGACCTTCAGATACACGAGCTTATTAGCCACGTCGACCACTCGTGACTTGATCTCACGCAGTTCATGGTTGCCAAGTCAATTCCAGTCTCGCCTACAGCATATGTTTCCAGGTGGCTTCGTTCATTGCGCTGGTAGACTGTCCCGCGGTAAGGTTACCTGGAAACACACCAGCTATCAACAACTCGCCAAACCTGCAACTCTGCAACTACAGGTCAGGTGTAATAGCTACGCTTCTGTTGTTACGGTCTACGGTCATTCTTCACGTCTGTCTCACCATTGAGAACCAGTCCAACACCCAAGAACCTACGAAGAATGAGTCCGGCGTCTCAACCACGACACAAGCTGGTAAAGATGCCAGGTAGGCCTCGGCGGGAGTCGACAACACCCCGCCGAGCGACCGGCGCAGCCACTTTAGCCGAAAGTCATGCTGCCGTGCGTTACACCAGCTGATATCCCCCGGCATCGTATGTTGGCATCTAAACAGAGCCAAGAAACCCCCAAGCAGTCTCGTATGCAGACCCTTCTAGCGCGTGGGTGTCATGGGAATCAGGCCCAGGATGGACAGCAAGCTTCAGGTTGATTGTCCCAAAAGGTTCGCGCAAGAGTTGAAATGGTATGAGATGGGACAACATACAACTCGGTGCGTGGCGACAACACAGTGATGAACTGACGATTGAATACGTTATTGAAATTGCATCTCTATTGGCGGGAAGATCGAATCAACTATCAAACTGACGACCACCAGCCATCACACAAAACTTTCTCTTATAGCAGGCAAGCCAAGCCGCTTTTTGGAGTTTGGCGTCTCCCAAAAAAATTGCCTAATGGCATCACGTCTCGGTGTCCGACTTCTAGTGGCATTACGTCTTTGGTCCAACTCCTGTTTGATGCCACTTGTCCTTCCTGATCTCAATCACATCCTCGACTCACAATCACCACTTGGTCTTTGGGTGTCAAGCCGATAACAGATGCAGAAACTGGTTTTCATCAATTTTTGCAGCTACAAGAACCAGACACAGACAGTTGTC